GAGACTGTCAAGATTGGTGATCTCAACATCGATGCCATTATCCATCAACTCGCTGCTGTTTGCCACGAATCAGGACAGTGTGAGACCAACGAAATCGAGATGAAGAGCAGATTCTGGAAATCCGAGAACAACCACAACCTCAAGGTTACCCTAGGTCCCCATGGCACATATCCCGTCTGTAAGTGCTCATCCACATCGCGCAGCCAACTAAAAGACTAACCTCAACATCAGGGATCCGCAACGGGCTCGTTGATCTACTCGGCGTTAGCGCGTCAAGGCCATTGCCAAGTGCACATCTGGCACTTATACCAACACCTGTCCTGGTGTAACCGCCATGGCCTATTGTCCCCGCAAGAAGACCCAGTACACCAACTGTGAGGTGCCCCAATTCTGGGGCATCACCTACCAGTGACGTGCCGATTCAGCAAATGCAGCTCCCCCTGCAATCTCTGTTGATCTCGCCTCTGAGAACTCGGACGCTGCGGTCTGCAAGGATGCTTTAGAAATTACGGGCACTGTGGCCGGTGCTGTGAACGGTTATGCGGGAACCGCTTTCACTCTGCTCTCATACGCCTGCGGTGCGTAAGCTGACAGAGACGCCGGAAGCTTTCTCATGAATGGAAATGGCCACGATGAAGAGTGGTATGAAGTGTGAAGCTTTCCTAAGCTGTTTGAGCGGCATCATCACTTTCTTTGCCCTTTTGTTTATCTTTCGTGTTTTTTTTGTTCACATTTTCATTTGTACATAAATATATGCCATCATCAGTATTCATTCTTACTTTTCCGCTTTGCTTTGTCAATCCGTTTCGTCCTTCGACCAAATGATGTTCGTTTCAGACGTCTCACAGCCACACTCTAAGAGCCACGTTCCTGAATTATGCCACATTTGGACTAGACCAGGCGCCTAAGCCAATCCGATCTTCCGGCCCGTTCAAATCTCGCCAATCACAGCTGGGCGATAATTAAAATTCCGATCCAGTCATTCCTTTCGACCTGCGTTTCAGAGCAAACTCCACCACGAAAGGACATCCTTGATCCGCGTCGCGCCAGCGTGTGTGATAGGATCCACGATACTCAGCACCTTGATTGCCGAGCACTTCGAGCCGCGTTGACTGCCGCACGGCGGTTACCCTGTCCATCGCTTGTCTGACTTCACCTGCACCAAGACACAACGAGTCGCCACCGATCAACACTCGCATGACTTGGCCAACGTTTCCAGGCGCGAGGCCGCCATGCAGGACATGCCACGAGGTCCATGGGGTATAAGTCGCCCACTATTAACAGCAAAACAGCAGGGATGTCAATGGTCGCCGCGGGCAGAAATTATTAACCTCAACCGGTTTTGGCGTACTCTGCGCGTACTCTACGTTGCAAGCATGATACCCAGTACTTCATACAAGTCAGTCTTTTCTTAGCTTTGAACCGGCAACGGGCCAATTGCCTTGCCCTGACTATGGTTTCGTTCAGATCAAGGTCATGGCGTTTTGCGGAGCCTTAAAAACGAAGGGATACTCTCCTGTTTCGGTTGTTTCATTGTAGCTCGACTGAACGTTAGCGTTCTTAAGAACTGTACCACTCCAGAGTTTTGTCAATCATCCATAGCATATCATTCTTTACTTTTATCGCAACATGAAGTTCCTTCGTTCCGTCCTTGTTCCGTTGCTATACTTGCCTTGCGCATATGCCGATTTTGCCGACAATGCACAAGAGGCTATCCTAACACTCCAAAGGAAATGGTACAATTTTGACACTGGACTATGGGACGATCTATGGTGGCAGTCAGGCAATATGGTAGAGACCATCGCCAAATTTGCACTGGAGGATGCGACTTTCAAGAAGACCGCCATCGACATTATTTCCAACACCTACGAGAAGTCCCGCAATCAACTAGGTGCTAGAGACTGGAAAAACGACTTCTACGACGACGAGGGATGGTAAGAATGCTCCTACAACACAATTTCCATAGCAGATGTTAACTATCATCAGGTGGGCAATGGGTTGGATCGGCGCCTACGACCTCACTGGCGACGCGAAGTACCTCAACACCGCCAAAGATATCTTCGAGGATATGACCACAGGCTGGAACACCCCATGCAACGGTGGCATATGGTGGGACAAAAAGCACGTGAGCATCGCCTCGATCTCCAACGAACTCTTCCTCGTCGTTGGCGCCTCTCTCGCCAACCGCGTCTCCGCCTCCGACCGAGACCACTACCTCAACTGGGCGCAAATGGAATGGGATTGGTTTTACAACTCAGGCGTCATCAATGACGACGGCCTAGTCAACGACGGCATCGACCAAACATCCTGCAAGAACGACGGCAAAACTACTTTCACATACAACCAAGGCGTCATCCTTGCTGGCCTCAGTGAGCTCTCTCGCGCCCGCGGAGATGGCGGATACATCGGGCACGCATACAACATCGCCAATGCAGCCATCAATCAGTTGACCAAAAACGGTATCCTGACAGAACCCGTGGGCGGCGAGCTTGACAAGCAAGGCGCGCAATTCAAGGGCGTGTTTGTGCGCGGCTTATCGACGCTGAACGAGAACAAGCGCGATGAGAACTTCACAGGATTCTTACTGAGAAACGCGGAGAGTGCGTGGGTCCAGGAGAAGCTTGATGGAGGCGTTATCCCGGATAGGTGGCAGGGTGGTAGCAAGAGCTCGAATGCGGCGAGTCATGCAGCAGGCATTGATGTGCTGGTTGCCGCTGCGACGGCGTAGAAGTGAGCTGTGCATTGAGGGACACACGCAAGCTTTTCTGGATGGAGCGAGTGTGCTTATGACTTTACGACTTTACGAATGTTGGCTACGGAGGATTTGGGCGGCATTGATGGCGTTGCTTGCGGGATTACTTGGCCGCCCATACGGCTTGAAAGATTCCAAGGTTATACAGCGTCGACCATAGCTAGCTGGACTACAATCGCTAATGTATATTTCCTTGTATTTGATCTGTTGGCATGAGCTTGTAGTGTGGACAAACTTGTATCATATGTGCTTGCGGAATGGAAATAAGTATTACTTGACACTTGCGCGAGGAAAGCTGCAGAGGTCTTCCTTAAGAACTCAGTTTTTTACCAACAAATGTCATCAAAAACAAGTCGAGTTGAATAGATGAAGCCCTAAAATCTCACATCATTCAATCTGATCTTGTAGTCGCGTCGAACTTCAAGGGCACATCGGTCTACAGCCTCGCCCGATAATTTTTGCCGCACCGACGAAGGTATGACGCTCTAAATATATAAGTCAATGCTAGAGACTACAAAACAAATGCAAAAATATGGTCACCTCTTTGGATAGTTTAGAAGTCCTTGGTGTAGAGTTCGACTGAACAGCGGAGTAAGCGTGCTGGGCCTATCAGAATTGAGTGCCACCACCGTGATATGCATCCCGGCGCTTATGCTGTCTTCAATATGACGACTCTTCAAAATGATTATGCAGTCAGCTCTCTATTTCTGCTTTCCAATTGGCTGCCATCCATGCGTGAGACTGCGCATACGTCTAGTGACTGCGACGAGGAAAAGGTGATATCCGACGAGGACTGTTGTCAGCTGCGCCTCCCGGTTGCGTGATCGCCCCCAACCCTGATCTTTCACCGGTATCATGCTATCCGATGAAAAGGAACCAGCTAGCATAACACTCGCGCTGAATACACGGTGCTGAGCATCTCCTTGTCACTTGTGTCCTGTCGTTGTCGAAGCCACCTGTAGAAGCCATCTCAACATGCACAGAGCTCACTGGGAAGCTTACACAGGACCCGATATTGGGCTCTTGAAAACCCTACCGCCAGAACTGTACAAGACAATCCCATTTGCTCAACCACCTCCCGGCGTGGTCGCGAACTTTCAAAATCCTCCGACACGGGTACCACTTAGTCTAGGGATTTCCGTTACATATCTCGTCATTGCAAGTATCTGCTTGGGTATCCGTACATACACACGGACCTTCATCGTTAAGAAGTGGGGTTGGGATGATTGTGAGTTACAAGTCTGGTGTACAAAAGTCCGTGAAGTTTTTAAGCTGACATTAGTCGTATTCAGGGCTCGTGGTCACCGGATTTGTGAGCCAAAAATGATGCTTAGCGACATAACAAGAGCTTCCTAACATCAATACATAGTCGTTCAGCATTGCTTGTTTCGCAAGTCTTGTTTTAGGTACGTTGCGACTGCTCTACCTGCTCATTAAGACATTGACTATATGCAGGTTATCGCGGGGGAGTCGTTGGTCGACACGGATGGGATGTACATTTGGACAAAGCTCTCAGCCATGATAGTCTTTTAGTGAGCATCTATTTGATCTCCAATCGCAACTACCTCACTCATGATAGCATAGCAAAGTTATCTCTGCACAGTCATGTCCGCTCCTGCGTTAGGCTTCATCAAAATGAGCCTATTTGTACAGTACTATTACCTGTTTGGCGTTATGCGGTACATCCGCATCAGTGTGTGAGTGTAAAACGAAGTGACCGTGGTCAACAATCTGCTGATGATATCTCGCACTTGACAGGTTGATTATCGGAACTTTGACCACCATCTTCTACCTCTCCATATCGATCACTGCCTTCGCTATGAACAGCCCATGGCCAGGCGAGTCGCTTCTAGACGTCATTGTCTCGTGGCACTACTTGAAGTTTGCGAAATCTTCGATCGCCACTGGTATGATTGGGATGTTTGTTGACTGGATCCTTCTCTTTCTCCCGGTGCCGGCAGTATGGCGTCTCAAGATATCGCGTCGGAAGAAAGCGAGTGTTATTCTCATTTTCATGACAGGCACGCTGTAAGTACATTCAGATGGCGCTTTACTATATGCCAATGGTGCTTCGCCCATTGGTCTGAAGGTACTGATGATACCACTAGAGGAGCTATCGCGTCCGTGCTAAGCTTATATTATCGCGTCGTACTGCAAAGAGACCCAACGGACACTACTTGGAAAGTAGGATACACATTGCTTTGGACGTAGGTACCACAATTCAACAGCTTCCCCTTGGCTTTGTTAACTTATTTATAAACCAGGCAAGTTGAAATGTGGTCCGGTGTTACTGCTTCGTGCATGCCAACAGTCAAGCAATTCTTCTCTCACTATTTTCCGACCGCGTCGCTAGATAAAAAACCGGAGCAGTCGACCTCGCATTCTCGGCGTGTAAACGAAGGGAGGAATCTCAAGCCTGGAGGCTCTTTCAGGCTGTGGGGTTACAAGAGCAGTACGCACACCGAGAGTACTGAACAAATTACGCAAGGATCAAATTGCTCCCGGACCGAAGTAGCTGACAGGAGTGGTGCGACCGCGAACGAGAGTGGACAGCTCGAATGAGAAAGCTTTCAAAGACCGTAAGCTTAAACTGACTGCAGGATGTCTACGTATGGGTAAGCGGTGTTTCTTCCAATCGGGAGTGACTTCAAATGCACTGCTATGTTCTCAATGGTTCATGTACCCAACACACATCTTGACTTTACATCATTCTCTATGTACTTATGCAACGTGAGCAGCCTCGAAATCGAAGAAGTACTACGAGCGAGGACTGTTGGCTTGTCCCGGTAGCGTGATAGGTGTGCACTATGTCTGTGGAATATTACACGCTTGCCTTCCGGTCATTTTGCTTAGACACCCTGAACTGATATGTGTTCTTGGACGTGACTGTCCCAAAAGTCCTCCCCAAAATCTTCTTCAAAATCGATCATATTGGCAAGCCCACGATTATAGCGATCTTAAAGATTCGTGCGGTTCAAATTTCGCCGTGCCTCGGGGTTGTAGTGTGGATAGCATGGTTGATACTCCTTCCACTCGGAGCCAAACACTAAGTGCGTTCTTCCTTCCTGATATGAAGACATGGTTCATCGTCACCGCGTCATTTGTTATGATCGCAAAGTAGCTTGGTCTTGCAACCATGTTGCCAGCAGTGAGTACTGCGAGCATCAACGAAGATGCGCGGGTTCTTGAGGACTTCTTCAGCAAGCATGGCATACTCGAATACCATTATCTCTAATGCGATAAGGAGGTGACAATCGACCGCAACATGAACATTGTGACGGAGCTCCTCGCAGGCGTAGCGTTGTAAGATATCAAGTGTAGTGACAAGGGTGTCGTAAACACGATGCTTATCGGTCGCGTCGCAGCGATGTCGTTGCATACGTTTCCTTATTGCTCGGCATGACTTGGCCATATTGACAGAGCATTTCTCTTGAGAATGAGTATCAAAAACGCTCGTATGAAATGCCAGTTCAAACATAATTTTGTTGACCTCTTCGTGTCCTCTACTTCGAGCCCAGGAAAACCTGCTGACTGTTGGGGCTGTAAGATACAAAGCTTAATCTCGATATAAAACTTTAGTGTGCTCTTCAGCTGCGATCGTGCGGCATGTCTGAGATTGTCCGGAATTCTTCGCCGAGAAACTCAAAGAATCAACTGAGCTGGTCTTCGGTCTGATACTCATCATACAATTTTCGATATATGTGCATATATTTGCCTACGCATTCGACGTAGTCAAAGAACTCAGGTACACTAAGCTCCTGCAGCCGGCGTATAGAGTTGCACGTAAGATCTGCTGGAATCAGTCTAGTCCTAAATTGCATGGATTAAAACGGCTCACCGGGTGAGAAGATGTTCGTTGTTCCCCACCATTTGCCCTCATTGTCGAGTAATTTCGGAATATCTTCTAGCGATCTTTCGATTTCCTCGATCTTGCGCTTGATATTGCTTATGAACTCAACAAACAAGTCGTTGAAGTCGCTGAAATGAAATGTGAGCTCTTCTGCTTTGCGATCCAAAGCAGGCCACTGTCTAATTGGGAACCCATAAATGCCAAAAATTCATCGAAATCATGCATTTGATCACAACCTTCCATCGCGCAGATTCGAATCAGCAGAAGGCAGGTCTTGTTCATATGGGATACGGTAGCGTCATCTTTGTTCGAAGGGCCAATGAGGCTGTAGCGGACCTGGGGGAATTGTGTGTCGGTATGATCTTGCGGTGATGGTGTATCGGTGGCATCTTCTATTGCGTCCCAATCGACTGGCTGTATTTGGGACATTGCTGCAATGAGAGCATGAATGTTGTTGGGCTCGCCAACGCGTAGCTAGCAAATAAGATCAAGGTGGATGCGCCAGTCCTTGTGGCCCGTGTGACGCTTAGGATGTGTCGCCTGCCCTATAAGTCGCAAGTCGGACTCTTCCACAACTATCCCCATAATGAGCAACAAAAAGGTCTTAACTTCCAAACCAATGTCATCTTGACCACATTGCATATAATGCATATAAGGCACGCAGACCCCTTCTCGCTGTGGAATAAGCGCGCTTCAACAACTACCTAGGCACACCTCGATGCCAACTATCATACAGCGCTTTTCATGAGTCACTGACATTGTTCAAGAGATCGATTCAGAGACAAGTTGGCCCGACATGGCCACTCAACACTAATGATGAAGCACAGGTCATGCTCAGAGATTGTATAAATCATGGAAGTGAAAGAAAAACAACAATGTCTAGCGGAAAGAATGGTTCGTTCACGAGTATTACCTATCGCAACAATCCAGCTAAGCAACAATCTCCTTGGCGACCCTCTTGACTTCCTTCGCCAGCTTCTCGGCCTCACTCTTCGCGTTCCTCGCCTTAATCTTCGCCTGTGTACCCTTGATCTGCGCAGTCAAGAACTGCACACCCTCGTTTGCCCTGACACCGTATGTCAAGTGCGCCGGCAACACCGCCAACGTACCAAGACATACTGCATCACCCGGCTGGCAGATAATCTTCACTTTCTCCTTGGGGAAGTTGGGGATTTGGTTCCTGTCTTGCAACTTCTGTGTGTCACCGTAAAGTACAACGCCAGCGATCTGCTCCTTCACGTTTGCAGGAAGGCCTTCGATGCTGCGGTGACAGACTGCTGCGCCCTGGGAGTAGCCGCCTGCTACGATGACCGAGTCAGGGCATTTGGACGCCATGTTTGTGAGCGTGGTGGCCATGAGGCGCTCGGAGGCCGCGTCGGTACCACCGGGAAGAGCATTTGTGCCTATAAGGGCGGCATAGTCTTTTATCATCAAAGGTCTTAGCAAAATTCAGATCAAGTCTTGCAGCGTGATTACTCACCAATTCCCTCGGTCGCGACTGCATCGCGGCCAAATGCGCGCTTGAGGCCGTCGGAGGTGGGCGGGCCCACGACAGTGCCCTGAGACGGTCAGTTTTTAGTTTTGTAAGTCGCATGGATACGCTTACCATATTGCCTATTTCAGTCGATCCACGAGCCCATGCAAAGAGGACGTCTTTGCATCCGCCTCGGCTGAATTCTTTGGATGTTGATCCAGTCCCGCCTAGGAGTTGGCGTACCTCTACCGGACCAGCGGCAGCTAGTCCGGCCAAAAGCGAGACGAGAAGTGACTGAGTATACATGTTTCTTGATGTGTCGCGAACGTGTTGTGTATAGGTAAACTTGAGGATTGAAAAGCAGCAAGAGATCAACGAAAGAAGAGTAGACAGGCTCAGCCCGGACGGAACAAAGACACCGGTGAAGCGAAGGTAAGAGTGATGCTGCTGTGATTCTCCAGATACTGGAGGGCGATCATCCTTATAACCTTGCTACAACGAGTACACCGGTTTGATCGAATACGAACAATCCTCGATGCAGATCCCACTCTGCATTGCTGCAAGATGCCCAAGATCCAGTCGAAGACGCCGCCAAGTAGATGAAGTACCAAGCGCGATCGGAGGACCTCAAATTAGAGGGCAGAGAAATCGCAGCCGAGGAAGGTGCCATGCGGTGATGCTCATGATTGGGTGTCCCAGGCACAGAGGTTTGTGGGGCAGACGGATGTTAATGCGTTTGTATGTGGGTGAAGAATGCATTCCTCAAGGATTGATAGGACATCCCAGTTATCAGTAAAGCATGAGCGAGTTTCGGAGGGCTATCGTGGCTGTTAGCTCCCGCTTGGTGTCAGTGGCGCCATGTTTTCTTACAAATTCGCTCTTACCAACTGCTCTGGTTCGGTATTTTTTCTTTGGGTATCCTGGCTAGACTTGTAGCATATCTGTACCATGACACTGGAGTATCCAGTAGATTGGGCGTGCCGTCATGGTGCCTCGGTACTCTTCCGTCTATGGTTGTCTCTATTGGCTGAATGTTGTTCACCGACGAGCTGTCAATGTAACATTTTGACAGAATTCTTACGCGATAGTCTCGAGACTGGAAACTCATGACGTGGGTTGCATAAGGGCAATCTCAAGCGGCCGCGATAAATCTACTAAGCAGCTATCATTCCCCAATCACGGAAAATTGAGTCGCGTAGCAGTGTATTAGGTTCGGGATGTGCGAACTCCATAGACGGACAAGCTTTTCGATATCATTATCGTGTTCTTAATATTGCCAGGTTAGCGGAATGGTTCTATCGGTTGCTGGCTATGTTCACTGAGTAATGGCGTAGCGGCACCCCACCTGTTTCAAGACAAGCTGTGACGCAAAAACAACTGTTCAGTCAATGCAACACGAAACACCACAGGCACATATTAAAAGGATCATTGTTGCTTTTTTGCAACAGCAGAAGTGCATGAACTCACAATAGTAATATTCAGATACTTGAAGATGCAGATGTTTCAGCTTTGGTAAATGGTGGCGAAATAGGAACAGACTGAGGCAGAGTATTTCCGACATACCGAAATCAACAGAACAGATCTTGTACGTTGAGCAAAGTCGAGATTGCCATCCTTGAGATCCTTATCCGACATATCCGCTGAGGGATCTTTTTTGTCAAAAGCATGACTCGCCCTCGTCTTGCGCGACATATTGGTAATATTGTAATGTGTGCCTCCGAGCGTGGGAGACATGGCGTTTGCTGTAATCCAGTTCAGCCGCTTTGCCCAACCCCAAGGGTCTTTTCCCGTCTTCTTGCGTAGCTTGGACTCGCCGCTAGACTTTGCCTTTTCCAAAAGCTCCTTCGCGCCCAGGACGCCTTTGCTGGCCTCGAATTAGGTATTGCTGAAATGAGCTGTAGCATGCGGGCGCCACTCCACGGACTTGCACTCCATGCCGTACTCTGGCAGATCCGAAGACCATTCCAGGAAGTACTTTATGGCGAGTGGAAGGTCGAGAATCTCGGTGTCAGCCTTCATTTCGTCCGCGTGATTGATGGCTGCGATAGCGCCAGGGAGAGCATCGCCCATGATTCCAGCTAGGGCTTGTACTTTCTCACCATCCTCGTTATCTTCGCATGTCACGCAACACAAGAGCTTCAGCAATGATGTGAACTCACTGATGGAACCAAGCATCACTACTGAAGCCAAACGTATCGACCTCGTTGACGGACAGTGCCAGCGCGCTGATCGGCGCGCATATCTGCTTGAGGGCATCGTTGCCTTTCTTCTTGAGTGCAGCGTCGAAATCAAGCAACTATCATGGTCAGAAAGTCAGTTACCGATTCAGATCTCTTTCTACTACATGTTGTCACTTATGACAGAAAGCGTCTAGGGTGCCTAAACCTATAAGCAGAGCTTTGCCATAGTAATATAAGCTTGGCAACACTGTATATAGATGCTGGGTACTAAGTGCCCTTGTTTACTTTCCGTCGTAGTTGACAACCTGCAATAACCACACATACCAAGTTCTCCATAAGTTCCATCAACCCCTTACCAGCGAAGTCGTTATGAATGTAAATTCTGAAATTATCCGGATCGCAGTAATACGAACGCCTCCTATAGTCACCGAAGTCTTGGTACCTTCCCAAATGATCACCCACTTGTACTCTGGGTGATCTTTGGCTGGCTTCAGGATGATGCCGCTTTTGAGAGCCTCATCAAACTCTTCTTGTATCTTTCATATAGTTCGTCTTCATCGTCCGCCTCCTCCGCTTAACAATTCTCGACCTCGTACTCGAGATGTGGGCGGTGCATGCATACATACTTGTGAGGAGAGATTGTATTCATCCGCAAATGTACCAGCAAACTTATTGCAATCAATACGATGGAGATACAGAAGCCTTGCATCGTGAAGCTTGGGCCCTTCGTCGTTTTGATGAGCGGTCGCACTTTCGGGCTCTTACTCTTGAGTGAGAGCACTCGTCTCCTTGCTGGTCTTCTGCTTTTTGGTTGGAGGCATTATGAAATGCTGCAGCAATGTAACGTCTGGCGAGTCCAAAAAGGATGGAAAACAAATGGACGATGGGGGGAGCCGATACAGCATATAGTTGCAGATCATCGGTCCGAGTGACATCAGACGGTCCATGCACACAAGTGAAACGCGACCAACACGCGCTGCACGTGATGGGAAAACACCAAAAAACACCCTTTATAAGGACATGTCGTCTAAGATGAGATATCCTCATAACGGAGTGAAGATATCACATGCTGCCAAAAGCTACTTTCCCTACCCCGTTCGTTAAATTGCTCTTGTTTGATAGCGATAAACTTGCTGTTTACCCTGCTCTCGATTATGCTAACGCGCTCGTACAGCATTAGTTTGATCCCCAGTGATGATAGTGGTGGCATTGATGTTGGACGAAGCTGTGGTTCCGACCACCGAGTTTGCAATCGCTTTCCGTCGGACAAATCATGACAAGATAAGGCCGAGCAGCATGCGACAGCACAATCAAGAAGTCGTACATTGGATTTTCTACGTCTATGAGCAGTGTTCTATCCACCAACTACGAAGAAAAACTTTCTCATCTCGCGCAGCGCCTTCAGCCCGCAAACATGCACGACCCAATCGCCGACGCAAAAGCCCAAGAAGCAACGCGAAAATACACATTTCGCACCGCAACCTTAGATGATATACCCGCCCTCCAACAAATGATCGGCGACTCTCTGCGCGCTTTAGGAAAAGGATACTACACGCAAGCCGAACTCGACGGCTCGATCGGATACCTATTCGGGCCCGACACGGTCCTTATCCACGACCAGTAAGCCCCATCAAGCAGCCCGTCCATCTCAATCGAATGCTCAACTTCGCGAAGAACATACTTCATCCTGCACCCCTCATCGCAGCCCCAAACAATCTGCGCCTGCGGCGGCTGGTCCTTCCGCAAAACGCTGTATGGCGGCGACTCCGCCCCCTCACCCTTGCGCATGCCGGAAAAACGCAACCCTGAGACTGACCGCGCGAGTATCCGCGCAATCTTCACGCATCCTGATTATGCCCGCCAAGGCTTGGGGACGATGATGATGCGGCACTGTGAAGCGGCTGCACGTGACGGGAAGACGGGGGTGATTGGCGGGTTTGAGAGGCTGGAGATGGGCGCAACGTTGAGTGGCGTGGCGTTGTATGAGAAGTGTGGATATGTGAGGAGTGGGAGGGAGGATGTGGTGAGGTGTCCGAATGGGGAGGGTATTGGGATTGTGCATATGGTCAAGGATTTGGATGGGGCTGTGAAGGAGAGTACCGATGTAGAGACATCGTGAGCGAATTGCACGATGCCTCGGAGTGATAGTGTTCACCGTGGTAGCGTATTTCTTGTGATCTCAAGGATACAGCGCCAATCTTTGTTGGCATAGAAATGAATGACTGGCACAATGAGAATTGAAGGCACACAATGGTGCAAATTGGAGCTGACTGCGAGCCTGCGTGAAGAGCGTCGAACTGTATGACTACATTAGGCATCGAAATGATGAGGCGTGTTCCCAAGATTTCGAATGGGCATTTGGCGAGCGATGGGTAAAGCTCAGTGGGCTCGTGGTCTTCCAATTCAGCTTGCATGATTGAACTGTTTTGTTCTGCTCGAACATCCATCCTACAAGCCAAATCATCGGCCCGAATCAGCATATCGAACGTCATCAACGTTGTGAAGCGACCCTTTCTACGAGCATGTCCGATCTAAAAGCTGCTGCCTTGTCGAGCGATGTCGTCATTGTCACTGTGCCTGCGGGCAATCGATCCAGATATCGTTCTGGTCCGCGGTAATCCAGCCACAGAGCTCGACTTGGGCGCGAGACTGCCGGAATTTCTCTGGTATATTTAGTTGCCTATTTAAGACGCCTCACGGACGAGCAAGTATTCGATGGTTCGAAGGACAGCGTCGCAAGAGAAAGCAGAGTCAGTGGATGATTGCTTCAGCCAAAGATGATCACCAAGCAGACTCAGAGTCACGGAATGCGCATCACAAGTCAGGAGATTGCAACTTGTCAAAAGCACTTTTTTTGTTATGGAAAGAAACCAGGGGGGAGAGAGTCAAAAAGCCAGCCAAGCCCCGAGAAACCCCAAATGCAAGAGTATCCAAGCCCTTCCCCGCCTGAAATCTCCCAAGAATAGCCAATGCGGAAATCAAAGAGTTGATTCAAGACCAGAAAGCCAAAAAGCGACAATGTTCGCACACACAGTGCCCGCCGTAAACTGGGGGATATTGTACATGTCATACCTGCAGGCCCCAAAACGCCTTTCCGTGGGGTATCAGATCGTCCAACGTGAGAATTCCAAAAAGTGCAAGACTGAGATTGGTCGGTCTATCGTTGTGATCGTTCACGCGCATCGCATGCAGTACCGTGGAAGCAAATATGGGAAAGGACTGTCGCGAGGAGCATGGTCGACGCAAGATACTGTGTGCTCCAGCCTTGGAGGTGAGTGAGAGAGGAAGAGTGATCATTGTAGTTGTACAAGCAGGACCACTTCAATAGTTTCGAAAGTTGCGGTGGGTATCGTGGTCCGGATCGGGCACTATGGGCTCGGAGACGATTACAACCGGTAAATCGCCCACATGGTGGGAAGAAATGCGAGTCAAATCGATGCGTGATCGTCAAGCAGAGTTGTCGTTGTTTGTCGTGCGCGATCTTTTATCCGATGTGTTGGCAGGGTGGAGCTATGAGTCCAAGAAGGCGTCCATGGCCTCTTCAAGATCTTGACTCCAAAGATATAGCTTCTCCTCCTCGATCTGGTCATCGACAGGGAGGTAGACATCTTCCATGGTCGGAATGCGGGCAACCTGATCGATGGGGTACTGTTCGACGCAAGGAAGCTGGTTCCATGGCAGACCAGGGGGGCCTTGCTCGCGCGGAAGAGGTGGGTAGCGCCCAACACCGGTCTTGGCTCGATCATCGCCCTCCCACTTGAGCTCAGCAATAGAAGGCCAGGGTGCAATATCGTCCTTGCCATTCTTCCAGTCACGGCACCAGATCGTGTGTTCTCCGAGGACACGACTCAGGTTGGTAACCTCGTCGAAGTTGCCATACAACCCCCATTTGTTGAGGTTCTGCTGAGTGTCGAAGGGGATAGGGGGTATGCGCAGAGCGTCCTCCTTCGCCTTGACCTTGTTTGCGAGTAGGTTGGCCTGAGAAGCAAGCATAGCTTCGCGGTGGGCAATGTAGTCGTTGTACTTCCACTTCGAAACCTCCGAGTTTTTGAATTGGCGACGCATCGCGTTCCGAATGACCATGAACTCCTGCATGGCTTGAGCATCCGCTGACATCCATGTGCGAGAGTTCCGGAAATTGGCACCTCCACCACGACCAGCACTGAAGGGACTTCCAGTGCGAAAGCCACCGTCTCTCCGGGCAAAGTCAGGAGTGGGGTGATTGAAGCGACTGGAGTCGTTGTAGTTCTTGAAACCTCGCTGAAAAGGTGCAGTGTAGCGTCCAACCTCCGTGGGCTTGGGTTGACTCGCATCACCGATGCTCAAGTTGTCGAAGTCAAGGCTCTCAGGGCTGAAAGGGCTGCTGAGAGAGTTTGCGACTTCTCCGTCGGAGCGAATCTCAGAGCTTCCATCCTCATTTAGAGTGCCGCCGCTGCTCTCCGAGGTCGGCGACATGAACTTGATGGGGGTGGCTGCCTTTGCATCGACACGGTTGGCGCCGCTCGAACCTACTTCCGCCTGTTCAACACTACCGGTCATCTAATATTCGCCTCGGGTAGCGCAATCGCTGTGTGGGAGTGATGTTTCGGAGGTGAAGATTGTGCTTGTTGATTCCAGGGAAAGTTAGGGTCGACGTCGGTATGTGGGTAATTGAAACACAGGTCCACACAGGTGAACGCTTTGTTGAAGTCTGAGTCTTGCCTCGGGCAGCGTAATCTCTGTGTAAGAGTGGTGCTTCGGGGCCTTTCCTATTGTTCAAATTAGACCATATGCTCTGGTGTTTGCGATTATCCAACAAATGCGTTGTCGGTCGCATAATATTTCTCAATGATGCCCAGATGCAAGCCCGTGAGTTCTGGCGTGATAGAAAGAGTCCTGCCACTTGTTCACCGACATTGAGGAAGCCAATAGAAACTGGGCCGCACGGCGTCACCGCCTCCACACATCGGCTGCTCTCACAATCGCGCGTGATACGAGGGAGTGATCACGTACCTGGTAATTGGGGGAAGTCAGGATTTGGAACTGTCAACTCTTTGGCGAGCTTTGTGGGCCGCGAAAATCGGTGTCAGTAAGAGCATGAAATGTGTGACTCCACATCAAAGATATGGGTCAAGGTAATGACAGGCTGCGCTTTTGCTGGGACCGTAACTTACAGGTGCGAAGTCTCGACTGTCTAGGGTAGAAGCGGAGGTTGAGTAAGGGACTTGGAGAGGGTTGGAAGCTTTCAGAACAAATGATGGGAGGTAGGTAGCTGCCTAAGGTCAATAACAGTCCGCTATTGTGCCTGCCTGTGGTGAAATAGGTTGGGTGGAAGAAATGAAAGCCCTTGAAGCTCGAAGCTATTGTTATAGCTCTACTGTAGCCTAGACCCGCTTTCCAAGGGCGAAGTGAGTGCCGTACCTGATCAGCCGAGCGGTGACTTGCTCGTGTCGTGAGAGAAGCGACCCGGCGGAGTATAGGCGGGCGGTATTTTGACGTTCTACAACCTTCGCGAATCTATGCGGTCTAAGAGCTCAGGTTTAGTTTCTAGATGGAGCTGCGCGGATGGGCGAGGTTGGATTGGTCTTGTCCAGTGGTGGTCGGTCTAGTTGGTATGATCGCGGAACGATAGCGGCAGCAGCGAGAAAATCTGATGGAGGGCGTAGCGCTTTGAACTAATACTATGAGGCGAAAGGCAAGTAGTGAACCGAAGAAACGTCTAAATATTGGTGGTGGGGCGCGGGGAAGTTATCGCGATCGGGCACGGTCTTGTTGGCAAGTTGCTCTGCGCAAGCTCGGGTCTCCTTGGGCACAGAGTCGTGAAAGCCCTTCTCGAAATTTCCTCTCGAGACTTCTTTCACCAGCCCAGTCAGTGAGATGTCCCTGAGAGCGAGCGGAAGATTGACAGGCGAGCAGCGACCGGCGCTGCTGTGTAAAGAAGAGGATCGTAGAAGGAGTTGATAGACGATAGGAGCTGATGTAGTACGGATGACGAGTTGAAAGGAGACCAGAAGACAGACAGGAACCTGGAGTTTCCTAACTCGCCTCTTTGTCCTTCAGACAGCAAGAACAACTCGAGCGAGGGCGAGCAGGTGCAGCTCATAGACCGGAGTTGCTCCAGAAGGCTTGCACCACATACTCTACAATTTCAATGGTAAACCACGAAGCTACATCGTACTTACAGTACCGTCAAGATGTTTACTGACACGCAGGAAACTTGACAAATTGCCAGACACTCCAACATCTTACCATTACGGAGCAAATCATATCATGCTTCTTGCAGACTATAGGGACATCGTACGCACAATGGCTTCAAGCTCCTGCAAAGCTGCCTACAATGTGAGACCATAGGTATCGTGCATGATGAAATCTGTCGCAGCAGGTCAATATTGTAGCCAGGAAGATGATCTAAGTTAAGTTCTGCATATGGAGGCCAGCGCATGTTGCTATTAATAAAGTTACGAGGTGGAAGATAGTGTGCACGAAAAGTTGAGACGGATGAAGTTGAGATGGACATAGGGCCGTGCACACGCGTGTTTGAGGCTCTGTAGCCGCCCATGCGACCATTGGCTCTAAGCGATCGACCCCACACGGCAGGCGCTACGCCGCAGCCACGCAAGTAAGGGCGCCATCGAGTTGACGACGGACCATGAGGTCGGTAGCATAACTTCACTACATCCAAAATCAGAGGCAGGTGAATGTCAACATTCAGCAAAACACCAACTGCACACTGTCGCGCCTCTGCACGACATACTGTAGTTGGTGTTCAAAGTGACATGCAGATGTGAAACACAACACACAATGACGTTAGACCTGCAAAATCAAGGCACAGCACGCGCCACGCAAGACGGCGCAGTGTGAGCCTACAAAACCGTTGCGTCCCGCATATTCTCGTGCCTTGAGCACCTCCTCTGCCATCGACTGACGTTCAGAGGTCGTGTTCCCTTGCGCTCGACACCACATCTAACTCTGCGACAGCCGTGGACGTCACGAGGAGGCCCAGGTCGCCCGATCTGCCTCTTTGCGCCGGTACGACTGTCGTGGGCCAATGAGCGCAAGCCGTGGAACAAAGGACGCCCGCTCAAGACAACCCGCGACAACCACCCGAGGACAAAGAGGCTCAAAATAACAGCCGCTGTCCATAACTCATGTTCTAGCGCGTTGTTTTGGCCTTCCCCAGCCCGACCAGCTGACAACCGAATGACTGGTCGGGAGTGGCTTGCTCCACTTCCAAGGGCGCCTATTTGGGCCACCACGAAATCCGAGATCGCCTGTTCTAACTAGAGCCTCACCCAGTGGATGCGTTGCTGAAACGGCCAGGTCGTGCAGGCCAGTCTACGAGGTGCCATTGGTACCTTGCAGCCGGCCCGCAATTGGTCCTCGCTTTCTCGCGGTACGTAGCTCGATTCAATACAGTCATTGTGAAAGTTCATATTCACCGTCACTTGCACCTGACTCTCCTTCACCTGCGAATCTTCACACTGTTTTTTCTTTATTGCATTGTACGGAGCGTTGGGTTTCCTATCGTCATTGTTCTACCGTCTTCCATTCTGTAATTCTCGTAATCTTTCCTACCTCACACCGTCTCTCTGGTAGATACTTTTTCTCTCTTTGTGCAGCCGGCCTCCACCAACAACTGCTTTTTGACTCCTCATCTACAACCGACTCATCAAACGACCGTCGAACACCCCGCCGTATCTAATACAACAAACAGACCGCGCTTCGCAGCCTTCCACACACGTGATGGCTTCCTCTACGTACCAACAGCAACCCTTCCCGGCTGTGCCTCCATCTATGTCCGCTGGCGAGCATGAGATGCGAGACTACCACGCACCGCAAGATGCACCACGACCTACAATAAACCAGACACCAGACTTCAAACCATACCTCGGCCTTCGAGCTAGGCTCTCGCAGATATGGATCAACCGCTGGACTATTCTCCTACTACTAGTACTCGTACGACTACTTTTCGCCATCGCAAGCACTGACTCAAGCCTTGTTTCAGCACGTCGCGAAGCTCTCAGTGCTTGCACCTCAGTCGAGAAAATCGGCAGCTCAATGGCCTCTATGCCCCACTACATGTCCCAGGGTGTCAACGAGATGACTGCTTCTGGCATCGACAAAGCTGTTGGTGGCCTCATGAAAATGTTGGAGATGAGTGTCACTGGTGTCGAAGAGATTGTGCTGTTTGTCATTCACATGATGACCAGCACCTACCTCTGCCTCATCACACTCGCTGTCAGTGGCAGCCTTCACGCAGCTGTTGAGCTCGGTACCGAGATCAACAAGAAGCTCAACGAGACTATCGATGAAGTCACTGGCGACATCGGTAACTCCGTGAAGTCTGTCACCGAGGGCATCAACTCCATCATGGACAAGATCAACTTCAACCTGCCCGGGTTCAAGAAGCCTGAAATCAACCTGGACAGCTCCATCAGCAAGCTCAAGGCGCTCGAACTGCCTTCCGAGATGCAGGAAGGCCTCGTCAAGCTCAACCAGTCCATCCCCACCTTCGATCAGGTGCAGAACTTTACCGACAACCTCATCCGCACTCCATTCGAAGAGGTCAAGAAGCTCATCAAAGCTATGGACAAGTTCGAGTTCAACCGCACTCTGCTACCTGTCCCGCAAAAGGAGCAGCTGAACTTCTGCTCCGAAGGCAACTCGATCAACGAATTTTTCGACGACCTCATCGAGATGGCTTACAACGCCCGCAAGATCGCTCTTGGCGTGCTCATTGTCGCCGCGATCCTCGTATGCCTTCCCATGGCGTGGATGGAAGTTCGTCGTTACCGGAAGACACAAGCCCGCGTCGCACTACTCGCGGAGGGTCACGACGGGATGGACGTTGTCTATCTCGCATCGCGTCCTACTTCTTCCAGTATCGGTCTGTGGTTCGGCAGGCGATTTGGCTCACAGCGTCGTCAAGCTATCATGCGCTGGGCCTTCGCCTACGCCACTTCCGTCCCCATGATGTTTCTGCTGGCTCTCGGTATCGCCGGTCTTTTCTCGTGTCTTTGCCAATACATCCTACTAAGGGCCATTGAGGACAAGACCCCCGAGCTTACCAAGCAGGTCGGTGACTTTGCCGGAAAGGTCGTTTCATCACTCAACAATGCCTCCATGTCTTGGTCGCAGGGCGTCAACGGTGCTGTTGGCAAGCTGGACGACACAATCAACGACGACATGCTCAGCTGGGTGAATGGAACAACGACTGCGGTCAACAATACTCTCAATGGCTTCGTTGACGAGATGTCCAAGACTCTCAATGAGACCTTCGGCGGCACGCCCCTTCACGATCCTATCAAGGAAGTACTCAACTGCCTGATTGGTCTGAAGATTGCCGGTATTCAAAAAGGCCTGACCTGGGTCCAGGACAACGCTCATATTTCGTTCCCGGGCGTTGCAAACAACACATTCTCTCTCGGCGCCCTCGCCGCAGAGAGCGACTCAGGATCTGCTGCCGAGCTGCTCGCCGATCCCAGCGGCAAAGCCAAAGACGAAATCACCGAAGCCGTCACCTACGTTAATCGACCAAGATGATGAGGCGGCATCCAACAAGAAAGCCCTCATCTCCACCGTCATCATCCTCATATGGGTGTTCATCACTCTCGGTGGCTACATCTACGCATTTCGACCCAGCTTTTCCGCCGCGATCCCTACGAGAGCAACCGCGCCTACACCATCGACCCTGCCATCGACTATGAGCCCAAGCCCGCAGATGCTGGTGCATACGATCCCGCCGCGCCGCCATCCTATGTTGCCAATGACTACAACGTTAACAAAGCCGCGCCATATACGCTCGGCCACCGACCCTTCCCGACTTTCGACGCAGACCCAGAGTCCGAGAAAGTCGGCTCCGTCGGCGCGCATGCCATCACCTCGTCCTCACGCCCTGGACACCTGCGCGCAAGCAGCCATGGCGACCTAGCCGACCCGTCACCCGCCGAAGATCGAGCAAATCCCTTTTCCGACAATCACTTCCCGCGCGAGAAGTAGTTCCCACATAGTCCAGCCATTCTTTTCTATCCGATCCCATATTCTAGTCGATGGATTCCGCCAACGCTGACTTTCCCACCTGACCTTTTGTTAACTACGGACCTTCTGAGTCTCCCGGGTCAGTTAGTTGAGGTGCGGATTCGCCATATCGACCTGCTGATGCAAGCCGTAATTGCTCAGTGCTCCGAACCATGGATTTCTTTGAAGTTTCTTCCTTGGAAGAAGAAATATTTCGTCTCTTTCTTTGATGATGCGATCACACGCTCTCAGGAGAGACGGGGCGCGATTGTTTTCATTGCGTTGATGGCGAGCTAATTCTTTTTTGGCTTACCTCCGCAAAGGCGATTGCGTTTCTCATTTTTTGGTGTTTTTACATCTACATTCCCCCATTCATTTTGCTCAATACCCAAACCAATGTATTTTCTGTGTTTATTTGTTTAGTGTCAATGTCGCTGCACGGTGGTTGTGTATAAAAAAGCGATTTGATTCACCTCTTGTTCTTTGAATCCCCAATTGGGAGATGGAAAAGGATACGACGAAGAAGAAGCTTTTGTAAACCCTTTTCTCGCTGGGGCCATCTTCTCAACTATCTCTCTCTTCTTTATTAGTGTCTCTTTTCATTGACAAGGCTGTGTAATCTCCTTTGGTATGTCTGTTCCCGAGGTCCCTTACGCCCGATCTTCCTCACAGCCCTCCTTTACTCCTTTCCCTTCTACCCCCATCATCCCACACCGAAGCGCTTGGTATCAGCGGTCTCGTCATAACTGCGCGTGCCTTTCGCCGTTGGCTTGCCCGCCTAGCACGTCGACACTTTGTCAAGGACGTTGACCCTCACACGTGGTTGATTGTTGCCGCTAGTCAAGGACGCAAGGAGTACAAGGCCTGTGGCTGCTGTGATAGAACCGGCAATATGTGGACATGTCTCGCTCATTCGCCTCTTCCCATCAATCCCGCTCTACTTCAAACTCACCGGCCCTTGTACGGATGTATCGCCAGACCCGACACTGTGGCTGTTGCTGGGGGAGCGTGGGATGGGATGTTTGTGCTGATCGATAACAAGCGTTTATGGCTTTCTCCTTGCCCTCTCTTTCTCTTTGTCCATGCTTGGACTGGGCAGGGGACGGAGGGGCAAGTTGTCGCATTTCGCGACAGTTTGAGTTGAAAGTCGATGTAGATTGTGCCTGAGTACGGCTGGTTGAAGAATCCTCGTCACCTTTTGATGTTGGGTTGGTTTTGCGCGTTTCGCGCCGTTTAAGAGTCGATCCCGCGGCGCTTGCGCCCGGGGATAGGGAGGATATGGCGTTTCTTTTTGGGTGGAAACGGTGGTGCCAGATGGTCCAGGAGTGGACATCAACACCAAATCGAGTGGTTGTGTGTGGGCGGAAAATCTTTGGGGGAGAGACAGCACTCGGCTAGATTGTTACAGCGTTTGCGAGACTGTCGATAGCTAAATTGAAGGATCCTCCCCCAACATGACCACTGACCACTTTATGTACTGTTTTCGCACGCTCTTTATCTTTCCTTGATTACTGTCGTTGACACGAATTGCATGCACGGCCATGCCTAGGTAGCCGTAGATAGAACACGAATGAATACCAAGACCATGTTGCTGATTTGAATCTCGCTCGCCCTGCTTTTCGGAGTATGTATTATTTCTGGTTGTCGCGCTTCTGGTGCAGCATTCAGACACGCACGTGGTTTTGGAGCTATGACATCCGCGCCCGAGCAATGACGACGATCGCAGGCACGACTACCCAGCATCACCACTCACAGAGCTCTCGTTGCGCGCCAACATGCCGACCACCAACGAACACATGACCAAATGATCCCACGATAACCGTGGAAGAGTTTAGTCATCATGCTCTCCGCCTTCACGGCTCGGCCCATTGTCGAGCTGAAACAGCGCGACAAGTCCAAGATCGAGTCTATCCTTGCCTATGGTATGCAGCCTATAGCAGCTGCGCGCAGCAATACTGACCTGCACAGGCGATCGAGTGCTTGTCGGGCTGAACTCGGGAGCCCTGCGCATCTACCGCGTCAACGACCAGATAGAAGACACCGAGCCCGAAGCCAAGCAGAATGGCGACCACAACGACGAGACGGAACTGCCCACACCAAAGGCGAAGCCCGCAGACCTGCTGCGCGAGGAGGAGAAGTTCTCGCGGCGCCCAATACAACAGCTCGCAATCATCAAGGAAGCCAACATCCTCATCTCGCTCTCAGACAACCACGTCTCGATCCACGACTTGCAGACATACACACTGCAGGAGAAGCTGGAGAGGACAAGGGGGGCGACGACGTTTGCTGCAGCTAGCAATATTGTGAAGGATGCAACCACGGGCATACCCTCGATTGTGAGCAGACTGGCGGTCGCGGTCAAGAGGAAGATCATACTATGGACATGGCAGGACATGGAACTGACAGGCGATGCGGTAGAGATATCCCTCATCGCTACCGTCAAGAGTTTGACGTGGGCAACGGGTACCAAGATTGTAGCTGGCATGGACCCCGGCTTTGTCATGGTGGACATTGAGAACCAGGAGGTGCAAGACATTGTGAAGCCCGGCGCGCTCGGAGAAGGCGGTGCCCAGGGAGGCGCTCGCTTTGGCGCCGTGTCTTCGTCTGGCATGGGCTACATGGGCATGGCTAGCTGGGTACCGAAGCCGCTAGCAACGCGACTGGGTGAGGGCGAGATGTTGCTGGCAAAAGATGTGAACAGTCTGTTCATCGACACGGATGGCAACCCCATCGAGAAGCGACAGGTTCCGTGGCACTCGGCTCCCGAGATGATCGCATACTCGTACCCATACATGCTCACGCTGAACCCGCCAGCCAAGGGCAGCTTGGAAGTGCGCAACCCCGACACGCTCAACATGCTGCAGTCCATATCACTTCCGAATGTCACCTTCCTGCACGTCCCACAACCGAACATCAGCTTGGCGCATGCCGGCAAAGGCTTTTTAGTAGCCAGCGACAGGTGTATCTGGCGCATGGGCGCAGAGAGCTACGCTACACAAATCGATGAGTTGGTTGCTGGTGGGCGATATGACGAGGCGCTCAGTCTGCTCAACATGCTGGAGGACACTCTGCTGCTGGACAAGGAGGACCGTGTGCGGGAGATTATGATACTCAAGGCGCACGCTCTGTTCGACATGAAGAAATACCGCGAAGCCATGGACCTGTTCACTGACGCGAAGGCGCCACCAGAGCGAGTCATCTCTCTGTACCCCAGCGCGATCGCGGGCAGTCTTGCGCAGGAAGGAAGTGTCAAGGGCACCGATAGTGTTGGGGACGATGAAGAAGCGAACGGGGACAAACCTACGACAGATGGCAAGGATGCAAGCCCTACACCTGTTGCAACAATCGGCCGTTCAATGATGGGTAGACTGGTTGGCGGTGGCGGCGGTAAGAAGGTCGACTCGGATGCTGCTTCGATCCGCTCTTCCATCAAGGAAGATGTGCCAGACACACCCATCAAGAAGAGAGGCACTGATTCATCGGACAAGCCGAACTCAGAAAAGGACTTTAAGGAATCTGTTCGTGCTTTACAGTCGTTCCTCGCGCAATGTCGCGTTCAGATCAAGCGCTACATCGATACTGATGGTAACCTGAAGCAACCCCTGCCGGAACCAACGGAAAGCCAGCCTGAGGACTACAAGCCGCCCTTTCACAATTTCATCCTTCTCACAGGTCCGGCGAACCAGGTCGATTGGAAAGGAAAGTTGCTAGACGTTGCTCAGCTTGTCGATACCACTCTCTTCCGCGCCTACATGATAGCGTCCCCGAGTCTAGCAGGCCCGCTCTTCCGTCTGCCCAACTTTTGCGAACCGGACGTTGTACAGGAGAAGCTGTATGAGACAGGTCGATATGCTGATCTCATTGACTTCTTACACGGCAAGCGGCTGCATCGCCAGGCTTTGGAGCTCTTGGAGAAATTTGGCAAGAATGAAGCTGACGAGGAGGTTACTACCGCGCTACAAGGGCCGCAACGTACAGTTGGATACCCTCCAACAGCTACCACCGGAGATGATCGACCTCATCCTGGAATTCGCTGAGTGGCCGTTGCGAACAGATCCAAAGCTTGGCATGGACATCTTCCTCGCTGATACAGAGAATGCAGAGACGTTACCGCGTGGCAAGGTAGTCGACTTCCTGCAGCAGATTGACCTCAAGCTGGCTGTCAGATATCTCGAACATATTGTTGAAGAGCTGAATGAGACCGATCCAGACTTCCATCAACGACTTGTTGACCTGCTGCTTGAGAGGCTGCGGAGTGGTGACTTTGAGAGTGACGACGAGAAGAAAGAGTGGAGAGAACGACTGCAGCTCTTCTTGAAGACGAGCAGGAACTACAACAACTACCGCGTGTTCCAACAGTTGCCGTCCACTGGTACGTGTATCAATCATTACGTGTGGAGCCAAACTGACCATGTTGATAGATCCTGATTACTATGAGCCACGAGCTATCGTATTGAGCAAGATGGGACAGCATAAGCAGGCTTTGGCTATCTATGTCTTCCAGTTGCAAGACTATCAGAAAGCAGAAGAGTAGGTTCCACCTCGAAGTTACGGCGGCCCCATGCTGACAGAACTCTTTAGCTACTGCAACGAGGTCTACATCTCCACCCCGCAACCACAATCACCTACCAAATCTTTCCAGCCCAGCACGACCATACCCACGAGCACCAACATTGACGACTCGGAACCTTCCATCTACCACACACTGCTGTCCCTCTACCTCACACCAGCTCCGCCAAACAAACCCAACTGGCCTCCTGCTCTCGATCTCCTAAGCAAGCACGGCGCCCGTCTCCCTGCCTCTTCAACGCTCGATCTGGTGCCTCCGTCTTTACCCGTCAAAGATCTCGAATCTTACTTCCGCGGGCGCATACGCAACGCCAACTCGGTGCTGAATGAGGAACGTATTGTTGCCAAGCTGCGGGGCGTGGAAAAGGCATCCGTCATCGAAGCAGTACTGCTTGGCGACGGCAAAATTGGGCGCGACGGTCGTGTGATACCAGGCGGGTTGAATCGACGCGTTGTAATCGACGAGGACAGACATTGTGCAGTGTGTCACAAGCGCTTTGGAGGCAGTGCGATTCGCGTGTACCCGGACAATAGTGTTGTTCATTCAGGGTGTATGAGGGGGAGCGTCGGAAGGACGAAGAGCAGTGGTACGGGAATGGGGTGGCGGTAGAGTATGTGTGGTTCCAGTCTGGTCTTGATACCCGTTGCAGTAATTCAATCTTCGTCAACCACCTCTTCACCGTATGTTTCCTCGTCTTTGGCGGTGCCCTTGTCGGCGCCGACAGCTTTGTCTTCTTCCATCTTATGCGTCAGGAAGGTGTTGACATTGCCCTGGAGGGTTCGCAGCGAAACTTGGAGCGAGGCGAGGTATGCGACGCGGTCTTGGGTGGATAGTGGGGAAGACAGTGCGGGGAGGTCCGTGGTGAAGACTTTTGGGGACGCCGCGGAGACGGCGGGAGAGGTGTATGTTGCTGTGAGAAGAGGCATTTTGGCGGATTAAAGTTCGAACGGTGGTGTCGGTGGTAGTAGGTAGTGTGGGGTCAAAAGCGTGTCTGGTGAGGGAGGCGTGGGCGGGGCTGGAAGCGCGACACTAATGCCCATGCGCCGATCAGTCAACGGCGCATGGATGCAGCACACCTCAGCCTCTGCTGATGTGGTTCCTCTGCAACGCCTACCCGCACATCCAATTCACTCTCGACCTCATGCTGGCCATGATTGTATTATAGCACCCCTTCTCCTTTTCCATACTCGCGCAAACCTCGGCCGCCCGCGTAGCTGGGGCCATCCCAGCCGCAACACCGTCTCACAGTGCAAGACAGCTGCAGGTGCCGTACAACCATGTCAAGCTTCTCTCCACCACCGCAAACGCCGACACTGCGCCGCCCGGCTTCGCTCGACGACTCCGAATCGGATGGCTCTCAAGCGACTCTGCAACATCGCCGCTCTCCCTTGCCTGCACCCGCACGCAGCGTCAAGTCGCCCGCCCAACCCCAGGCGCAGTCCGAGACGCCCCCAGTAGCGCACAACTTCTCACGGCCCGTGATTGCGCGCGGAGAAACAGAGCATGTAACGCACAGCCAGGGTCACATCGGCGCGCAGCTGGGACACCGACCGAGACAGCGCTCACAGGGCTACTTTGAGCCCAGCTTGTCGTCTGCCCGCGGCCTCGACAGAGACACGATGCCGCCCTCGCAGAGCCACCTCAATACGAGCCAGATTGCCGCCCAGGCTGCCTACGCCCACCAGAACGCACAGCACAACCGCAAGCGCTCCACCACGATTCCCGCGCCCGGCGACAACGCTGCGCCCTCTGGACGTGGGCAGCCGGGCCAGATGAGCCCGCCGCCTTTGCCGAGCCAGATGACCTTCAGGACGAATGGCGTCACCTATCAGAATGGGAACAGCATGGGCGTGAACCGCATGGCGGCGACGACGGCGGCGAATGTTGCCTTTCCACGGAGTCCGCTGCATTCGCCGGGCATGGAAGGGATGCAGCAGCAGACACATGGCTCGCCCAAGCCGTCGTCGACGCCGGAGCCGCTGCAGCTGCAAAAGTCCAAGGAAGGGAAGAGCAAGATGAAGCTGTTTAGCTCCAAGCCGAAGAACATCAAAGTCGAAAAACAGCAGCTGGACATTCGGCCGCAAGCGACGCTGCCATCACCGGGAAAGATTGGCATTGGCATCCATAGCTCGCAGGCGCTGAATCGCATGATGTTGAACCAGTCGACAACGAGCTTGGCAGAGTCAGGTGCCAGCAGCAGCAATGCGTCGCTGTACTCGTCGGCGAATGCTTCAACGTCGACATTAGTGCCACCAAGAAGCGATTCATTCTTACCACCGGCGCAGAAAGAGGAGAAGCACAAACATCACTTTTTGTCGCGGCAGAAAAATAAGTTGAAGGATAAGGATGAATACAGCTTACCGCTATCGTCAGCCAACAGCAATTCGAGGCCGACGGATCCAAATGCGCCGCAACCATTGTATTCTTTTGCAGCTCCGGCATCGCCTGGGCATGCGAGCTCGTTTGCGAATTCCATGACTGGGTTGGATCTAAGACATGGTGGAAGGCATTTGCGGCGGGCAAAGAAGGAGGAGAAGGCGGCGCAGTATCTGGATGCACAGTTGGAGCCGCCATATCGAGAACGGAATCAATCGTTCAGCATCGAACGGTCAGAATGGCCATCGGCTGCGAGCAGTATTGGCACTACGCCTAGCCATGCCACGCCCGGACAGGCGACGACTGAGATGCTGAGTCTGGGAAGTTTGTTCGGCATCAACGGCCTATCGCCAGATGATGCGTGGCCATTGCTAAAAGCAAGAGTATTGTTGATATTCGAAGGCGAAGACCCGCGGCCACCTGTCGAAGATTTCAACGCCCTCGTCACCGTCCACATAAAACGCTGCGTCCACAAGCGCTCGCCCATCCTCCTCATCGAAGACCTCAACGAACTCTTACAAACGGGCTTCGGCTCCCTCGACCAAACATTACGACACGTACCCGATGACCGCCTCATCCCACATCTAGTAGAGATGTGGCTCGTCGTATTTACCACCATCCTCCCCTTCCTCCAAGCCGTCTTCCTACCTCTCGACCTCGAATTTCGCGGCTCCGGCATAATGTCGAGCGCGCAAGCCGCCGAGTTTTGGGGCGTCATGCTCCCCGACGAAATGAACACCAAATCGCCCGAATCCAAGAACAAAAACATCCCGATCTGGGCGAACTCGAAGTCGCGCATCACGCTCCTCATGTCCGCGACATCGTCATCTTGCCCGATACGACACCTTATGGCCATCTCTCGCGCCTCAGTCTCGAGAATTTAAATGCCGGCCTGGAAAGCCCATCGCCTATCCCAGATGTCCGACCTGGCACGGCGGGTAGCGCAAGGAGTATCAACGACCCCAACAACAGTCACAGCTCAGGCGGATACCTCGACTCCACAACCACGTCCTCCACCCGCTCCCGCGCCACCTCCAACACCTCCGCCGGCTCCTTCTCCTCAAACCCCGCCTCCCACCCCGCCACAATCAACCACCTGCACCCTCCTCCCTCTCAAATGCCCCCGGCTCTCCGCCAGCAACCCATGGACAGCGCCAAAGTCACCGAGACGGTCGGCAGGATGTTACAATGCGTCAGCGTGCTGGTTAGTTTGCAGAGCGGCGACGAGGCGCAGGAGAAGATTGGTAGATTGAACAAGGAGTTGAAATATAATTGGTTGGGCAGGGGCAGGACGGGCAGGCAGAGGCAAGGGTTTGTGGGGCCGAGACGCGGTGGGAATTTGAATTTGGCTGCGGGGGGAATAAGTATTCCTGGGCTTGCGTAGGGTTTTTTTGGCGGGTTGGATATGGGGTTGGAGAGGTTGCGGGCAAAACGGCGTTTTGCAATTTTGGATGGATGGATGGCTGCATGGGAAGATGTGGTTGGAGGTTTGGCGTTGCGGATTGCGAATTGCGCTGCGGTTGTGATACACGAGACTTGCTCACGTTTGTACGATTTTGTTGATTTGGGGAAATGAGAAAGAAATACCCGTTTGTCAAGTAGTATGAATTACACGATTTTCAGACTTGCATTTTGCATTTCTTGTGTGATATTGTGGCATTTCTTTTAACCACCGATGCGATAAGCACAGCAATGAGGTGGATGCTATTTGAGTAGAAATAGATCGGCTGAGTGCTCAGGGTGGCTGGTCAAGATAGGTGAATTTGGATGCCGACTTATGATGGTATACAGTGTAACCAAGTTATGGTTAGACGGCGAATGGGAGATGGACAGAGAAGCGACGCGTCGCGTCGGGAGGTTGTCATATCGCGATAGCGCAGCACGGGCCGAATGAACCCCTTTCCCTAGATCACGTTGTGATCTGACTAGGTACCACGCGCGCCCGCCTACCTCTTCGAAACAGTTGCCATTTCGAAAAGCTCAGTCCACATGGGATCCCCATTTCACTATGCCAAAGCTAAGCGAATGCGCAGCGATTCGCCAGAAGATGTCGAAAACAAACGACCACGCCTGGACGGGTCCACAGATCACGATGAGAACAATGTACCGGATATGAGCATGTTGAACGATCAAGGGATGGAGAGGATGGAATGGAAAGCAAAGTACTCCTTGGACCTTTTCGCAGATTTCATCCAACTCTCTAAATTCCTGGCTGCTGGCGAGAAGAAGCGTGTGCCAGCCATCAGCAAGAAGCATCGGCAGATCAACCACAAATGGAGTGAAATTAATCAAGTATTCAAAAAGTTTTTGATCGATCTCAGTGAAAAGTATGGGGAGCTTGAGGGCTTGATGGGAAAGGCGGTGGATGTGGTTGGTAAACACGAGCGATGGTGGGAGCTCACTAACATTTTCGCACCTGGTAAGTTGAATACAGTGCAGTGCGAGATGCGGCACTCACGATGTTAGGAATTGACTGCGGTGTACTCCGCCCCCTACAAGAACGGAGTGTCCCGACGACCGTCGACTATGCCGACTATATCCGGGAGAACATGTACATCATCTGGGACCCCACAGTCCCCTTCAGCGACTGGGAGATGGACTGGTTCTTCGAATTTCTCGATGAAGAGGTCCATAGAGTTTTCGACATGAGCCGCGAGGCAGACACATGGATAGCCTCTGCTCAGCTTACTATCACTGCAAAAACGGACATCCTTCAGTCGCCAACACAAACGACCATTCTCGATTCTACGTTGCTACATCATCACGCACAATACGACTGTTACCTAAGGCAAATGCTCACAGAGCGCTTTGACAAGCTCCGGTATGTCAACGCCGCCAAAGCGTGCCGAGAAGTGCGCGAGCGAATGAACAGACATGAGTGCGAAGCATACGAAGATGAGAAATGTGTATTCAACATCCTCCTACCCACCTTGGAGATTCTGCAAGGACGCGCCAAGTATGAAGTCTGCCATGCTGTAATGCTCGCCACAGGTGCCATCTTGCCTGCCGAACTCGCGGACCTGGTCGTTGAGTACACCCTACTAGCTGAAGAAGTCCCGTCTGATCCTGAAATCTTCGTTCAAGCCAAGCACAAGGTCTCTGGCCGAGAAAAACGTAAAGCGAGACTGGTTTGTGAGCATACTCAAAGAAGAGCTGTGCTCACCAGCAATGAAGAGCTGTTTGAGCCCTGGGTTTGGGGACCAGATTGGGTTGAGATTGAGCCGGACTATCTGTCTGGAGAGGATGACAGCGATTTAGAGAGCAAAGCCGATATGTATGCTTCGATACAGTCCCCATAACGAGTATTCCAAAGCTAAGAATGTTGTCAATGTTTGTTGTTGCTGGACGAGATGGACTGGTCACATAACCTTGGAAAAGTGGACCGAACCAGGCTTGATTGGGCTTAGTGTAACGAGAAGTGCGTGCATTGCAGCCATTCAACACTATTTCTTGCGATACTTAATTCATCCTCACCACACTCATGTTACCCTGCGGCCGTGTCAAACGCATCTCGCTGGCTCGAAATGCAACGTTACTTCACAATGTGGTGAGCGCAGGGCGCAGGACTGTCACGATACGTCGTGTCATTCCATCAGAAAAAGGTCACACGCGTCCAAGGTCGTTTGGTCTCACTCCTCCAAAAAAGGTCAGGCCTGGTAAAACTCCGCACGGACCGCAGGAATGTTCAGGTGAATCATTGCCCGCACTCCCATGTCGTATACTTCTGCTGACGTGTAAGTTTGCTTTCCGATTGAGACCAGGATCAAGGGCCCCCCACCGAAGCCTGAAGGTAGATGAATGCATATCCCACGGTCGAAAACATCTTTCATAATATGTTTCCCAGGATCTTCACGGTATCATGCCGCGGTAGCAGAATGGTCGCAGTCTCAAACACCAATCGCCAGTTTCGAGTCAAAAGAATTATCACTAGCCAAATGGCCGCTTGCAAGAACTCGAAAATACACCCTCCTTGGTTCATATAGCTTAGATGAGCATCGCAGATTGTACATTCCGGGTAGGACTTTCCCACCACTCTTCTCCATTCGAGCGGACCAAGTGATTTTCATTTCAAAGTTGTAGCTTGCTATGTAATCCATCCCGCATCTTGCTGACTATTCCCCTAGGATCGCCGCCCCATTTGCCGCCATCTATTGACCAGAAAGAACTTGATATTGGCTCGGATCCAAATCTCTCGAATGCTGTGATACCCCGAGCCATGGATGCGGTGTGTCCCGCAATCCAGATCATGAACCCTTACTTTGATCTCGCTAGTCTGCATTTCATCGTTGAGCCGTCTGTGCTAGCTGAAATGCTGCTTGGGCGGCCAAAACCTCTGCTCATTTTCGGTTCGAAAGGTATGCCGACGTTATTAGGGAGACTGATACAGCCACCTCATCATGATTCAACGAATTCTGCTAGGACGGACTCTGCGGAGACGAATTCTGTTAAAACAGGCTCTGTAGGTGCAGATTCTGTGGACACAGATCCTGTGAGAACAGACTCGGCGGAAACGCATTCCGTGGAAGTTGGAGATACGGAGGAAACTTCATTGAAGGGCTTCAACCCTGGAGACGCCAAACTTCGACACGAAATCACCGAGCCTGCGGATGGAATACCTGCAGGATCCAATTACTGCCGAATAATCCAGTACAAATGGGGAGGTATCAGCTTTGCTATTCACGAAAAAGGTCAGTATACTAGCTTGAGGGCATTTCCCTAACCGTTCTGGATCAACTCCGCAACTAACGCTTTATATATAGTCAACGCATGGTCTCTAAACGAGAATATTGACGTCGATGCAATGCAACCTCCAATCAACAACGACATGCCACCCCCACCCGAGCCTCAAGAGTATTCAGAACAACCTATTACGAGGGTTGGCAGTCCCATCCCCCAAGAGCTATTGGTCGACATCAAGTGGGTGACCGGACTCAATTTTACTGGCAAAAAAGCTAGCTGCGCTCTATTTCTCCCGCGTTAACAACATGTGCATGGCCCACCCAATAGGGAAAGGTCTAACAAGGTTCTCGGTGAAAGATCACTCGAAAATGATACTCGAGTGGGAGAAAGAGCGCCAACTCGAGCTTAAAACACTGCACGCGCTCCTGCTCAAGTTGCGATCGGAGATGGAGGCGTCGGGATCGGAAGTCTGTCTGTTACGCCCTACACCTGCTGCCAATATCAGGGACCGATCTTGGGAACTGTACAAGGTCGGCCTGGACGATCCTTTTGTTGCAAAGTCCGTGAAGGAGTGTCGGGCCACGTTCGCCCCGTGGAAGCAGGTGAAGCAGGGGCAGGGGAGTTAGAAACAAAATCATACAACTCGGCACGGAAAATATCGATACCTACCATGCTCTAAAGACACATTATGTGGCATTTGTACACTACAGTTGCCTCACGCAAAGCTTAAACCTCATATGTGCGATTTGACTACCCAATATGATCAACAGTTGATCCCGAAAGACGTTTTCACGTAGCCAAGTCAGTGCACAAAGAGAAGAGGTAAGTATCCGATGCTCAAGGGGATGAAATATCAATCATCTAGTAACCTGGCTCGCCATGAGCGCAATCTATCCCATTAAGCTACCCACGCAAAGCAATATCTCATACAGAGCTCATCTCAAGCTAAACATCGCGCCACGACCCAGGAGCTGGAAACCACTCATCATCATCCCCTTCCCTTGCCGCCCATAATGCAGGCAATGCAAGCCCTTCAAAAGGTACATTATGAACATCCGCATGACAACACATCTTTGGTGGGCTGGGAGTCCTTGCTCTCGGACTGGGCGTTTTTGCGTTTGGGCTGGGCGTCTTTGCTTCGAACAAATCCACTCGGTCTTTCACATGTCCTGACAATTTCCTCGGCGTGGCCGTTTGACCTGACATGCCTAGAAACAGCTGTGGTGTTGCAGCAGCATGCGCGTTTTCGAGCTCAGACTCCGTAGCATCGACCCATTCCACCAAATGGGTGAGCTTGGGAAGTTTAGGTGTGGTACGATCGAAGACTGGCTTTAATCCACCCCCAACCGAACGCCCGAGCTTGAGCTCATCGCCTCGTGTTGAATTCTCGCCTTTCGCAGGGGAGGTATGAAGCTCCCAATTTCGAGTGTGTTCTGGAGGTGGAGATGACCGTTCTCTAATTGCCTTTGCACGCTCTTCTTTGATGAGATCTGTCAGTAATGTAGCATAGTCCGAGTCGCTGTGAGTATGGCCTAGCTTCCGTTCTGTTTGGACGAGCTCCTTGGCTAGCTCTCTCATAAGCCATCTCGTAGGAGTGTGATCCAAGACCGGAGCGGTATGATTGTGCTACAAGTCTTTTCGTTCGACGTCCGGTGGAGGCGGCGCTGTGACGTTGGCCGTGTTCTGATTGCGTCGTTGCGGCGGGGTAGCGGAAGCAGAGTCTTTCCTTCGTTTTATCGGGATTGCGAAGTGAGAGTCTGCACTAGACAGCGGTGAGTACTGATCGTCTAACGGATCTTGTTCGAATGCATCTCTTCTTGTCAATTCATCCGAATGTACGCGTACATTAGAGTAAGGATCGTCCAATAGAGCTTGTCCGACTGCATCCCTTCCTGTTGAATGATACGAGTGTATGGGTAAACCTAAGTAAGGGTTTGTAATGAATGTTGAATAAGATTTTGTCGGACACAGGGGTGCTCCAATCGAAGGATTGTGGGATCCTTCGAGATGCGTCGAGGCGTCTGGGTTGAAGTCCTCTACCTTCTGTGGAACATTTGGCCTGGGACAATTTAGCAGTGAGATTGATTGGCGCGTCACGCAACCTGAGACTTGAGTTCTTACCTTGATACGTTCCCTAGACCCAACTCAGCTGCTGGATGACGCATCGAAGACGCTTGGTGCTCGCTAGATGCGTCTGGCAACAAAGTACTTTGAACACCTTGCTCGTGATTTCTTGTCTCCGCCATTTGGTCATTCAAGACTGCGGAAGACTGATTGTTGAGTTGATCGGTGTCTGGCAAGACTGTGGTGAAGGGCTCACCGTTCTTTGTCCCGGCGGACAGCACCCTGAAACGCGGGTACTGAGAGCGGTGAGCCTCGTTTGGAGATTGCATAACGCTGGTTATTAGGGGCTGGTTTTCTTGTGCAGTCCTCTTCTCGTAATCCATCCAGTATTTTGGGCTGTGTGCTCCCTCTTCCGGGGCTTCCAAGGTTGCGGAGCGTGGTTCAGGCCGAACTAAATTTGCTGCTTGAGAACACGAAACGCATAAAGGTATGACGGGTTCCTGGATGGAATGCGCGCGGGTTGGCGAAGAAAACATTGGTTCGCAAGACTTCTCGGAAGATCTGCGAAACTTGAAGATTCTCCTCCACCATGGCTTCGAAGATTGCGACGCGCTAGGATTGCTTGAGGACTTTGCTTTCAATGATGACACGAAAGAGAAGTTCGGATCTGCGGACGGATTCGTGTCTGGTGGAAGGGGAGGAGTTGCATTTTTGTCTGGATTCGCTCGCCTATGCGCCCACTTGGACCTTCGTTCCAAAGAGCGAGCTCCCTTCGCCCTCATGATCCGATCCGCCGTAGCCGCTGTTTTTAGGGCTTCTTTGTGGACTTTCTGGACCTGAGCTTTGGTACAATCGAGGTCCATCTGATCTAGAGGTCGACACAAAGGTTTCTTCGGCAGCTTTTTGCGCAGCATGCCCATCTTGATTCTAAGAAGTCAATAAGGGGTAAAAGACGGTTTAGGTATGACTTACATCGTCGCCGAGGATTGGTGCGCAATGTAGTGAGCGTGCGGGTGATAAGTTGTTGATGACTGATCTAGCAGTGTAGCGAGAGAATCTGAAGATAAATGTGGTGTTGTATGGTACTGATTAGTGATGGAATGACATGTAAGTGAAAAGTGGATTTCAGTGTACTAAGCTGTTCTGGAGGTGTCGAAGTTCATTCGGCATGGCCGCACACCAAGCGGCAAGGACTTTGGTCAGGAGTGCTTACCTCAACAGTTCAGTGCTACTGCTCGAACAAATGTGCGAGCCAGCCGAATGTGTACCTAAAAAATGAACACATGGATTGAGCGCTTACCAGTATACCACTGAAAGGTTTTGTTAAGCAGCGAAATATCAGAACGTGCAGCGGTTCCAGTCTGGCAAACAATGATAAATTCAACTATGCCTTGTCAGAAACCAGGTCACCGGGTTCCATCACACCACCCGTACCCTATAAACCCTCGACCCCTCCTCCGCTTCCGCATCCATCGGCCTGATACCTAGCAAATCACCTACCAGCTCACCTGCGAGACAACAACATCAACATCAAATTGACTTCAACCGCAGCCAATACAGACCTATCGCCTCAACACTCCAGACCTCAATCCCTCTTTATCTTCCCAAACCACCTCTCAAACACCCCCTTCAACCCTCTCTTCCCATCAACGGCATCCTGAGCTATCCGCTCACGATCGATGAATCCACTGAACGTGCGATCGCGATCACAACCCCGACTCTTGCCATCATCGGTGTTGTTGACTTGTTCCGATGCGGCCGTATGATTCAGATTATCAGATGTGCTGGACGTTGTTGGTCTGGTACTTGCAGTAGCAGGTCTTGAGCTTGCCGAAGTGTGTGAGCTTTGGGGGCGTTTCGGTACTTTGGGTAGGGAAGGGGTTTTGGAGCGACGACGCTGGTCACGGGCTTCGAATTCGCGGAGAAACCAGAGGGGCGGCATGACCAGGGCTGGCTAGTGAGTGCTCTTTATTGGATGAGAATGGTATGAGAATGTGGATGTGTTGCATACGAAGTGGGATGAATGCCTAGTGAAGTATGTTCATAAGTATAATTGAAGCCGATAGCAGTTGCTAGTAGTTCTTGGACGTAATGGACGCATTGAACGTGTTGTAATGTCTCAAAGGGGAAAGAAGCTGCTGAGTGCTGAAGTTACGATGCGTGGCTCCTGCGTGGGTTAGTACCTTATCTCAGCCAGAGGTTCACTTCACGAATGGGGTTATACTGATGCATGTACATATATTCTGATCTCTAAAGCTTTGTTTATTGCTATTATTCATCTTCTCAGACCCGTCTTCCCACTTTTTGGGTCACGAAATGTCGTCCTATGCACCTAGCCTCACGCTATGCAGCCCATAACTCCACAGTAAATGCGATACCAACGCCGATCAAAATGCGAAACTCCGAATGAAATACCAATTTACTAATCACTATACCGAGACAAGATATAGTGCTACATGTTTGGTATGTACTACATCGAGACAAGGTGCAGTACTGTGTGCGTACGATGACCTAGATCGAGACAAGATCTAGCGCTGCGCATACGAAACATGCTCGGGTAGCTCAGGAAGGGGAGAGACATCCGAATTTTCCAAGCTATCCTTGCGGAGGCTGGCACGAGATTTACATATCTTCAGCGAGTGCATAGACGGCATCATGCTGAGGCGACGTAAAGTGTTTGTGACGGGCTGCATAGAGGAACTGGAGCGCTTCTCCTTGATAGCCTTAGGCTTCTTCGCAGTGGGAGTACCGCGGAAAGCCTCGCCCTTACCAGACTTGTGAGGGACGAGAAAGGAATCAAAGGTGGCGCTGAGGTTGTGGCGGTGAGCAGATGGCTGTGGTGCGAGAGGACTACGCACGCGTGGTGTAGAAAAACCAGACGAGGGTGGGGATGATGGTTGCCGGTGCGAAACAGGGCGACTCGAGAAGTAGTCGTCACCGCTGGCTGAACGAATGTGCGAAAGCCGTGACATGGCCGGGGGTGTAGCTTGGAAGGAGAATTGGCGAGATACACCAGGCGGCACAATGGTAAGTCGCTTTGATGCCGCCCGTGTGCGGGCAGCGTTCAGGTCGTACATAGACTGAGACACCTGGGCATGGTAAGCGCGATAAGTCATACGGGTATCTCTACCATGCTCATCCGTCAAGCGAAAGGCAGGGAGATTTGAAGCACGACGTACCAAGTTACGTTCCTGAACCTGATGGCTGTGCTGCTTCTCCTGCTCGATCTTGGCAAATGCCTCCATCTCGCCAAGCTTGTCCGTCCCAGCAATGCCCTGGGGGACGAGCTCCTTGCGAGACTCATGGTGAATGACCAGGTCCCGTGGAGTGTAGGCTCGGAGGTTATGGTTGAGTTCACCCATAATGAGCGCATCATGATCGCCTTTGGAGAGCGCATGATCGTAGTAGCGAGCATTATCAGCCTGTGACGGAGGCAACGCGGAATACTCAGATCGGCTGCTCGTTGGGAGGGAGGCCAAATAGCTGCGTGTTTCAGACTCCTCATCTGAGATAGAAGAGGCAGGACTGCTCGAGGCATCAGGATGCAGGTAGAACCCATCCTGAGTCTCAGCCTTCTCCAGGTCTAGCCATGAGCTACCGAGATCGGCGCTGGCTCGAGGTGAGGCCTCACCTTGAGCACGCTCTTCGGGCTCATCAGGAGAGACCGGGTACATGGCCGGAAGTTGCACAGCGCGCGATGATGCTGGCGTAGCTTCTCCGCGTGTGGACAAAGACTGCGAGAAGTGGATGGATGCCATCTTAAGCGGTCTGAGTGTGCGTTTGATGGTACCGGTAAGAAGCTGTCGAGCGCGATGTTTGCGACTTTCAAGCTGTGACTCCCAGACGCACCTTGAAGTTGGGAGTAGTGATGGTTTGGCTGGAACAAACCCTTTTGTGTGCCGTTTCGACGTTGTGAGCTGCATTGTGAAAGCGCTGTGAAGGACCAAGTTTGCACACAATGTTGACACAATACCCGAATAGTCCAGATCATGCTGGCGACGAGGAGACCGATCAACATAGATCTGTGGTAGTCACAGAAAATTATGGGCCGTTGTCGGAGCTAGCGCACGTGAAAGGTGAGTGTTTGCCATGTGAGGAAGGAGCAAACCACGACAAGAGCAGATGGACTCGTGATAGAACGTGCAACGCCAAAGAACGCGACTGAAAGGTGAAAATTGACATTAAGAGATTATTGTTCGTGCCGTGTAGGGCTTCCATGTTCCTCCAGTCCGCCATACCCCACGCTGTGTCTCGGCCGTGTAGAAGTACCAATAATTGCGTAGCCCCCGAGCTACGCCATCCCGCTCCTTCACCACTGACATGACAAGGTGCCAACAGGCTCTATCTTCAACCCGACTGTCATAATGTGACCTGGTCTCCATCTATTGAGACTCACTAGCATCTCCAACCATATTAGCATATTATCAGGAACGTCCTTTGTCGCCATCTCTTTGATGCTTCAACGCTCCTCTTCCTTCTTCTACCCAGGGCCAATTTTGTAGTCTTGATGCTCTTTTGTTTTCAAGGCGCACCGTGTAATTAAGCGGCCGGTCTCTGTAGGCCTCCTTGGCACTTTGCCCGGAGCCGTCGAATGCCTGCAAGAATACCGCCAGCGTGTCCTCGTCATATTTTTTCGAGATACTCGAAGGCGCTCGCGTCGCTAGATGTGTTTGGTACCGCTGCTGACTCTCGTCATTCAGATTCGATATCTTCCTGTGCCGTACATCCGTTCAAGTGAGCACCCAAGGAAATAACGCAAGCAATGCCGACCCGAAGACCAGGTAGCCAGACGCTCCAGGAATGCCGCGCGTACCGAACGATGCAGGTGTGGGGGCTGACGGCGAGCCAGGTATAGTATCAGGCGAACCAGAAGGTCTGTAATGCACTTTGGTCAGCTTTTGCATTCCTCAGGTTGCCGTAAATTTCCGAAATGTGAAGACTCTTAATGAGAATGTAGAAGACCCGCCAACCAGGAAAAGAACATATATCTTTATCGTGTCCCGTGCTCGTGCTCAACATCCCGATGGTTTGGTATAGTAGTGGATAAGATAAGACTTACTGCTTCAGCGTTAATCCCATGCTAGTGATGATCTTGCACCGGTCATGCTCAACCTGTTTGACAGGACCCATGGCCACCGCATTCCCATCATTGAATTCCATCCTAGTCCCAGTCGCATTGCCGAATGTGTCCCATTTGGGACTCACCAGCTCCCTTGCAGCTTCGCCACCAGCCGCGACAAGGTAGTCTGCCACGTGTCTGTTCGGATCATAACTGCGGATAAAACTCGCCCAGTATGCTTGAATAAAGACGCCCGCCGCGGAGGTGGCGTTGTTCCAAATGGGCATTAGTTCGCCAACGTGCGAGGCAGAACCGACGTTCCAGCGGTAGGCCCAGACGGGGGCGGTGCTTTGTTCGGCGTACTCAGAGGAGATGTTGAGTGTGGGGCAGTTGTAGCGAATATGGCCGTAAACGTCGGAAGCCACCTGGCGCCAGCGAGCGTCGGATTGGGCATTGGGGGCGTCCCACGCTTTCGCGATATCGCTCCACTTGATGCCGGGAAATTGGTCCGCAACGAAGCGTGCAGCCGAGGGCATGGACTTGATATCCTTGGGCGTGAAAATGATGCCTTCGTTGGTGGTATCGCCGAAGATGGTGGGTACTTTGACGAAGTGGCCAGCGGAAAGCTCGTTGTATGTGAAATCTTGGATGAAGTCGTGATCTAGAGTAGGGTTCCAGAAGTAAATGGGTGGGTTCGTTGCTCCGGGGAAAGGCTTCTTCAAGGCTCGGACAGCCTTTTGAAAAGTAGTTGCCTCGAGGGACGCCATGCACGCGACATCAGCACAGCCGGTCTGGTTGAGAAGAGTATCGAATTGCCACTGGCTATTGGGCACATCGCGGAGTGGTGGAAACGCAGGAGACTCGGCTGCAGCAGCATGGAAGAGGTCGTCGTTACGCCCACCGTATGCTGTCAATTGCAGGACCACGGATCCTCCTCCAGCGCTAGCTCCACCCATAGTGACGTGACCGGGATTGCCCCCAAACTGCTGGATGTGCTTCTTTACCCACTTCAGTGCTTGTCTCTGATCCTTCAAGCCGTTGTTCAGACTCAAACTCTTGTTGGCGGTAATCTCTTTTCCAGCTAGGAAGCCATACGGTCCGACGCGGTAGTTGAAGTTGACAACAACGATGTTGTTGTCTGCAGCGTCGATGAGATCTGCTCCGTTATAGTTGGCGTTACCGTTTACACTGAAGCCGCCGCCTTGGATGAAAACATAGACAGGTAGACCACTGAGATTGCTGGACTTGGCTGGTGCGAAGACATTCAGAAAGAGGCAGTCTTCTGAATGATCTCCTCCAAATTCATTGGCGAGTTCGCTTCCAGTGCCGATGCAGAGAGGTCCGAATTTGGTCGCGTCAGTAATGCCGGGCTGGTCGAGAGGATCCTGAGGAGCAGTGAATCGTAATCCGTCTACCCGCGATGTCGACCTGGCATATCGCATACCGGACCATCGCATAACGCCATTGCCAATGTCCTTTCCACGGTAACGAGCATATCCCAAATCAATGGTCTCATTAAGTGCAATGGCTTGCTGGAATAGAAATGCTGCAAAAAGCAGCCTGAGCAACATAGCTCCTGCGAATAAGAGATTTACGAGGACAGAAAGTAATTCCACGAGCGAGGACGTTCGGTGTTGTTTTCGGAGGTTTGTGATAGCCGGCTCAGGGGTCTAGTCGGTTTCCGGGGATTATCTCACTATCAATTAGGGGCCAACCCGAACTAAAGACGCGTATTTGTGCTGCGCCGGAATTCCAGAGGACTATTGAATATAGTTATTGGAAGTAGGTATTTCGTGTCAACAAAGAGCCTTGTCGAGCATGATGAAAGACTGTTGTCTTGTTAGTAGATGATTACAAAGGAGCGCTGGACGCCACATCATACTCACAACGAATGTGAAGAGAAGAACCGGAGTGCCAACAGGCTCAACTCAAAGAAACGCGCTCGCAACGTCAAATGTGTGAATGAGATGCCTGCGGCCCCAGATTAGGCGGGAGTACGCACACTTAAACCCCAATTCTCACGATGCACTGGGCAGCCCCCAAACGTCGCAGGCTATTCTCCATTTAGAATTATGCTGGGGGCGGCAGTGTCCAGACCACCAATCGTGCATTAGCAGTGCTGTCCCCCGAGCCAGGATGTGGTCTGGTCCCAGCGCCCAAAAGTCTACAAGCGCTCGAATGCGGCTGCGCCTCTTGAACGGCGAAATTAGGCCGGTGAAGCTTACTGAGAGCATCGGGCAGCGAGCGTTGCTGTTCGAGTTGGTATAAATCGCAGATCACTTTGCGAGCGGAAGGCAGTGCTGGACCAGCCACAGCAAACAGAATCTGTGCAGAGCGCGAGGTTGTTAGAATTGACCACAGGACCCTGCATGGCGGGTGAACTCTGTACCTGATCGCTTCCCAGGTTTGCCGTTTTCGCGAGTTGCTTGTGTTGAGGGAAAGGGCAAGATCGTCGCGCTTGAAACTCCCTTCCTGCAGCGTGGTTCACAGCTCCACACCTTCGGAAACAGCATGTCTTAGACATCGGAAGACGATTGTCTAGTTCCGCGGGCTTTGCGAAATACCGCAACCGAGAATCTGGTGTTGCTTTTGTCGCACACGTTTGTCGTGTTGTTCTCGTGTCACTGCTTTGCGTGCTCAAGCCTCTCTGCAACGTGCTCACTGGACTAACCGCTATTGGTGCGCGCTGGCTCGTGGAACTGAAGACCTCGCTGCTTTAGCCCATCACACTCAATAGACCTGGGTCCTCGGCAGTCGGCATCTGGAGGCTTTGGTAGTCAACTTTGCTCGCACGAGGTTTCTCGTATGATAAGTCATGCATGCCGTATCCGTGTTCGTATTTACGGGGTGCATCCTTGTGTAGGTAGGCATTCATCATCCGCTGGGAGCCGATGCCCTCAGTCTTCCTTACTTGGAAATGTATTGGCGAGACTATGGAAAGAAACCCAAAGCAATCTTTCCTTGCTTTCCAGTGCCTTTGCGAGACTGTGGAAAGGAAATAGTCGTAGAGCGTGTACCTCAGGCGCTGATCCCAGACAATACTGTGTGTCTCGCATGAGCAAGTGCTGCATGCTTCCAGATCTATGCAAGCCACAAGCCACAGTGTGTAGATATTCCACCACTGCAAGCAATGCTTGGGACTTCACTACATATGTTCTTCGAGTATCTCCGCATGTCCAAGATGCGTGGCGTATATTTGATTTACTTTGAAGATTCGTTCAAACACCAAAGTCACAGTCCACGATTGCAAATCCGATAGCAAACATGCAAGATTGCAGATCTAATCATGCAGATCTATCTTCCTACTCCTACAGTAAATGCCGTAATGCCTGCCATACCATCTCATTCACCCTCCAGCCCCAAACACACCTTCACATACACCCACCCCTCTGCCCTCCGTCTACCACCCCTCAAAAATCCGTAACCCTTCCATTGTAGCTCCAATCCCCCTTCCACCTCAACGGATCATTCTTCGGCCCACCTACCTCCCCCGTCTTCGGATTAATCTCCCCCTCAAACTCCGGCGGCGCCCCTCTCCTCATATTCGGATGGAACTCCTCGCCCTTTTTAATCTCCTTGCCATTCTCGAAGCGAATCTCTGGTCCGTCGCTGTCGGGCGATTGATTGACTGCTGGCCGTGAAGAGCTGTCCGGGGATTGGTTGATGCGCATGCGAATGTCGGGCTTGGAGGTTGGTGCCGGGGCGGGGGATTCGGACTTGGGAGTGCTGAAGGCGCCGGTGCTTTGCTTCTGTAGCTTTTCGAAGATCTCTTGCTCGTCTTTTGGGAGGCGTGGTGGGGCGGGGCTGGTTTTGAATGAGGTCGCGCGTGGTAGACATGTGCTGAAGGCGCGGCGGGAGAGGAGACGTGGGAAGCGGCTTAGGTTCTGTGCTGCCATTGTGATGATTTTTGTGTGTATTTGAAGGACTGAGATTGTATAGCGCGTGTCGTGGTATTGAGCAGACTTTGTGGTGTGAATTTCGATGGCGAGAAACTCATCATCGTCATAAATCGGACCGCGCCCCTGCGGAGCCAATCGGAGCGGACAGTGGCAACGGAACAGCATTTTCGTGGATTCACTCAAAGAGCAGACGTTTCCGATTATTTTTCGAATTACTCAGGTATTCAGTTACATGTTTGCGCTAACTTTTGCAGTCCATGTCCTGCAGCGCGGCAACGCCATACAAGTGTCCATATCCCAACGCCAGCCTAATCGTACATCGCAAACAACCCCATTATGCAATGTAGCCATTTGCCTCGCCCATGTTTTGCGCACTCCTTCTTGCGTCGATAAAGAGATCTTGGCACTCTTCCACATCTTCAACCTGAATCTGCTTGCCTTCTCGTCCGCTGACGTCTGCCAATACGCTTGCTGGTGCAAGTAGTTGCAGCGCATATCTAAGGCTGACCTTCTCGCCGAGTTGGCTGACCTTGTCCTTTGCTGCATCTGAGATGCTGAGTTTCTCCGTCTGGACGCGCGTGGTAATAATCGACTTGATCTCTGCTGGGCCATAAGGATGTGTTGGGATGATCAGAAGACGGGCAAGTAGATCTGAAGGGATGCCGTGCGCGGAGGGGGGAAGGTTCTCTCCGCCACGAATGTGCGTGTTGCCGCGGTTCGAAGCGAGGATGACAAGGGGTGACAATGGCGATTCGAGGGCGCGGTTAAGGAAGGTGAAAGCCTCAAGATCAAGCATGTGAACCTGCTTTTGTTAGCATGCATGTACGACGAGCCATAGCGATGAACTCACCTCGTCAATGAATAGCACACCAGGAACAAGATCAGCCACGCCCTGGTCAATGTACCTGTTGACGACCTTGTTGATCTCTAACCGCAGCTTCTCCGTGATCTCAGTCTTCTTGGGCTTCATCAGCTGGCCCATCATGCTCATGATGTCCTGTCCACCCTGAGGTCTTGCATTCGCTACATCAAGATCGTGTAGCGTGACATCCTGTACAATCTCCTTCTTCTTGTGCACATCGCCCTTGGGTATTGGCACATACTCCTCTGCCTCGAGATCGAATTCGGTCGCGTACGCGTCTGATCGACCAACGCGCTTGACCGCGCCCGTGTTCGCTTCGATGTAGATGACATCTCCCAAACGCACGCGTTCCTTCTGTATCGCCTCGTAGATCGATGGGTCTAGGCGTAGCTTCTTCGTGCCCTTGGCGGACTTGAGGTTGATGAGCAGATGTGAGATTGTGCGGCCATAGCCTCCAAGTGGGTTCTCGGCTTCTTCGGGTGTGAGTTCGGTGACCTCGCCCTCGTAGACTTCCTTGGTTTCCTTGACGCGCAGCCCTGAGTGAGTGTTAGCGCAAACCCTGGCGATCGTCCTACGCGACTCGGGACAGCCATGTTGAGTGCTTGATGCTCATATTGTACGAACAGCGCGCTTTACAAACATACCTATTGCTCTCCTGAAGTTCTCCATAAGCGCCTCCGTCTTCTTGACCTCAGCTGAGTAGATCTCGCTGCCGACGATCGGACAGAAGGGCACTTTCGTACCCAGCTCTTGACTGACAGCCAATGCGAGTGCGGTTTTTCCGGTTCCGGGTCCTCCTGCAAGTAGTACAGCTCGCCCCGACATCTTCTTCGCCTTGACAAGGTCGACTACCAGACCGCATGCCTAGGTATCTGTCAGTACAGCTGTTGGAGCCTGGTCCGGTGCTCCCTTGTACCTCTCGAGCTGCAGCTTGGCCGATGAAGCCACCTGCAGAAGGAGTCGCGCGCCCATCACTCGACAACCCCAAGCCCTTGATATGGCTATGGGCTGCAGTTCTGCCTTCGCGCGTGTTGCTCTTCACTTCGCTGACCGGGACCGTCGCCATATTGGCTATCGCAAATGCTCAATCGCTGTCCTTTAGTCTAAGACAGGGTGTTGGTCTGTGTGATTGATTGTTTGGGCGTTGATGACGGTGGGTTGTGTGGGGGCGCGTCGAGTGTTTGGCTGTTTGGAGCTTGAAGTTTTGGGGATCCAAAGGTTCGCGAAAGACTAGTGTCAGGGCTGGCTCATCTTGATCAGCCGCCCCAGGCGTCCCCACCTCCGCTCCGCTCACCAAATACCACCACTGTCTGCTTTCTACGCCTCTACGCCTCTACTACTCGCTCGAGCGCCTTGCTGCATGAGCAACTGCTGCTTTGCCTATCGCGCACCCAGATTTGTCTCGGACAGTTTTGTAGACCATCGCGCCTTCCCCCCTCGTCTTTTGTTCGCGCCCCCTCCGCGTCACACAATGGGGCTCACTGCGCATTCAAAGGACTTTGTTATGGGAGTGCAGCACCTAGCTGGACGTACAGTACTCTACATTTGCCCGCGACAGGCCCGCCGCTGACATTATTCCAGGCTTTGTGCTCGACGACATAGGACTCGAGGCGCCCTCCTGTCGGTCGCCCTCTCGGATCGCTAACACCCGCACCATAGCCGCTCCTTTAACACAAGGTTCCAAAGAAAGGGACTGACCCAAAACCACACCACCAACAAGAACCATACAAGAGCAAGGATATCAAGATAATTACGGCCTGGAGTCAGCAGTGCGACGCAGTTTGTGCAACCATACTCATTGGCTGTCCGGTGCAGTACAACAAAACACGCCAAGTTTCGACAAGACACGCACGCATACGGGCCATGCACGACGAAATTGAGAATATTGCTTCATTGAATGTGGCTCTCGACTCGAAGAGCATATTGATACAGCCGAGCCGGCATCTGGAAACCCCATGTTCGCGACCACTCAGTGCCGACCTTCCAGCAAAAGTATGCAACCAAATGGCTGCAGGCAGGATCCCAAAACACAATCCTCATCAAGTCGTAATCCGTTGCCGGCATAAGTGTACCCCAGTACTTCTAAGGTGGGGTGAAGGATACTGTACATGAGACCTGATGTTGTTGCGGGTGGGGGTTTTATGGTGTGTGTGTGTTAAGGGTAAGAAATTCACGATCATCGAGTGAAAACACGCTGACAGTCTGAGGCAGGTCCTTGCTTGCGTCCTCGCACAATCGATAACGAGCATCAAGTCGTACCGAAGTCTTGCCGAAGGAGCAGAGGGTCCAAGTCAACTATCAATGCAGAGGCGAGCAAAAGCGAGTCCAAGAGAAATATCGAAAGCCACGGAGTCACGCGAGGGGTGTTGAGAAGGGACGAGACAGGCTTACTCCTCTTCGCTCTCGGAGCCGCTCGACTCATCGTCGTCGCTAGAAGCATCATTTGCTGTACACGTTAGTCTTGAGTCACCTGATACATTCACTAACGACTCACCAGGTGGAGACTGGCTGGACCCGGAAGCGCCGCCCTGGAAAGACTGCAACTTCTCCTGGATTTTGCGCATGTTGTCCTCTTGCTCCGTCTTGCCCATGGGCTTGTTCTTCTTGGGCCTACTGGTCGTCTGCTTGGTGATCTGCCGTGGAGGCTCGAAGTCATCATCAGCAACCACCCCGCCCTTCGGACCGCGAATCGACTTGATGAACTTGAAGAGCTCTCTCAGGGTGTCATCATTAATCTCGTCCATATCGAGCTCCATCTCATCGTCGTGCACGCTTGCGAGGTGGGGACAGCCATTCCTGATGATCTGGACTGCCTTCCTCATGTCAGCGTCACCCAACGTGCTGATGCCTTCTGATATCTCCTGCTTTTGGTTGAATGTCAGAGGCGCCGGGGCCTTGATCTTTGGCTTGGGCTTCCCTCCCTTTGGCTGAGGAGGCGGTACAGAAAGAGGGAGACTTTGTTTCCTTTGCAAAGGCTTGGAGCTGCTCTTCTTCTTCTTTGAAGAAGCCTTGGGCGAAGCGCGCTTACTGCCTTTCTGCTGCTGTAGGAGAGCTTGAGCAGTTTCGTTCAGTTGCGCAATCTGCTGCTGGATAGCGAGGAACTGTGCCTGCGCAGGATCGACTTCCTCCTCCTCCTCCTCGTCATCCTCGTCATCCTCGTCAGTATACATTTCAGGAGATGCCTCAGGCGCATGCGCAGCAAGCCAGTCTGCCTTCTCCCGCCACAGCTTCTCGAAGATGTCTTCCAAATCGTGGCCCATTTTATTGACTGCATCCCCTTCGGGGTTGAACTTGTAGCAGTTTTGAAAGACTAAATGGGCATCGGCGTGGAAGTCCTTGGCGCTCTGGTACATACCAGCCTTCAAGTTCTTCTCAATCGTGCCGAAGTCCATGGGCTTCTTGATAATCTTGAGATACGAAGGGATGTTAAGAGCCACGGGATCTACAGGAGATACGAAAGGATACGAGACGGCAGCGTATTTCGGCTTGAGAAGCTCTGCCAAAACGCTTTCACAAAACTTCAGCTCCTGCGCATACTTCTTCTTGCGAGGCTTAGCGCTGGAATATGGCAGGTCCTTGGAAGGCCTATGAATTTCCCGCTTCGGTCGATCATTCATACCTGATGAATCGCGACGTATGACGGGAACCCCTTCAACGAGAGGCCATGCGGGGCCCGACGATGTGGCTGTTCCAGGTGTTGTAGCAGCGGGAGACTTTACGGTAGGTGGTGCGACCCTAGACTCGCGACGAGCCTTGTTGGCTGTGTTGACCGTAGGCTTTTTCGCCTTCACCTGTTTGGGTGGCTCCTCAGCACTGCTGCCTCGTGGCATCTTGCCCATACCCTTCAAGAAGTAAGCACGCAGATTGTAGCCTGCCTGAGTGACCGGGTGCTGCTTGTTGTTGAACAACTCGCTGTTTTCGATCATCTGGTCCAAGTCTGCCATGAACTCTCTGACGTAGGTGTACTTGTTCTCTTTCAGTTTGTTTTCCATTGTAGACAAGTCCATTGGCTTCTTCACGAGCTCAGGGTAGGTGGGAATGTTGAGCGCAATGTGATCCACAGGGTCTTTGAACGCAAGAGAGACTTTGATCTTCTTGGTGTTCCTTATCCTCTCCAGTAAGAACTTGTTCTGCGCACTTGTCATGGGAGTAGTAGGCCATTCCTCGAAGTCGACAGCGTTGTGCACGCCCGAAGGCTCTTGAGCCGAGCTCGAACCGGGCGCCGAAGACACACCATTGCCATTTGGCTGCTCGATTTGAGCCGGAACATCTGGAACCTTGAAATCCACCTGACTAGTGGATTCGTCCTCGGTCTTGGTCCGCTTCGCCTCCGGTACATCATACTCGTCATCTTCACGCGGGCGCACTTTTCCAGACGGCGGGGCATCCTCCATATCGCGATCAACAAGCGCCGGTGACTGAGTAGGAGTAGGTTGATGGGCTGCGGCATCGGAGTTTGTTTGGATCGAGAGGTCGTGCATCGGCTTGGTAGGCGGCCCGGACGACTCAGGTGGTTTTGAGTCTTGAGATGCGTCTACGGAAACGTCCATTGCTTCCGGGGATGATTCCTGCTTCGCGGGAAGTTGTGTCTCTGGTACTTGTTGCGTACTCTCAGCCGATGCATCCTTAGCGGCGGTCAGCTCCTCAGCAGTTGCAGGCTCCTCGCGCAAATCTGAAGTTGGAGCCTCCACGGCCTGTCCCAAAGAAGTTGCGCCCATATCGGAATCCTCGCCAAACAACGAGTTGTTGTCTGGCTGGCTATCAGGCAGGAATTGCGCGATGCCGTCGATACCGCTGGAGACGTTTGTAGTTGGCTGGAAGGCGGGTTCGACTGCTGGTGCAGATGCTGACGTGTCCGAAGTCGTGTGGTCACCGTTTACAGCGGCTTTGGTTTGCGCAGGATCCTCGGTCGCGTCGGTGCTGGTAATGGGATCATCAAACAGCATGTCATGATTGCTGGTTTATGTTAGCGCGCAAGTCATAAGGTGAAGGGGACGGCAAGAGGAGCGGTGAGATGTGATGTGAGGGAGCGCACTCACCCGTTTGTCTCAATGTCCATGGCCATGCCGTCCGCCGGCGCAATAGCGCTCGCCTTCAGCTCTGAGGGGGATTTGTCCAATGCAGGTGATGTCATTACTGCCATAGGGCCATAAGAGTGAAGGTCGAGGTTGCGCACGGCTGACAGAGAGGCGGTGTTGCAGAGGGCAGCTGCGGTTCTGGGGCCGTTAGCGACTGCCATAGAGTTGCGCGCGCGACTGCGCTAACAAGACGCGTGCAATAATGACGAACTCGGTAGTAAGTCGGGGAGTGAAAGCTTGGTAGCGCGTTTGCGGCGATCAAGTGGGGTGGGGTTGAATGTGGCTTGTCGGTAAAGTGCGAACAGAAGGGAGGGGCAGCAGGCGGTTTACTTAAATCCTGCAGAGGAGGCTGAAACGGATGCTGGGTCATGTGACTTACAAGGGTGGTGGCGATGGGCTTCAAAGCAATGCGCGCAACGATGACTCAAGGATTGTGTTTGGGCCCGCAGCGCCGACGCGTTGTTTGTCGTGCGGCGAAGCGCGTGCACACAAAGCAAGAGTGCGGACAGCAAGCAAGCGGTGCAGCTCTCAGTGTTGCAACAACAAGACACAGACGGTGCACGGATGGCGGCGGCGGCGATGAGGTGTGGTACTTCGACTTGGGAAAGCTAAAGTGCGCTAGCAGGCTGCAGCTGCTGGGGGGGACGCGCAAAGACGAATTTTGTGTCGGGTTTCAGGCTGGGCGCGGTTGCAATGACGGTAGCGGGGATCGAGTAATGGACGGACGTATCGGAGGAGGTAAGCGGATTGGCACCGGAGAACAAAAGTCGTGAGTTGGATGGGCAGTGCCAGGCTGTAATATACTGTGGCCGCGACAGCTTAAGCCAAGCTAGCGCCCCTGTACTAGCTCCATTCGTAAGTGTGCTGTTGCGGTCCTGGGAACCATGAGCTGCATGCTGAGGTATTTATCTGTTGCGCATCTGCGCGTAAAAGCTCCATCTCTACGACACGCATGGCCGACGCGTCTCCTGGATTCTGGTCTTGTGAACGCGCAGACTCGCTGTTGCTGGATGTGGATGACACTTGGTCGTTCCTGCTTAAATTCGCGAAGGTCAGTGCGCGCTTGGCCCGTGCGTAGCGCATCTCGAACTTTTTTCTGGGTGCATCAACATGTCTTGTAGCTCTTCAACATACACAACGACACCCCGTCGCGACACAAGGCACCAAAGCCTTGCACCACAGTATCCGCGCCGCTCACACAGAGGCAGCCTGCAAAAATGCCTGCCGCCGTAGCTTCACGCGCCCAGAAAAATTCAAGAGCGACGCGCGATAGTGCGCCGCCCGCGAAAAAGACGAAGCTCGCCCAATCCCCCGCAGTCGCCCGCCCCAACGGCCTCAAGGCACTGGCAAACGGCACCGCAGCACAGAGGCCTGCGGCAAAGATCAATGGCGCCAAAAATGCACGAAAGAGCCGAGTCGACGAAGCTACTGTGGTAGTCGGCGGCGGCCAAGCCGGTCATGGTGACGTCGATATGGAAGATGCGGAGCAGCCTGTAATCGAGATCAGCAGCGCTGAAGAAAGTGACGACGAAAGCGATGAAGGCGAGTCTGAGGAGGACGTGCAAGCGGGCGCAAGCGACGAGGATGCTGCACCTGCAGTCAACGGCCATGCGCTTGAGGAAGACCGACCAGCCGACGACGAGAATGCTGACGCCGAGGAACTATCGTTCGGAGAACGTCTGCGCGCACAAGAGCCGGAGCCAGCCAGAGAAACTCGCATTGTCGATGTCGAGTCTGCATTCGACGCCAGTGCAGAGTCCAAAGCCATTGCGACAGCATCGCAGGCCCGCACACTCGCGACCCCGTCAATGAACACGCTGGGAACTGTCCTCACGCAAGCTCTCCGTACCAACGATACAGACCTCCTCGAGTCCTGCCTGCGCAATGTTGATGTCGATGCCATCTACGCCACTGTCGAACGCCTACCATCCCCACTTGTCGGCAACCTCCTACAAAAGCTTGCCGAGCGGTTACACAAGAAGCCCGGACGGGCTGGCATGCTCATGGTTTGGGTACAATGGTCGCTTGCCGCACATGGTGGCTACCTCGCCAGCCAGCCTCAACTCGTCAAGCAGCTCTCGACTCTTAACAAGGTGCTGAAGGAGCGTGCCAGCGGGCTACAGCCTCTGCTTTCCCTCAAGGGTCGCCTGGATATGTTACAAGCTCAACTCGACCTGAGACGGAGAAACCAAAGAAGGGCCGCGAATGATGACGAAGATGAGGCTGTCATTTACGTGGAAGGAGAAGACGACTACGTATCGTCCGCAGAAGGATCCGTGGAAGGCGATGCGCCCTCCGGTGCACAAAAGCGATTACGCGACGAGATGGAGGACGATGATGATAGCTCTGTCGACCAGATGCCTACTACCATGGAGGTTGATGAAGAGTCTGATGAAGGTAGCGAGGATTCTGACAACCTCTTAGACGATGAAGCGGAAGAGACGGATGTTGACACTGGTGATGACATGTCCGAGCCTATGAGCGACGACTTGGAGGACGGAGAAGATGTTTCTGGGAGTGAGGAAGAGTCAAAACCCGCAAGGCGATCCACAGCTACACGAGCTGGCTTGAAGAGTCGGCGCTAAAAGTACTTCGCGCCAGGTGAGGGCCTGTACAGATCTACCACTGCCATACACTTCAGTGCGTTTGTTTCTACCGTTTCAATGACATGTTCGGTGTCCGGCGTCCAAAGCATTTTGTCAGGAATTTGATACCGTCTTCCACGGCATGAGACCATGTCGCAGCCTGTTGCATAGCGTTCGAGATAGACGGTACTGCTTGTCTTTAACTCAACAAACAATGTCTCGGTATATTGAAACACAGATTGCATGTCCTTTACCATATTCTCATCCACCTCTTTTTCCATCGCAACATTAACCATATCTTTGTCTCCCGCATTTTCCCGCGACGATCAAGAATCTTCGCACAGCCCAGTCTGGCTTGCTACCAGTAACAGCATGCACACATCCATATTGTCCCGTGTAACTACACTAAAATCAAATCCCCCAAGTCACAGTCCCGTCACTGTACCATCCTCGAACCGTCGAGACACACTAGACTCCCTAGATCTTCGTCAAGCAACTGAGGGCCAACGGCACCCCTCACCCCATCCCACGATTATCCAATCCGACATTCTCGACCTCAACTCCAACCCCGTTCGCCCCAATTCACCACACCCCGTGCTCCGCCGCACAGCCTCAGGCCGGCTCTTTCACCCATCAAATCGGTTCATCCACGCGGTGGAAATGATGGAACCAGTCATGACAGAGGAAGAGGAAAAAGAGGAGTTGGCGAGGTGGGCAAGGAGAGAGGACGTGAGGACTGGGAAGCGGCGCATGAATGCGAAGGGGAAGAGGGTGGTGGCTAGGAACGGCAGGGTAGCTGGGGAGGTGCGGAGGTTGGAGGCGATATCGTCGGGTAGTTTGCCGTTGGGGCTACGTGTCGATTTCAGTTCAGATGGAGATGAGTTCGAAGGTGAGGAGATGGAGTACGAGTGCTCGAGTGAAGCACCGGTGGAGTCTGGTGGGCCGGTTGGTGGCGTCGTGTCCGAGACACTGGGTGTGGGTAGTCCAGAACAGCTTTTAGAGAGATCGGGTGACAAAGTGGATGTCTGTATGGATCCTGCGAGTTCAGAGGGAGCGGCGACTGATCTGGGGGATGTCTGGATAGATCTTGCCTAAGAGTAGCGTATGGGACAAGTGTGTGATTCAAATACATTTGAGCGCCTGGCCCTGCCTCGAAGTTCAGTTCGTTGTATGGTCGCTATCAACAAGCAGTACATTGTGTGATTGTACGCGCCTTCTTCATTCACAGTGTCTGACGGCCAAATTTCACTTGCTACCATGTGCGCGACATTGTTCAGGATCTCATGATGCTACATTGTGTAAGCCACAAAGTCCAATGCTTGCCGACGAACTATGAGTAAATTTTGCGAATAATTAAATCTAAGAAGACATCTTACTCTCATTTCTCGATTGTAGAAGACGTATACAAATCACAACGCACGGCTCACACGCAACACACCGATTTCCACGTACATTATCTCGACTTCAGTGAATATGCATTACAAACATACATCTTCAAGCCTACGTTCCCAGTATCTGGGTAATGCTGGCAGGACTTCAGCAGCTTCCCGCGAGGAGACTATCTCAGCGTGCGCTTCTACTCGCCGCTCTCAACGCGCTTCGCGGGGCGGTAGCCACATCGTCTCACGCGATCGTCCTATCTCTGGCCCAGTTCTTACAGAGGCACTGCGTCGGCAAGACTCAGCTCACCAGCCTGATCAAGCTCTGTCTCCGCTTTACTCTAAGACAGTGGCTGTGGTATCCGATGGAAGCTTGGCTCACGAGAAAACCCCACCGTTCCCTAGGGACGAACCAGTGGACATTTCGGTTCATGTCAATTCAGATTCTGGTAGCGGTGCTCCAGCATGGACGCCCAACAATCGTGACTCTATTATCAGCTACGCACAGAACGATCATGGCATCACATCAAATGGTCATAGAGTTCCTCTGCGCGTGGTCAATGCTTCTAGCATACCTAGTCCTCGCATGCTGTCTCGCCAAAGCTCGTACGTGGAGTATGACCAGGACGTTACTGTTCCACGCACCCAAAGCAGTCGTAACTCTACCATCGAATATGCCCAAATTGATCGAGGCATAATCTCAAACCACCTCCATGCCAATCTGCAAGTTGCCAATTTTACCATGAATTCTACTCTCAATGCACCATCTAATCGAGACTCCACTGGCTCGTACGTGTACACTGATCGTGGAGCCCTCGGATATGTCCTCCAGGCCCCTCTCACCGTGATGAACCCGGCCAACCTGCGCTTTATTGATACAATCAACGAAGAGCCTGACATTCAATATGATCAGCGCGGTGAGGAAACTCGTCGCCGACGGTCGTTGGGTTTGGTCAACGCCTTGCCCGAAGCAACACAGCTTGACCAGCTTGATCCCAACTTCTCCACGCACCAACATCAACTCGAGCACTCTGAACGGGTGTTAGGAGACGATGATGGAGCAAGCGTCTTTCGGGGTAATCGTAAAATCCACCGACTATCTCGTAGTGCGTCCGCAGCTTTGCTGCGCCCTCTCAAAGATGGGTTCACCAAAGTGCGAGCGTTGTTTTAGGGGCTGTCTGGGTGGTTTCGACAGGGGGTGACAGTGCGGCTCAGACGACGTAAGAGAATTAAACGTGTGTACGAGATCGTTCCAATACAAGTCATAGCACATAGTTTGTAGACGTTAGGCACCTTCAATAAAAACTTGTGGTAATTTTGACAACCATGCGCCATCATGCCTCCCATGTATTTACAACCATAATGCCCGCTACTGAGCAAACGCTCCAAACAATCGTGAGAAACACAAGGTTAGGTGGGCAGTATCTACCAACGTTAGCGATTACAAGTCAAATGATGGTGATTTAACCTACAATTCAGAACTCAGACTGATGAACCCAGCCCAGAAGACCCATTGAGCGGCCCAGAAGAGGAGCAATATAACCACTGTCACGATGTATGACCTTAAGAGACTTTCTGGTGATATGCGCATAATCTCGATCTCCGGAGAAACTGTATCGTCCATTGCGTTGTTTTCTTCTTGGGTGTAACGACGGATCCGTGTCGAATCATACTTTAGAAGAGGCATACGTTCATTGACCTGTGTTGCCAATTCCTCGGCTATGTTCGATGGCTGTGGTTGCTCGATTTTACGCCACTTAAGCAGATCGCGATGTCCAGATGTGGTCGTGTTCATCATGGCTCGAGTGAGGAGTAGGAGCTGAACAAGTGCTACCACGAAGACTAAGAGCCACATGAGGGCGGCAGTATACATTGCTTTCGCTGCTGCCTCTCCTTCCGCAAGTTCTAGGCCCCGAGAGTAAAAGTCGTGTTCGCGACCATATTTGACAGTAGTCAGCATGGGATACAAAGAAAGTGCTTGCATAATGATCTCTGCGAAGATGGATGAGGCCGTTGCGGAGAGGTTGATCGCCTCGAAAGGCTGTCGACTGAGAATCCAGATCGGTAGCCAGGCTAGTCGAGGCATGGAGCACCAGAGAAGCATCAATTGTATGACGGGAACGTGCTCATAGCCATATGTACTCTGTACAAGCACTGCATTGAGCAAGTTGCCAAACAGCTGAATGGCCGCGATCCAAAGTCCAGTTAAGAACCAACCGGACGGAACGATTTGCCGTAAAAGATGGCTAGCCACTTCGAAAGCGTATATCCTCTGCCTGAAGTACACAGCTATGACTGTAGCTGTATTAACCAGGGCAAGGCTCATGATTTTCCATCCATTTGATGTACATAGAGGAGCTTTATCTGCCGAACTCTCACTACTGGGAATATCGATGCCAATGTAGTCAGAGAATGAGACGTTCCATCGCCATGGAGTCATTTCAGCGCGAGTGGGACGAGCCAATGAATGGTACCAATTTTCTGGCAAACCATACCAGTCCTGGACATTGCGGCAAAGGTGAAAAAGCCAAAGCACAAAATCGATTCGAGTTTTGAAGGCATGACACGAGCCTCCGCAGGACTCGTAGCTGAAATCACGACAAAAGCTTGCTTTGTCAACTGACGGTTTGATAGTACAGTAGTCGTCGGATTTGACATCACATGCGTCGGTGGTACATTGGTCGCGGCGCGTGAGTATTTCTTTTGGCATGTCTGCTACACACTTGGGCCATTTCCATTCTTCGATAGGAATGTAGTGATCTCCAGTCGTTTTGAGGTGATTGTTCCAGAGACCAGCGGGTAGTGCGGATCTGCCACAGGTGGCATACATCCAATACCGCTCCATCGTCATGTCAATGTTACCTGGATCTGAGCAAGGCTCTCGTGTCCAATCGATGGTAAAGACTTGACAAAAGCACGTCTTGTCGAAATATTCGCCGTGTGTGATCTTGACTCCAAGCAAATCATAGCCAGCGGTCTCTGAATCCAGAGATATCATGGATCGAAGCGACTCACTGTATTCCCAGGGCCGAACAGCATTTCCGGTGTGCTGGGCGCTGCTTGTGAACATACACGATGCTAACGCGTGCTGAAACAGTTCACCAGTACTAGCGGACGGTGCATGCGTCAGACATTTCGGCGCTTTGGAAACGACATGGATCGCTGCATAGCCATCGTGCAAGGAGTATGGAGTAAGTTCAAGTAGTTCGTTGGTATCCCCGACATCGACTAGCCATGTTCGATCAGTGATCTGATGAATCCACCTACTGATTTGTGCTTTGGTAAGCACTGATCTGCTGCAATATGGTACATATTGCTTGACGAGCTCAGGTGAGAATGTGGTGCGAAGGCAGCTGAGCTGGGTCAGCCATTGCTTGTGGGTGCAGAATACGCCGAAGTGCCTGGTGCACCTGTGGCTTGTGCAATGCGTCAAGGCGTCCAGCCAGGTCCTGTGATCCTGTTGAACAACGCATTGTGGCATAGAGGCGAGATCTTCCGGGTTGACCCAACCACCACGATTGTCTAGGGGCTTCACGCCGACGGAGGTCCCCAAGTTAGGGGCGTTGCTAACGATCGCTTCTACAGTGTCACGTTAGCGCTGGAGACGATAGACTAATCGGGAAGGATTTACCGGCGCCGACCCCTGCTTGCAACCCGCACAGGACGGTCATCAGCAGCATCGAGCATGCGCTGAAAATCTTCATGTTGAATAATGGTTTCGGCTCGCGTTCCGCGTGGATGTACGCAGAAGGGTTGATCGTGCAAGGTGTTGGGCAAGGCAGTTGCAGGCTGCAGTGGGTAAGAAGCGGGCACAGCTGGTTACCCAACATTCTTCTACTAGACCCAAACGGGGACCGCAGGCTGCATGCGCCGCCTTCTTGCATAGACATGTTAAAAATCACTCTCACTGGCAATTACAGCTAGATGTAGATTGACTTAGATGTGAATGAGATCTCCACAAGATACACTATTGTAGTTCGGTAATTTGCCGTAGCGTATTTACCACAAGAAGCGATTAAGGCCTAATGGTTTACAACTACACACGCCAGTTCAATACCAATCTCAATACCTGCAGGCGACGATTTCCGGTGCACTAGTACAATATTAGACTGGCAGTCTATGTATCAATCACAACCCCAGGTGAGGGTTTTCATGTCCTTTCTTATAGTGTGTGTGGAAAAGCGTGTTGATATTCTTTCTATTCTCATCAGGTCGATTGTTCTCCTTACCAACCGCGACCAGAACGTCTTGAAGACGAAAGCGTCAGATTTTTTTTAAAATTATATCACAACAAAGTCAGGGAAATCATTTATGTCGAAAAGTAGACGCGACAATTAAATTGAAGACTTGATCATTTTACACCATGTCGAGCTCTTCCCCCTAAAAGCACTAAACATGTGAGCGCCTTTGTCTTCTTTGAATCCGTGGTTCTTTGTAGCACCAAAATCCTACATTACACAATGTGACTGTTCGTGGTCCTTTGTTACGGCTTTGTTCTCTGACTCGATCGAACGCATTCAACTTATTGTCGAAGCTGTGTTGGGAGGTTTCATGTTATAAGAGCCTTGGGCAGACTACGCGTTCAAATCTAAACCCTGGGCCATCGACTTCCACATTATTTTCTACATTCATTGCCTGCAACATTGCTTCACCAGTAATCATGCCTGCGTCATCGCACATCGACTCTCCCATTCACCCAACATTTCCTTGCAGAACCTCCGCTGCATCTGTACAATCTCCACTTACTCGCATCATAGAGGTACCCCACAGGCAATTTGCTATGCTTGACAGCCCCACCATCATACAACCCAGGCCAACGCAATCCGACGACTACATGACCTTTCTCGACAGTGATTCAGACTCCTGCACAAACTCACCATCATCATCGCCAAACATCTCACCCATAATGTCACAGGAACAGTTCCCATACTTTCTTAGCCTGGATAACTTAGGATTTGAGGATGATTGGACTCAAGGCTGGGACAATCAAGAAGCAAGGGCCGTTGGTATCACTAGTGAGCAGCCGAGGCTGCGCGAGGTAGGAGAGCTACCTGTCATCCGTGAAGGAGACTTCAACTACATTCCTGCCTCAGCTGGCGTCCGGACTCAGTGGAGAGACAATGCGTCTGACAGGAGTTTGAGCTTGGCGAGAGATCGGATGGCAAAACGCGCTGACGATGCGAAGTATGGCTATAAGATGGCATGGCTGAAAGTGTTGCTGAAGAAGCTTGGGCTGGGCGGCAGACGAGGACGCTGAATCTGCGTATTACCGGCTATGGATGAAGTTGCCGTAGCACCGCGTGAGTTTTGAGTATTTTGCTAGTAGTTTCTGATGGTTCAATTAGTCTCAAGAACTTTAAGTTGTCTTTGCGCCTAAATCTTTGTCTGCGAAGATCATAGTGAACGCGTCCTCTTCTGGCGAGAATACGTGGTCCAGCGGACTTTCACCACATCATTGTATACAAGTCGGTGCACTTACAATGCACGCAGTGTATCCACCGTGGCCGCTGTGGTCCTCGAAGATACTCGTACTTAAAACTGTTGCATATTAGCACCAATTCAATGTCATCAACATCGACATCACGCTGATCTGATAGCGTATTTCAATCAGAACGTCCTAGCCTTTCACACTATCTCTGCATATATTTTTTCGAATGTCTGCCTATAATACATACAACGATCAGAGTCGGTCTCACGGTCTGCCAGGAGATGAGTATAGTCGTCTGCGCAAGCGCGATTGTCTAAACAGCCATTTCGAGCATCGTAGAAACAGGAATGCAGCTTATCCAGAGCCACCACACTCAGCGTATCGCGACGCAGGGCTCTCTAGAGAATCGCGTGTCCGCGTATCCGAAACGCGGAATGCTACTCGAGCAGCGCTCGGTAGCAGCTTCGACTTCACTGATAACGGTTATGAGCGCTCGCGCCGTCATGAAGATGACTACCAGCGCTCTCGTGGCTGGATTCATGACGAACCACGTCGTACTCCCATTCCACAGAAGTATCAAGATGAGTTCAATAGGCTTTGGAACGAGGATGACGAGGCTAATGATGCTTATCAGTATCGATCGGATAGTAGTCGTGATGCCCCTTGGCGCGAACATGTGGCACTGGAGCATAACCGCCTAGATGTGTCGAGGCTTCCTACTAGACGGTCTGAGACCAGTTATGCGATGAGTCGCAACGATAGCGGATATGGTAGTAGTGGGTCTAGACGCCCCAGAACTCCGCCTAGAGTGCGCTCACCCGAGCTGGTGAGCAGGTTCAGCTTCGGGAGTGTTGCTGACAGTTATAAGGAACCTCCACGTCGACGTAGACACTTAGGCCTCTTCGGTCGTGACCAGATGTAGATCGAGCTCAGGCTAGAATCTAGAATCATAAGATCTTTGGAGCGGCCTGTGCAAGGCTAGACTCCATGGTAAGTAAGTACCCGCAGTAATTCACCGACGTATTTTAGGACTGAAAGTAACATTCAGACTGGATTGAAGCGAGACAATGAAAGATTTTGAACGAGAAGACAATGAGCAAGTACGTCAAGTGCGAGTGACAAAGGCGGCATGATGTATGATTATTCGGGGGAAATAAGACGTCTGAAACTCTGCGAACTAAGTAAGTAATTAGATCTCTTCCGAGGAAAAAGAAGAGGTGTTCCTGCAGATAAGGGTTGAGGTACGGTTCGAAGGGTGCCGTGACAGAAGGAAATCCGCACTAGCGCAGTCGACCAATCATGACGCATAACTACCTCTGGTAACCCAGTCTCTCCTCTTTCGTCTCCCACTCAGGCTCGAGGTCTGTTGCGCCCATTCTGAAGATTTCATCTGAAATTGGTATTTCGGTTCTATGAGAATATCATCAACATTCATGCATTCCCACTACGACCGTCCATGACATACTCTCCCCCATGTCGTCTTCCAATGATTCGCCGGTGGCGTGAAATCCGGAGTTCTGGGCGCTACTCACCACCAAGCATTTCCCCTCAAACAGACCACAACAATTCTTGTCTACTTCTTTGTCTCGCCAAGTGCTGCACACGTAGACAAATGTCGATCACAAGTTCCGCGACAACCAACACTGGGAACAGGGTAGGCCAGCAGTTGACCGAAAGTGTACTTACACTCCAACAAACGATTCGAAATGTCAAAGAAGATGTGGCAAAAGGCATCGCGCCATCCATTTTGCTGCCCGTAGATTCAGTACGCCTGACCTCAATGTTATCCGCGATACGCGCAGCTCACCTGAATCAGACCCAAGACATCAATTCCGGCATGGTCCTATTAACCCTAGAACCCTCAACCGCCGACATTACTGCTCATCTCACACCCCTCGACATTCGGCTCGGCGATCTTAAATCGAAACTTCGTGATCACAGGCTTTGGAATCCGCCCGCAGTCCCACCAAAGTCGCCGGAGTATTCGATCATCGATATCAGCGATTTGTCCTCTGCCGTCTCTCTGCTGGAAGATCTCTTCCAACAGCACGCATCATCAATGGCAAAGCGACATTCCGCTCGTGTCTTCTTCTCCAAATATGACTGGACATGGGACGTTGTTCATAGGGAATTTTGCACGAGACTGTCGCATTCTGCGTACATTTACTTGTCGCTTTGGCGTCTGGATGAGCAGCGGCAGATTTGGGAGTACGTCAGCATGCATGGTATGGGATTACAGCCCGAAATTGCCGCTGATATGCTGGGATGTTGGGAGGATTGGACATGGGATCCAGCATGGAAAGAGTGGTGCTTGGACGTTAGTAGTGAAGAAGGCAGATGCAGGCTCTACGCAAGCAGATGGGAAGTACGACAAGAAACGGATCCAGGTGAGCCATGGGTCTATGTGGGAGGACATGATGACCAATAACATCCACCAACATTCAAGCACGTTTGATAAAAGAATAAGTTTTTCAAAAGTATATTCAAGAATGAGTATTTACGCTCTCACGTCCAAATCAATGGCTCGCCATTAACACCCCAGCACACAGCAGTTCAACTCTACAAGAAGAGGGCAACAATGGCACCAGCAGCCATGGCACCGCCAACCTTGAGGTTGGAGGCAGCACCAGTGAACTGGCTGGGGGGAGCAGAGACGGAGCCAGTTCCAGACGGCGAAGCAGTGCCGGAGGGCTTGGATCCGCCGAGAACGGGGGAGGAGGGGACACCAGTGCCGACGGGGACGGAGGGGACAGCTGGGACGGTGGGGTAGGGAGCTGGGCCAGTGGCGGCGTGGGTGGCCGGGGCGGAAGGCAGGTGAGGCTTGACCCTGGGGAGGATATTAGGATGATTGTGGATAAGTAGAGAGAAAGACAAAACGTACTCAGTCACAGTGACGGTGACAACGGCGGAGCATGAAGACTCGACCGGCGCAGCGCTGTACTGAGCAGCGGCGACAGCGGCGAAAGCAGCGATGGCAGCGAAGAACTTCATATTGACTGATTTGGTGTTGGTAGAAATTATCAAAAAAAGAGGTATTGATAAAAGTGGTCGTGAGGTGGTTGAAAGAAGTGGGTATCGTAAATGAAAGCTGATTCTCTAAAGAGTGACTACAGACAAGCTGTTTGATGAGTTGGATGAGGGAAGGAAAGAGGTACGTCCCGCAGAGATACCTATATACTCAGGTAGCATATTACGTCGATATTAAGGCACGGGAGTATATTCCTTTCTCAGTGGCCCAGCGCAAGGCTGGGCACGCGCTCATTGCGCCGCGCGCTCAAGCAATCACTTGCCGTCCACCTAGCCAGTCGAAATTGACAATTGAACTTTACCCTGGGGGCCCTGCGAAAGGAGCAGGGGTAAGGGAGAGTTGCGATAGCGGAGATTTCATAACGATCAGCCACCTTGGCGAGGCTGTTGGCTCGCTGTTTGCTCAGGAGTGGGTAGCACAACGCGTGTGCTTCACATGTCACCATACCCACCAATTCCACTGTTTGTTTTCCCGTCCGTCGTGTGTTTCGTTTCGCCAACTCGACGATCCTCTGCAGACCAATAGTTACACAAGTCGTTGCGGTTGGACAAGATCGCCAGGCACACCCGAGATTGCGCCTCATCTTGGCCCGCTGCGCACGTGCCTAGCGGTTTATGCATCTGAAACCAGTAGCGCCATCTCCTATCCTTTCACATGTCCCGCGCGCGAGGAAATCTGGGAGATGATCGGTGGAGACACTTGCGCGTCTGTGGACGGCTGATTGCTGAAGGGGACGGAGGTGATGTCATTTTCGAGGAAGCGCACATTGAGGGAGATGTATATTCGGGCCTTTACACTTCAGCGCACAAATGATAAGGCCGCACAATCGACACCTCGATTGTGCCTACAGACGCGAATTCATGTGTGTTTGTTTGTTGGCACAAACACGTCGCCCCAAACGCGCCCCAGAATGTGTGTATTGGTTCACTAACGAACAGACCACCGCCTCCAATTGTGCCAAGAGATCTAGAGCCTCCGAGCACAGGAGAATCATCGCTAAGAACGGAACGACAATAGCTTCCTGCCGTAGCGACGTCTTATCTGCGATATACTTTGTCTTGTTGAGTGATAAGAATAGATGACTACTCATGATGGTAAAGGGGGAGGCGTAGAGAATGGTAATTGTCCATCAGCCTGAATACTAAAGTGAAGTGGATAAGTTGGACATGTTATCTTATGCATCACGCACTGCATGCTTGCATAATTCCTACAACAATGGTTTGAACAACTTTGGCCAAACGCATGCACTTCTGAGATTGGGAACCTTAACATTCATAATCCAAAAAGACCAACAAGTCGAGCAGGACGTACTGACAGACACAGGAGACTATTGTGGTCGCTACTAACATGAACAGTCGTTTTCGCTGTAATCGCGACAACCAAAGATTGGGTATTCCTACAAAACAACGCACATCAAAACTGCTTCACTATCTCACCCTCCCCATGATCGGATCATCCGGCGCTTCATCGCCTACCGTTTCCGCCGCCTTCTGCTTAACCGCGTTCAACATGCCCCTCTCGAAATCATCCCTCGCCCTCAGCACCGCCTCTACCCAACTGATATGCACATCTTTATAGTTGTACTTGAACTCCTCATACGCAAACGGAACTTGTGTCTTGTCGCTCTCAAGCAGTTTCAAGAAGTACTCGACAGCGCGCCAACGCTGCAGGATTTCTGCGCCCTGGGGACCGAATTCGCGGAAAAAGTCGAAGGCGGTTATGAGGTCGTCTTTCATCTTTGCAGCGAACTGATCTGTGCGACGGAACTTTACAGACTTATTGCGTACAGCGGAGAGGTATTGGATGAGAAGTTCGTCGGCGAGACTGTCGATGACAAGATCTCGGAGGGAGCGGTGGACTTGGTCCAAGTAGTCGTTTAGGTAATCTCTGAATGTCGCGATGATAGATGCCATGTCTGTCCTGTTGTACCATTCTGGTGTGAAGAATTTGGACAGGATGGGCTTGAAATCTGTCAGGAAGATGAGTTGACAGAAAATCTGTATGCACTTGGAGGATATGTCGATGTATCCATTCTTCAGCTCGTCTACTTGGGCGGGGAGACGATCAAGTGCAAATTGCTGGGACACAAGAGGCACAACTTCGCGCTCGAAAACTGTGACAAAGGATGCACGGCCGTTGACGTCGTCTTCGTCGTCGATGCAGATGATCTGGTCGTTGGCGAGGGCGATGAGCCACTCTTGGAACACAGCAACGGTTTCGCCGTCCAAGGTGGGGTTGAGGCCGGTGTACTTGTCCTTTTCTTCGTCGATGAGTTGCGACCAGATGCGTTGGCGACTCATGAGGGTGCGGAACATGGAGTCGACAACGCCCTCAGCCACGTCGTTGCGGTCGCTGCTCGCAGCCACGGAGAGGTTCTGACTGAAAAGTGTCCAGACATCACCCAGTGATCTCGTCTGGAAAATGCCGTCGGCGTTGATTTCATAGGCTTCCCTGTCCTGATTGAGGAAGCTCTTGCGGTCTTGCTCGTTGATGCGGTCCATGTACTGGTCCACAGCCTTGACGATGACTGAGCGGTATGTTCGAATGAGCTCCTGGCTACGGTTATCGATGACATGCGGTTGTAGATCGTCCTCAGCAAAGCCCAGCTTGGCCATCTTCGCATAGTACTTGTCTACCCAATTGATGACGGCTAGGACGTATTGTGGCGGTAGGGTCTCGTCGTCGGCAAAGCTAACCAGAAAGTCGTGCATGGCCTTGTGATATATGTTTGTGTATGTCTGCAGAATCTTCCACTTCTTGGGCATGAGGTCCACCATACCCAGCTTGACTACGTTGAGGTGATTGAAGTACCATTTGAAGTACTTGTCAATTTTCTCGGGATCCTCGTTGAACTTCTCTCTCGCCTCGTCCATCTGAGCCTGGCAGACATACTCAATGGACTTGATGAACTTGTCCTTGTAGCCGCGCAGCTCTTTGGGTCCCGAGTTGATTGACCGGAACCGCGACGCAAGGTCCTTGTACTCGCGCTGAGCATCCTGCAGTGCCTTGACCTTCTTGTCCGTCTTCTCTTCCTCCTCGACGATGATTGCGAGCCTGACCACGAGGCCGTCATTTCCAGACTGGACCAGGTCGATCAGGTTGATGCAGGTCTCGCCAATGTGCTTGTCGAACCACTCGACGACGTCGTCGAGTCGCGTAAACAGGTCCTGCACAGTGATGCCGTTCTCGAGGGTCAGATTGTCGATGAGCTCGGTCGATCCGTCTTCGGTGCTCTTGATCTGTGCCATGGCATCGTCGCGGACGTCGCGCAGCTGGGTCAGGCCATAGTGGATCTGCAGCAGACGTTCCTGGTTGATGGGGTCCTCATCGTCCTCGGCGAGCAGCGTCTCCAGCTGCTCCAGGCGCGCCTCGAAGGTCTGGATGTCGTTGCGCATCTTCTCCACGGCCTCAAAGTTCCTGTGTGTCTGTGCTACCAGGTTGATGTGCGGGAAGTCTTGGATCATGTTCTGGGCCTCGGCACACAGCTTGTCTATCTTCATCATCTCTTCCTTGATCAGGTTCACGGTGCGCTGGCCCTCGGTGATGCTGTTCATGCCCGACTGGGTCAGCTCCAGCTGCTCCTTCAGCCCATGGCGGAGTTGTCCGTCCACGGCCGCCTTCTTGCGAGTGAATTCCGCCTTGAGCGCCGAGAGCTTCTCGAGGTCCTCTGGGTGTTTGAGCAGTTCGCTCAGGCGTGTCGCCGAGTCGACGTCGGCCATGGTGGCAGTGGTGTATTGGTCGCTATCGCACGGCCATGATACCGTCGGATCGTGTGCTTCGGGTAGGGTCGCTAGGGGCTTCAGTCGCGTGAGCTACACCGGAGTACTGCCTCTGCGACATGCAACGTTGAATGTGTCCCCGGGCGTGGGGTCAGGGTAGTCCAATGCGCCTGCATGCGAGTGGTGCTTAGCGCGTCTGCGGGCCGCGGGAGTGCCCAAAAGTTCCCCACGCCACTTCCTTCAAGGCGCTCTTTCACCCTCACATCCCGCGCACACGCCCACCATGGCCGACGAAGAGCTGAACCTCTATGATGAGATTGAGATCGAAGACTGCTTCTATGACGAGACGTTGCAAATATACCACCACCCATGTCCCTGCGGCGACCGCTTCGAGATTTCCATAGCAGACATGCGCGATGGCGAGGACATTGCGCGCTGCCCCAGTTGCAGTCTGATGATCCGGATAATATTTGATCAGGTGTGTCTCTAGCCCGTGTATCGTCTCGGGCCGGCAGGTATTAACATGTATATTATAGTCTGATCTACCGCCCGACACGGACAATGCGCCCCAGGCTGCTGCCATTACTGCGTAGAAATCTCTCGTTGAGCCTGCTATGAGACTTCTTCTCTTTCGCACATGTGGGCATTTGGCTTAGCATAAACGGCGTTGCATATCTCAGGCGCTTGGAAATACCACAAAGGGCACGTGAATGGAAATGCTGTACGCAGATTTTGGAGAGCGCAGTAGTGGCATGTCGCCAATTCGCCGTCGTCATTTTGCTATGAAACACGGAACATGCGTCGATACCTCGCACTCGCCGGTGGAAGCAAATACTTTCTTTTTTCAAACATGGCTCATAATCCCATCTCGCGTAGTATCAGCGCGGTACGTCATCGTCTACACCAACATCCACGCCCAGCTCTTTCCTGAGAATCTCAGTCAACGAGCTGCCGTCCCTCAGATATACCCAGTCACCATGGCCGGTGCCCTCCTTGAAGTCCATGCCCTCCTGTGCGACGACCCAGTCGAATCGTTTCGGTCCGGAGATGGGCGAGCTGAGCCAGATCTGCTTGTTCGGGGGCTGCTTGTTGAGCACGTAACTGTGCTCTTTGGCCTTGACTTCGAGAACACCAGCCTGTAACTAGTCAGTCTATGCTATACTTGAATGACAACATCTTCACATACCGAGTATTCGACCTCGATTTGCGGGTCCTTCTCCTGTGCCTCCTCCAGCCTCTCTACAAGCTCGTTGAGGTAGTAGTCGGCGCGCTCATGGAATTCTTCCGTCGACAGCTCCGTCACCTTGCCAGGCTCGTCATGGCTCTCGCTCTCTTTCGGCGCAGGGTTCTCGGCGTCGGGCATGATACTCCTGACGTTCATAGAGGAGTGGAAAGAGCGAATGGCCGCGGCCTTGTTGGCAACGGGGTAGGAAGCGGCTGAAGCTCTGCCGATGACGCCATTGGCACGCGATTGAGCTCGAAGCGGAGTGCGAACAGCCTGGCGGGCAAGAGCACCACTGAATCGAGTAGCAGGTCTCATTGTGGATAGTGTCGTATGTAAAGGGTTCAATGGTCGATGTTGTTGGTGCGGAGGTCCGGAGTACCAGTAGCTTCGAGTGTTGGTAGAGAGCTCCCGCTAGGACCACCCAAGTTCCCCGCCTGTCATGCATGATGAGAGCGCCCTCTCGAAGCAACCACGACACCACCATGATCAACGCCGTGCTCGTCTTCAACAACGCCGGCCAGCCGCGGCTGACCAAGTTCTACACTCAGCTGGTACGTATCGGCATGCGAAATTCCGCTATACATGCTCACACAAGTTAGGAAACCAGCGTGCAGCAGCGCCTCATCTCTGAGATCTTCACTCTCGTCGCCAACCGCCCGAACTCGGCATGCAACTTCCTCCCGTATGATTACACGTCGCCTCTGAAGACTTCCTGTGTTGATGTACAGCAGACTACCGCCGCTCCTCGCTAGCGCCTCCAAATCCTCCACTCCGACCACCCAGCACAACGACACTCCCTCGCTCGTGACGTACCGGCACTATGCCACTCTCTACTTCATCGTCATCAGCACCTCTACAGAATCACCCCTCGCCCTTCTCGACCTCATCCAAGTCTTTGTACAGGCGCTCGACGGCCTCTTCGAAAATGTCTGCGAGCTCGACTTGATCTTCAATTTCGAAACGCTACATGCCACTCTGGGAGAGATGATAGTGGGCGGTGTCGTTGTCGAAACTCAACTCGAGCATGTCATCAAGGGCGTCAAGGCACAAGGCAGAGTCGCAAAGAGGCCGGTGAACGAGAGCAGAGGGGGAGGCGGCAAAGGCGGGCTCGGTGGCTTGACTTTTGGTGGACTTGGAAGAGGTGGTGGCGAGGGCATCTGGACCGGGCGATGAAAGCGCAATTTGGAAAGAGACAGAACCTACGAGTCATGTGACTTTTCCAGGCACCTTCTCATGTTGGCACCCTCAAGTTGAGACTGCGCACAGAGAAAAATCTCAGTCCGAGCTCGACCTTCTCATGCGGCCGCGGCGCGAGTCATCGCGCCGCGATGCGCTGAAGATGCGGAAATGGCAGGTGTCCGTGGAGAAACATTGTGAAACATTAGGTTCACAACCACCATTCAATCCCGCTCCGCTCGCATGGGGTACTGCGATCAAAGGAAACAGCAATGGCAATTAGAGACGCGCCTGAAAGAAAGAACGGTACATTGAAACATCCAGCTTCATTCCTTGTTCGTTGCCGTGCTGCCCTCGGCTCTTCCACCGGGTATAGTCAGGTTGTTTCCCCATACTACGTGGCGAGCCTTGGACTACCCCAATCTATCCTTGATCACTAACAATTCTCCTAACCATCCCGGTCCACCAATCACGGCCGTCGCATGATTTGATTGCCGAACTGTGGGGATGAAAACACTTTACAGGACACAGCGAACTCGACACGAGACAGGCCGAATTACTGTTTCGAGCGATGGCCCTGAGGATGCGCTCACAGTAGCGAGTCGTTCCCTTCCACCGTGCAGGCGCCGTCTAATGCCAATGTCTACTTAAGCTCCTCCTTGGCTTCTTAGCTACCGATTCCGACGACCAGAGTCTTTGCAATCCTCGACGCCATCAACCGCTATGCGTTTCCTTTCCCTTATCGCGAGCGTCCTTTCGGTCGCCGCTGCCGCCACCCTGGGCAAGCGTGCAGTTACACCTGGTACTCTATCCCAGGTCACCTCTTTCGGTACTCAGCCTACCAAGGCTGGCTTCTACATCTACGTGCCAAAGAAGCTCGCCGCCTCCCCTGGAGTCATCGTCGCCATTCATTTCTGCACTGGCTCTGCACAAGCCTACTACAATGGCAGCCCGTACAAGACGCTCTCTGAGCAGTATGGCTTTATTGTCATTTACCCAAGCTCACCCCACTCTGGAACATGCTGGGATGTCAGTAGCAAGGCAACATTGAGCCACAACGGTGGAGGTGACAGCAACACTATTGCAAACATGGTCACCTGGACCATTTCCAACTACAAGGCCGATGCTTCCAAGGTCTTTGTCACCGGCTCCAGCAGCGGTGCCATGATGACAGTGTAAGTGGACTCTGCGATAAATGGGCCGAGCTGCCAGACTAACATTATTCCAGAACGTCATGGCTGCGACTTATCCCGAGATGTTCAAGGCTGCTATCGTCTACTCGGGTGTAGGAGCCGGCTGCTTTGCCTCTAGCTCCAATGGCGTTGATGCATGGAACAGCACCTGCGCGCAGGGCAACTCCATTGCCACACCTCAAGCCTGGGCCAACGTCGTGTTCAACATGTACCCCAACTTCAAGGGCGACCGCCCCAAGATGCAGGTGTACCATGGCAGCGCCGACGCTACTCTGCGCCCCGCAAACTATGCGGAGACCATGAAGCAGTGGGCCGGTGTTTTCGGCTACGACTACAGCAAGCCGACCAGCACACAGCAGAACACTCCTCAGAGCGGCTACACCAGGACCGTTTACGGACCAAAAGTTGAGGGTATCTATGCTCAGGGTGTTGGACACTCTGTGCCAATTCGGGGTTCAGATGATATGAAGTTCTTCGGGTTTGCTTAGATGTTTGCTAGACACCGATACGAGTTGATCTCCAACCTTTCATGTACATACTATTCTTTGGCGAACGAAGCCACTTAGCCCAATCTCGAAGATTCCAATGATTTTCGAAAGTCTTCCACGCGTGCTGTTTCGTCCTTGCTTGACGCCACTTTGTTGTCTACAGTGTCCCTTCACCAGCACAACCCTCCTACACAATGTGAAGAACATGAAGCACTTTCTTATGGTTTTCCTTATTTGCTTCCAATCCTTCTCTCCAGGCAAGCTCCGTTCTAGAGAGTCACACCATGCTTCTCGTCCGACTGGCGCAGGCGCCATCAACGACTTCAGTCCACCACGTACACGCCACAGCAACATATTCGACTCCTGACTCGACCCACGCAGCTTCACGCAACACGAGCGCAAATTTGCGGACAAATGCCCGCCCAAACATCCCCAGAACTCACTCTGCACCTAACCTACTTTGTTCGAACCACCCAAACTATCTACCACAATGTATTCCCAAACCCGCGACACCTCGTCCTCGTACCCGCCCTCCCCAGCCCATTCCAGCATCCCGCTCCCTCCCAAGCCTCTTCACCACCCTCGCCACTCCATCTCTTCTCTCGGTTGGTCCGGCAGGCTACGTATACACACTGACGTCGATGCGCTCGTCGCGATATGAGAGTCTGCGTGATGACTATGGGATTCGGTTTCGAGCACGCGGACATCGATTGCAGGCGTTGCTCATGCGGATGCGTTTGAAGAGGAGTAGTGATGGTAGAGAAGGGGGATTGGGGGTGAGGAATGGGGATAGGGTCGGGGGTTGGGTGGAGGCGAAGAAGGTGCGGATTGGGGCGTGGCTTGGGAGGTTGTAGATCGTGTAGTACCTCAAAAGATATGAAGATGATGTTGCTTGACAGAATAATGTCATAAGCATTGTATATTCATAGTCGACATCAGCCCAATAAGTAGAATGTGATGCATTTTGCCCGAGTCTTCCTACATCGCAAGTACCGATCCAACACATCGTGAACGTAGACCACGACGTTCTCGAATGCCAATCATGAAGCCTGAAAACGCCAGATATGCACTCCGTCTCTGTCTCCGTCTCAAAGTCGACTATCAGCCGCCTATCGATTTGCTCCCACTCTACTCATAGCCAGCAACCTCTCCCGCCTTCTTCTCCACGTAGTATCCGGGATCCGGCCGCCTCGCAGCCCTCATCTGATCCTTGGTCATTGGGTGGCTGACCTCCTTGATATCGACGAGTTCCTTTATGCGCATGATCTGACCAGCAACGGACTGCGAGACAGGGTGGTAAACGGTCGTCATGCGTTTGCGCAAGCCGAGCGCTTTGAGCACACCCTGGGTCTTCAGAGGGAGACCAATGCCGGAGCGCATCAAAGTTATCCGGAAATAGGACATGTTGGTATGTGTGAGGGTGAGGGCTCCGTCGCGCTTATGACGTATCGGATGGCGCTGGTGGATAGGCGTTGGGCGAGTTCGGGGCCAGTTCACAGTCGGCAGCGCTACAGAGGCGTTAATTGGTACTTTTAGAGCTTCTTCGAGGTTCAGAACGTACTGCTTCACTTGTGTGCGCCGTCTGAGGAGCCGAGTGCGCGCTCCTCATCGCCGCGGTACACTTTTTCCACATCAATGCTTGCCTAGAATGGCTTAGCGTGGAACGCGGAACACGACCCGGCACACGTGGGCACAGCTTCACTCGCACCCTCATCGTCGCTCAAATTCGCCTTGCTCTCGTCGCGCCAGGTCGCCGCATCGGATGGAAGCGGCGAGCGAATGACTCTCTATAGGGAAATGGCGGTGAGGCAGCTGCTCGACAGGTGTCTTCAAATGAGACCTTGCTGGAAAATGCAGCTTTCCGCCCGTTGTCATGCCCTGCTATTCTCGGTAGGTCACCGCTAACCTGAACTTCCTACAGGCTACAGCACGCACCCCGAAGCTGTAACCCGTTTGCTGAAGGAATACCAGCGCGTCGGGATCTTATCCCAGTATGTTCTGTCGACATGTGTTGCTCGATTCACGTCGCTCTTCGCTGCGTTTGTGACTTTCCTCTGCTTTGTTTGTAAACATCCATCAATACATCAGAAAGTCACCCAGTACCTAGGTAGGAACAACTCGAGCACTACCTCGGCGACTGTCAACCATGGAGCACATCTCGCCAAGCTTACGCGTAAGTCGAAGGCAATCCGCTCCAGCTGCCGCCTGCGAAACGGTTCGTTGGGTATCGGGACGCAGAGCTGCAGAGCCGAGATTATCGCGTGCACAATCGACCAGATGTTGTACAGCTTGAGCTATGGCCCTCCATTGAACGACTGTTTCCAAACACAACTGCCTGCACTGGAGTGGGAACACCGTTTCTTCGGCACAGTCTACTAGTCCCATCTTACACCCGTTTGATATTCATATCTGGTAACTACCCCTCACGTTCGGATACTTACGTTTGCCACAGAGAAGGCTTATTCGGAAACTGGACGAACGAGCCAGATGTACGCATGCATCCGCACGGGGAAGGGATGCTGGCATGCCCGCGGATAGTCCTGATCTGGAGTCATCTCATGGCCGTTGGGAAGGTGCATTTCACCGCTCGGCTCTCCAAACTCTACGTATAACATGGAGGATAGGCTGCGATCCCATTTGAATCCTTCTATAGCATACGACCTGAGCTTTCGACATTCACTCTTCGGTTGCCTTCTCTCTTTCTAGTCGTCCTATTCTCTCTTTACACGCGACACTCGTTGGTGGGTTGTCACGTGCTGCTTTCATACATCAATTGTCGAGATCACCTTGGTTGCTTCGAGTAATCAACTTAGCCTTGATAGCATCTCATTTAGGGTTCCTCTACAAATATGACAAGTTCGTCCTCCTCTCCCTCTGCATACTTCACCGATGTTGACTTTCCATCCAGCCCTCTACGCCCGCAATCTCGCGCCAAACCATCTCACATCATCGCCTTCTCCCCCGGCACCGCCTGCATCAATCCCAGCCTTATTGTACCGTGTTCATCATACCTCGGCACAGGCTCAATACTCCTTCTCCACAGGCTTCCGTGCCAAGAACCAGTCAACAGTCCTCTGCGGCACCACCCCACTCGCTCGCTTTGGTCTTGCTCATCTGCACCATCAAACCAATATTTCGTCACCCTTCATCAGCATGTACGATAATCTCGCTCGTGCCGAACAAGTTGCACTCTACTTTGAGCAGAAGTACCCCGGTGAGGAGGTTTGGATCGTCACCATTGACACGAAACATCTGGCCTGGGGCCCAGTCTTTCGTGCTGCAGATATCTTGAAGGGCGAGGCGGATAACCGCCAAGGATGGATGCACGAGGGCGAGTATCTGGTGTTGTATACCGTCCCAAAGCAAGCAGTTAGGGTGGAGACATTGATGACAAAGGGCAAGGGGAAGTATGGCGCTGTTGGGTTGATTGGCGGGAGGCCGTGATGGGATATCGTCTGCGCGCAGGCCTTGTGGGGATGTGCTTGTATCTTTCCTTGTCGTATGACCCATGTTGTGTATGGACTTCCATAAGTGTTGGTGGGCCGTGTCCGCTCAGTTCTTTCGTTTCTCTTCTGACCGTTCATAGTCAACAGTAGCTCAGCAAAGTCCTAACTCAATTTCTCTGGCCTCCACACAGTCCCAAATCGGTGAGACCTCCTCATATGCTGGCGCAGGCCGGACTTGATTTTCCTCACTAGTTGGTTCGAAATCCCTCGTATCCTTCTCGACAGGCAAGGCGCCGCTCATCATAAAGTCTTCTTCGGGAGGTTCCATTACGTGATTCTTTCCAAGAGACTGAACTTTTACTTGCTTTACCGGCCACGTTGGCATATGTTGAAGCCATGTCGGGACCAGATTCAACCAAGGACTCGGTTCCTTCTTCGGTGTTGGAGGTGGAGCCCAAAGCCGTTTCCTATATGCGTTGAAGGTTCTCGCGTTCTTAGGCTTTGGACGGCCATATACGTGATCCCATCGAGCGAAATTCGAGTCTCGGGGGAAGTGCACGATGCGTTGATTGAGCTTGCTTGTAGGTTGTGAAATGTATATCCACTCCGAAGGCATTGTGAAATACAATCAAAGTGACATTTATGGATATGTTCCTTATCTGCAATAAGTTTGTAGAGTTATATGGAAGTACAGGTGCAGACTAAAGATATGCGAAGATATTGTTCTACAATTTCGGCTGAACCACATTTTAAACCACGGTCGTAGTTGCACCCTGAACCAACTTTGCACATCACATCTACCAAAAAACTTAGGGACCGTTGCCATGTGACTTTTTCATTATCTTGGCTAGGCGAGGAAAGAAAGCAGCAATAATCGTAGTGCGGTACGCGATAACCATACCTAGGTAGGGCCTCGCGATGGTCATCTGCGCAGGGCCATGCCTCCTGCCGTATGATATCCGCTAACTACCACCTAGGTATTTATTAACATCCGAACATGGTGCTGTATTAAATGCCATAGTAATACTTATTCTTCGTGCCCACTACTTACTGGATGTGTAATTACGAGCTCAACTCTTTCTTGTCTCGAAGGGTCTTCAGAAAATATTCCTAGGTAGACGTGCGCGACAGAGACCCATTCCCCATATTGCTTTCAGATGAAGACACGTATCGAGTGAACGAAGTACAGCGCCTCGAGAGCGCGCATTTAGTCATGCAAACACGGCGTTCCATTATCTGCGCCCAGTGGTAATCACGGAAGTAGCTGTCCCAGCACCGATGAGCGTAGCTCTTTTAGCATCCTAGAACCCTGGGGTCTCACCTTAGTGCTAGTACTTGTATTCATAGGAACTAGATTTCGACTTCGACACGTTGCATAGCTTTGGCTTTTCAACATCTTTACAAAGATAACTTTTCAAGTTGTTCGGCTATCATATATTGCATCTGAGGAGCACAATATCAACTTTCTATTGTGTTCATTGCATCCATGCTTGAGCGCTCAGATTTGGTAACAACGCCCTGGCGCGAAGCCTAAGAGTGGCACCCATCCTCAGGCAGACTCGTTGAACCCCTCGTGTATCTGCCAAACACTAGCTCACCTAGTAGCACGCTTCCAGTAACTGCGAAGAAAAACCCGACATTATAGGACATAACCGCGAGCATGCTGCTGATTGGTCAATAAAAGTATGGTTCAGGGTGTATTGTCCCAGATAGCTCACAGTACGTAGCCAATGATGGCCCTTACAAACTCAAGTCCCGCGCTTATGCCATCTTTCCTAATGTTCCATGGCGCATTTGCGACCCAGAACTTTCGTGATCTACGGATGATTTTCGTGCTATTTCCTTCTTCAGGATGTTTTGGGTATGCGGCTGGGCTCAAGGGCTCAGTTTCTTGACCCTCAGGTTCTTCGAGCCTGACCATTGGTGTTCTGATTCCACGGCTCCATTGTCTTACATGACCTCTGATTTGGCTAAGTGATGCCTTCTCAGTGCTGCCTGCGTGCACGTCCTTGTGGCTGGAATTGGATTGTCCCTGCCAAGTTTGTTCGAGCTGGCTGCGAAAAGCGCCTAGGAAACGGTTGAGCATCCCCAAACAGAAGAGAAACAAAATAGTCAGAAAGTATGTTGCTGGCGTCGTAGTCGTCCAGTTCGTGAACCACAAGGTGACGCGAGTGCTCGACGAGAAGGTGGACTGCATGCCAACCATAGCACCCATAGACGGCGTAGGACTAGTAGGCACGGCCGAAGTGTTTTCCAATGGTGGCGATGACATGTTCATCTTCATGATTATGGAGGTATGACTTGAATTCGAAGGAAGCACCGGGTGTTGAAAATAAATAAACTTTGGGACCGATTGAAAGCTTCTAGAGATGGCACCAAGAGATTTTGAGAAGAGTGCGCTGTAGATTTACTGTTGGGATGGTGAGCACCGCAGTGTAAGGCATGTCAAAGCGCCAAGGAAGTGAGCAGATTTGAGAGAATATGGACCCGAAGCAGCACCAAAGATAGCGTGAGACAATGGCAAGCGCAACTAATCATTGAATTTGCAGTACTTTGCGTAGTGATATACGAGCACAATTGCGCTGCCGTGGTGTTAATGAGCACTTCTGGCACGATTCTAGCAGGTGTTCGGTAGAAGCACCAACATGAGAAAGTATGCTTGTGCAGCTTATTAGAACCGCATTGGCCTTTGATAGAGAATGGAAATGCTAGAACTCGAGTATACTCTCTGCGCAATATCTACAACTTATATTCCAGCTCGTTTCCAAGGTTAGCCTGTGGTTGGCACTCGATATCGCAAAGATTGCCGAATGTCACAGATGTTGCAGTGAGCGAGGCATTATTGATGATCGATGATCCAACGTCTTTTAATCGTCGCTATGCGCGTCGTCGAAGGAATTCTAGACGCAAGTATATTGACCAAAGGTGAGGAGACGACAGACGGGGCACCAGATTGAAATGTTTATGGCTATCGCAGCCTTTTGCAACTTGCGCAGGGATGGGACCGAGGCAGGCTCCGTAGCTCATTCTTTGATCTTCACGCCCGATGCCTTCTACACTTAACAGCCCATATTGCCTTACAATCAGTCTCTTAAATTGTCCGATCTTAACAGATGAAGCTCGGCCGTGGAAGCGGCGCATGTTGTGTAGCAGCGAAAATCCCATGCGTCACGCACTCTTGAAGAGCGTCGCAATTCGTAAGCACATCGCAGTACCTATGATTGCAAGAGAAGTCGCCGGCGCATCTTATATCCTTCCATCCGACTAGAGATTATCGGGAGATCTTGGTTATCGGTTCAGCGGTTCTCAACGGTGGACAGGAAAAAGTGCAAGAACAACGCCTAATATAGGTTCGACTCAGTCGGGTGTGTCGTTCCCCCAGCCACTAGCATCTCCCAATTGCCTTGCCGGCTTGGCCAGATGGACGGCTACCTTACTTCGTCATCTGCCCTGCTCAGACAAAATGATGTAGCGAAAAGCTTCAGGAGCCTTTGAAGAACAATCATGGCTGCAAGATTGATTCTTGTCAAGCTTGATGATCCTGCCCAGGGCAACGATGAGCCTCAAGATTCAAGCGAAGCGGCAATGGCTGCCGAATTCAAGGATTCATGAAACTTTGCTTGTCACAGAACAGCAATATCAATCTTCGCACTGGCGGCAGTGGCATTGTTGTTCTCTATGCTACGAAGTACATCCTGCGCCAAGTTTCCGCCCTTCCGCTGCCCAGAGGTCCAAGGACGACGAGTCGGATACGGCGGCATGAGCCACGTACAGTACCCACCAGCCACAAACCCCTCTTTACCAGTCATGACTATTGGTGCCGTTCCAAGGCTGCGCCCTCGGAAATCGGCACTTTGAGACACGTCCAACTTTCTTAGCTGGCGGGAGACCGAGCGGAATGACTTGGCGGTTTGGCCAAGCGTCAACCTACATCGACATCGGCCAGTCAATGCCGATAATTTTGTGGGACAAACTCACTGCAGCATGCAATTACATAGGGATCTCTAAGAGATGCAAATGCCATCAAAAACATATCTTTCTTTGTAGAGCAGTAAGACGACGGTATAGATGGTTGACTCTACACTTTAGCTGACATCTAATCACCACAAGATGGACAACTCGAAGGGTTTCACCAGTTCTGTGACGTAATCTTGAATGGATCAAGATCCCTTCGGAGAACCATCAATGTTGCCGAGCCTTAGGCATCACGGCATTGTCACGACTCTCCTGCCAAGTAACTCTATCATTCTCATTATTCTAACCAAGCCTTCAGTGCAAGCGACCCTTTACTGGGCCTTGGATTGTGACGAAGCTGCATCAAGCTCTGGTGAGGATGCGCCTTGCATCGAGAAGAAGCCGTGTAATCCGAGAATGTTGTAATGAGGCTCACGTACATGAGAAACGAGCATTCCCGGACCTACCAAGTCAGCGTATACAAATTTTATCACACAGCCATGTACTATCTGTGTCGTAACACCGGATTTGGGATTCGGAAAAGCACTGCGGCCCACTGTGACGACGCTCGTGCTCAGTGATCGGCGGACAGTCCCAGTACATACCCAGCGGCTTCCCATCATCCAATACAGCTAGGCAACGGACTCTGTATCAGCTTTACTTTCCCTTGGTTTCATCGTGACTACGTTAAGTCCTCATAACTCGGCCCTGCCCTCAGCCATTCCACTCTTCGTGCGTTGTCCATCCTCATCTCCTTGTCCAGCGCCGTTGTCCCGCAGGTTCTCTACTTCGTCACCGTTCTTTTCTTGACTATGCTCTTTTGATAGATCGGCCGGCCCGGTTTGCGTGATTTTCTGTCCTTTTTCTTCTTCTACCATTCACGCGTCTTCTTTAATATCGCTCCACCCTACGACTAGCCGTAGTACGGTCTTCCCCTCTCTCCGACGGCTACGCATACCTCTTTGTCAACTAGCAGAACGTATCTTCCAAGATGCCGACCCTAGATGTCAGTGAACTGAACATTATCATCTCTGTACTAGGTGCGCATCACTTCCTCCATGTGGCCTTACACACCAGTCAAAGAAAATATCCCTAACGTGGCTTTCAGGAGCTTTCACAATTCTCTATGGACTTATCTCAGTCAAGATAAAGCAAGTATGGTACTTGGGAGAAGCCCTACCGGCTTTGGTTGTTGGTATTGTACTGGGACCTCTTGCGGCTAAGTTCATTGACATGGAACGATGGGGATCTGCTGTCCCAGACCAGGTGTCGGACATCACTTTGGTACGACTGAACATTCCCGATTTCGTGCCACCTTAACTTACCATTCTCGGCAGGGTATGACTCGCGTTGTGATCGGTATACAGCTGGTTATGGCTGGCTACCAGCTTCCCATGAAATACCCTTGGCACCGATGGAGAGATATGGCTCTTTTGCTCATACCCGTTATGACCATCATGTGGTTGTGCACTACTGGCTGTATCAAGCTGATGATACCAAAACTCACTCTCCTCACTGCCATGGTCAGTAAATCACACAACTCTTCGCCTATGCTGCAATCATTGACATACACCTCACTTTTAGGTCATTGGTTCTCTCGTCACCTCAACCGATCCTGTCCTCTCACAAGCAATTGCGAAGGGACCTTTCGCTGATAAATACGTCCCTCGCGCACTGCGAGAAATCATATCTGCCGAAGCTGGTTCCAATGATGGCTTCGGTTTCCCATTTCTGCTGCTTGCTACTTATCTTATCAGGCATGCTCCAGAAGAAGACGTAAACTTCAAGCCTGAAGCCGCTAGAGTCGTTATGGAAGGCGTTAGCCGACTCATGACAAGAGCAGGCGATGTGGGTCGCCTTGGCGGTGGAGCTGGCAAAGCTGTCGAGATCTGGATTGTTGAGGGCTGGCTATACTTCATCTTCACAGGTGCTGCTGTCGGTGCGGTGATAGGTGTCATCAGCATGTATGTTGTGAACTACGTCTTGAAGAAGTTAGTATCATCTGCACAAAAGGAGAAGCACGATTCTTACTAATTCAATGAGTAGGAAGTGGATTGACAGCGAGAGCTTGCTGCTCTTCCCTACCGCGCTCGGCCTTTTCGTCATCGGTGTTACTGGGTGCGCCGGTCTCGACGATCTGCTAGCATGTTTCTGCGCCGGCGCAGCACTCAACTGGAATGGCAAATATCTTGAGGAAACACTTCAACGACACGACGAGGTCAATGGCTCTATTGATATTCTGCTCAACTTCGGTGGTTTTATGTACATCGGCGCGGTACTACCGTGGGACGAGTTCAACCAGCCCGACGTGACCGGTATCACCTACGGTCGCCTGCTTGCACTAGGCCTTCTTGTGCTTTTGCTACGCAGAATCCCAGCTATGATGGCCATGTATAAGCTTATGCCCAACACTGTCAAGTCGTGGCAGGAAGCTCTTTTCATGGGATACTTCGGCCCGATTGGTATTGGTGCTGTCTTCTACGTCGAGCATGCTTTCCATCTCTTCCCCAAGCTGGACCAGGCTGAAACGCATGAGGAGGAAGATCTGTGAGTCTTGATTTACTTCTCCTCATCCGACACCTTGACTAACAATGCTCCAGCTTGCGTGCCATGCGCCCTGTGGTCTACTTCTTAGTACTCTTTTCAATCGTGGTCCACGGACTCTCTATTCCAGCCCTGGAGATGATCTACCGTTGGCAAAATGTAGAGCCAATCGTAGAGATGGAGCCTGTCACCGAGCGCAGATTTTCCGTGAGCTCCGCACTTCCCAACAACGCGCACGTCGACCACAGGCACGGCAGTGTTGTTCGTCACAACCGTTTCTCGCGTGCTGTTAGCCGAGATGGCGCTGGACTGAGTTTCGATGAGATTGAGCGAAGGTACGCCAAGAGTGAGCATGAATCGAAGTCCAGGCCTCCGCCCGAGACACCGACTTGGAGGCTTACTTCAGCTACGGATGCAACCGAAGACACTTTGAAAGCCGATGAATCTGAATTTCCTCGAGAGAAGACGAGTATTCAGTTCGTGGAAGAGAAACCAATGCGGGGAAGACAAAGGAATGATGAGCTGGCGGCACGCACCAACATGGGCTTTCCAGCCCCGAAACGATTTTAGAGCAGTCGCATAGAGGCGTTTTGGTGTCTACTTTGGCGCATGGTAGTCATGATGCGCATTCACTCGCTTGTTCAAGGGAAGACCCCGCTGGTCCATGGTAATCACAATAGACAAGTATATGATATCAAGTAAACATTCGTCCATGTCCAACTCCCAACGCCATCACGATTCCATCATTGCTAATGTTCCGTCCTGGCTCAACTTAGATGTTAGGAAGGTGTACCGAGCTCTCGCAACACATTTGCCGGCCCAAGCTGCAACCACTTATCCACTTCAGCAACTTCTGGCACCCATACTGAGCCCATCATGCCGCCCGTATTCGCACTTGCTCCATTCCACATACCAGCTCTTCTAGGAATGACAACAATGCTGTCGTCCCAAAGTACCAAATTATGTGGACACAATTCCCCATCTCCTACTTCCAATGTCTCCTTGCATCTTGCTAGCATATCATTGTAGGCACTGAGCAACTCAGCCACTTCCATGGCCTTGAAGCCCTTCTCAAATCTCTTCAAAAAGAATTTGAAAGGCACCTCTTCCCTCCCGTCACTCGTTTGAACCAGCTTCTCGAACGCATGCGGCGGCCCCCTCAGACCTTGGACGTGCTTATGGACACGACTACATCCGCCCTTCTCGCCGCAATTGAAGATGAAATACCAACCCTCCAGCCTCCGCAACACATGCAGCATTGCGGCAAAATCCCGGGCATCGAGTGGCTCATGCTGTCGCCTATACGAGTCGCTTGTTACCATCAGTAGTTGAGGTCGATCCACACAGAACAAATTCAGCGCGAGATCGTGAGTTGAGTTAATTTGGCAAATAATAAGGCGCAAATCGGGTATGAACATGTCGGAGCCAGGGCCCCACTTGCTGGTGTGGTTGAAGGTTGGGTTGGAGGCACCGACAGTGTGTGGCTTCTTCATCAGGGCGGGGCAGATCCGAAATTCGATCTTCAGAGAGAATTAGTTGGATGGAATGCAGACTGTTGCTGGGTAGGATGTACAGGGTAGTTCTCCGCGTCGACAAGGTGTTTGGTGTGAGGACCGTACACGATGACGCCTTCGGAGACCAATTGGTCAAATAGAGTTATGACTTGCCCGTCTGTAAGAGTCTCCATGGTGAGGCGAAGCAGGACACCTGGAACTGTGATAAGTGGATCGAGGCGTGCCGACAAAGGTGTGAGGTTTGAACACAGGAACGGTCTAGACCTCAAGTGCGAAAGTTGGTGTCTTTCGCTTATCTGGCCCACTTTTTCCGTCAGCCCTGCATTGTGTGACTAGGCTTACAGCACATATTATGTGGAGACACGCTGTTAATACTTAGATCAACTACGAGGTGAATCATGGTACTAGTTTTGAATATTCGGAACCTGTCAGGGACTTATGAAGAAAAAAAAGTTTGTATACAAGAAAGATGAAAAGTTTTCTAACTAAGCGTAGACGAAGCCTAATTGATCAATATTGTCACCAGCCCTTCCAAGGAAACCGACAATCGATTTGCCAGCCGCAGGGTTCATGTCCGTACAGTCGTTTGTCCTCGTACCAGTCTTGACACTGCGTCCAGCACTCGTTTTAAGCTCAGCATAAAAGATTCTGGTCTTGTTGGCATCACCATCCTTGTTACCACGGCAAAGCGTTGCACCAGTCAACTTCTCGCCGCTATTCAACGTGAGTGTCGCCGCGTTACCACCACTTCCACCGTGAGTGAAGGTTTGGCCCGAAGCCAGCGTAATCGAAACAGAATCGAGACGTTCGGCACCACGTAGCGTAATCGACTGAGCAGCAGCGCCGCTAGGCACGCTCTGTAAATCGTTAAACCACGTACCAAATTCGCCGCCAAAAGCTTCGCTGACGGCCAACATACTGTTCAGTGTCCATGCAAATTCAACCAAGACGGGGTTGTGATCACTAAGGATCGAACCGTCAGCCTGTAGGAACATGTCTCCAGCGTAATCGAAGCTGTTAGCTTGGATAGTCACGGCGGATGAGCCGCGGTAGAAAACCTTGTCAACCGTTTCACAGGCAGTTGACTTGCTGGGGTTGTCGCAGAGAAGAGCCTCAGCGCCGCCGGCGGGAGGAACGCCATTCTTGGCGAGTTCGACCCAGACGTCTTTCATGCCGTTCTCCTGAGCGAAGATACCAGGAATATCATCAGGACCACGAGTGTAGCGGGTGTTTGTGTCGCCGAAAACAACGACAGCATTGCCTTGAGAGTTGGCCTTGATGTAGTCGCTTACTTGGCGCAAATTAGCCGCACGGGCTTTCAGGTCAGCGGCAGTGGTTCTGAATTTCGATGTCAGCACAAAAGGTAGATGACATGGAGTTGAAACTTACCCAGCATCAGCGTGAAGGTTGTATGCATCAAAAGAGACGCCAGGGGCGACCTGCAAGCGCATGAATGTGAAGCCCTTGGGTGTGAGGCAATCGGCCGAACTATTGGTGGAAACATGTGAGTTTGGAGTACTCTATTGCATGCCCCAAGAGTCGACGGCATCGATGACTTACTCGAAAGTGCTGCATGTTCCCCATTTGACGCGTTCAAAAGCAGTGTAGGGGAAGTTGCTCAGTGAGTTCAGACCAGAGCCAAAGGGAACACCTCCACTGGTGGGTGTGCGGTATGGATGCTTGTCGTTGGCGTATAGTGTGGCATGGAAGTTCTAAACTTCGTCAGTAGTGCTCTTAGGTATCATCTCGGTAAAACCCACAAAGTCTTCCTGCACGTGGACGAGAGAGATGTTGTACTGAGTGAGGAGCTCACCAATACGAGCTGTATTAGTGGTCTTGTCACCAGGAATCTCGTTTCCATTGAGCACCGGAGGCAGACCAGCAACATTGAAGGTGATGGTGGTGAATTTGCCCGAAGTTTGCGCAAGGGCAATGCCCACGAAGGGAAGAGATAACAAGAGAGAGGCCCGCATCTTGATGAGTGTACCTGGACTAGGGAGGTATTAGATCGGTACTGCTAGTACCTGTGTAGTGAGACCACAGCGTACCTTTATATTCAGGTGCTCAGGCATAACAAATGTAGATGGTATATTGAGCTTAGCGGAAGTGTTTCGACGCATCGTCACGACGTGGCAATGGGCGAATAGGAGAGAAGCGCACTGACACGCGTGTACAGATCTACTCGATAGGTATATTGCGACAGGCCTGTTTTGCGGAGATTTTGCCCCGGTTGGGAGGAGCAAAGAGTTTCGATAATCCCGAAGTCCGCAACAGTTTAGCGTGCCCGAAGTCAATGCAAAACGACAAGGGTCAAGCACACGTGCGAACAGGCAAGGCGGGTGCAGGGGAGAATTCAAGAACAGTTGTATACCCATGCGGATGGTCAAGCTCAAAGGATAGTAGTAGTAGACTGTGTTATGCGAGCCGTGCATCTGACCATGAGGCGGGCCCGGCGGACTCGTACTGCTATCCCCTCATGCCATCCATCGCAGCATCCTCAATTTCACTCGGGTTACTTGCGTCGGGAGCTTCTTACCTGAGTCGAAACTATATATCATCAGTGTAGGCCCTTTTTTAGGACCCTTCGGTTTCGACTCCATCGAGCGCAGACTCCGCTATCGGTTGCATGAATTACATATTTGTCTGGTCAGGCATCTACACTTCAGCTATCACTTCTGTCAAGGATCTGCGCCACCTAAGTCCCCACATAGTGCATGTATTTGTATCGCTGGTTCCCAGGATTTCTACCTCTTTGGTAGTTCTAGTGTATGCTAAGCCTTCGTCTATGAGCGCGAAGGTCGCATTACCATAAAATGTGCCTGGTGCGCCACCCTCAATACACCTGACATCAATGCAGAAGATAGTATTATTCTTTGAGCTCGCACCTGGAATAGGCTTGAATTCATTCAAGTCAGTGCGATGCACGTGTCGAGGATTTCTTTACATCGAGTTTCGATGGCATGCTCTCGTACATGGTTCGGTGCCTCCTGAGTGGACGCATGGTATCTGCTGTGCTGCCGTGAGCAACGGCGTTGTCTAATGCGACAGCTTTGGGCTGTTCGGGCCATGGGTAATTATGTGGCGGGGCTCAAGGTATTTGACGACTTGTAGGCAGTGCCGTAGGAACGAAAGAAGTCGCGCTGTCGATGTTTTGAGCAACCGAAGATCACAATTCAACAAGCATTGTTGGATTGCTATCTTTCCAAATATTGTTCCAAAGGGATGCAGATGGTGAGCTTCCAAAATGGCAGTCTGAACCCTTCGAGTCAAAAGTCCGTAATGGCCAGCGAAGCTCTACTAGCGGCCGAGTTGCGCCCGACTACGTCATGTGGTCTCCCAGCGAAACGCGAAACGCGAACCGAGGCAGTTGGTTCTCTGGCTCTGGAAGCAGCAGTTTTGTTTGGTGTGCCTGTTGTGTGGATCTTTACATCGAGTTTTATGATCTCAATGCTACCGTGTAATCGTGATCGTGAACAATGGCATGTATCTGGCGTCGGCAGCACGGCAACTCAGGCAGGCCACGCGATCTAGCGTAATCTCGCTTGGACAAGCGTCTGCCCGAGCTGACCACTTCCCAGCGATCTCTCCTCAGACTCTGGTGGTCTCCAGGTGTCATGGCATGTGCTGGTGGTGGTGATATAGTCGAAGGGCTTGTAAGTAACCTAGGGAGGCTGTAAGACTAGGTTTTGTTGAACTTGCGCCCGGTGTTACGGAATCATGTGAAGAAGTTGTGGACAAGCTTGGTGAAGTCGAATTGAGGTTGCTGATGAACACGAAGGACACACTAGAGCTCCAGCCAGAAGAAGAAGAAAGTAAAGACCTAACACTTGACGATGACACCATGCGTTTATTCGAAGTAGAAATAGGGCTGCTTAGCGAAGTGGACGATGTGCTCGTTTGGGAGAATGAGATCTTCGTGCTTGTCGAGCTCTATGAAGGTGAAGCTGTGGAACGAGACTTGCGCTTAGAGGTCGAAGTCTTTCCTGGAGAAAACCTGCCATTACACTTGCCGAAACCCTTCTGTCACTTATTTCCGCAGTACGAATACTCACCAAAGCAGTCCCGAATTGTGAGCCGCGACATGTCTTGTCCATCCACTCCCGCATCGTGCATAGTTCATCTTTCGACACATTGGTAATTGCGGACAGCATGACAACAACACGATTTTGGGTTATAGGCTCGGCATGGTCGCATTTACCGAAATCGCAGACAACCTTTTTAGCAGTAGTCCTTCGTAATACTACAGTAATTAAACCGTGAATAACAATCGCACTCACGGGTACCGGGACAACCTTGATCCCCACTGAGACTGCCACAACGGCTGCCCTTTGACGTTTTCGATTTCCCGTCACGTACAGCAAGGCGTTTCAAACCACTTGCCGGAGCCGAGCAGGCGTAGTCCTGATGCGATGTTTAGTGTAATGGCTAAAAAACTTCCTAGAACTTAACTTGATAATTGCAAACATTCTATGCAACCCACCATATCGTGCAGAAGACTGTGTGCTTTTGGTGAAGTCTGTTGAGATGCGAACGGCCAAAATCGAGGATGTTCGTAACGTGGTGGCAAGCTGCTGGGAGGGAGCCACATTGAGCGGCGCACAGCCCTGCGAATGGAAAGAGTGCGTGTAAGGGACCAATCGCCACCTTTTCCATTTCCACAACGTGCAGTCACTGTAACCAACTACCGTAAGTGGACCAGAAGTAAATACTGCCCTCCAGCAATTTTTACACTTGCTGCAGAGTTTTTTGCTGGGATCATAAATGGCTTCAACGAGTGCTGCGCTATACTCAAGCGAAGATAACATGAGAATAAAGGTCGGAGGCATATCGTATCTCCTTGTTTCTAGCGAGCAGGTTTGTGCTATATTGCTCTCACAGGGTTGGCCTTTGCGAACATTAACCTAAATGCACAGAACTACCTCGCCGAGATCACAACTAGTGTGATCACTTTCCAGCCTGTGTTTGTTTACAAAGTCTCGCCTGGAGACCACGTTACCCAAAAGAACATAACGGAATATCTGGACACTTCCGCAAGGCACGATGACATCTACAACTCATCTTTCTCAAGCTACATCGTATTTCTTGGTAGCAGCCAATGATGACATCATTCGGTTCCTGGATTACGAAGAATCGGAGCGTGGAGCTTCGTGACTGGCGATGCGTCCACGAACACATTAGCTCCTGCACCGTATATGGTCGACCGCAAAATGACTTGGCAACCGTGGAGGATAAACGCCGACAAGCATGATACGATGGTAACTTCTTTCAGACTCAAAAGTACATTTGACAGGCAAGTAAAGACACAACCTCCACATTGGATTTAGCTGACGTCTGCACAGCCCCGTCAAATACAGTTCGGTCGAGCTGGGCATACCGTCTATGCTGTCGATCCACCCCGTTGCTACTTCCAAAAGTCTCTCGAGAAGCCTCTCAACGGCGTCCGCATTGTCGTGAAAGATATCTTTGACATAGCTGGTACCAAGACCACATTGTGTAATAAAGCCTGGAGGGATCTCTATTCAGTCAGCTCTGAACATGCCCCAACAATTCGGTCTCTGCTCGAAAACGACGCGATTACAACCGCAAAGACGAAACCCAACGCTATGACAATCCGCGAGGAGACAATGGAGTGCGTCGAATACCTTGCTCCGTTCAACCCTCGAGGCGACGACTACCAAACTTCATCAGGTAGTAGTAGTGAGAGCTGTGCTGCTCTTGTTGCCTATGATTGGCTGGACTTTGCAATAGGCTCAGATACGAATGGCAGCTGTCGGAAGCTGGCACACTGGAATGGTGTCTTCGCAATTCGACCTACGCATGGTATACTGAGTATTAACGGCGTATCCTCCTCCTTTCCGTAAGACTTACCCATCACTTGGAGTGTAAGCGCATGCTGAGTAGTTCTCAGGATGTTTGATGTACTGGCTTTCTTCAGGCGTGACCTAGCAGCATTTCCCAATCTTGAGAAAGCATGGTATGGCAATTCCCTCACTGCGCAGGAGCCAAAGGTAGGAAGGCTCATTTCAACGATCAAAATAGGTACTTAGTCGAGCGGAAACCTACAACGATACTGCATCCACAGGGCTATCTACCTACGGACAGTGTAGAGCAGTCCGAAGTGATAAAGTCATTCATCAGAGATCTCGAGGCGGCTCTGGGTACTAAGCGCACCGAAACATCACTAGCCAAAGAGTGGATAAGTTTAGACCCGCTGGTGTGGGAGAAGATGATTGTGGCTGAGTATCTCAAAGAGGTAGGAAGCAAATCCCCAATCGACGTGAGCTGGAACACTTCTATACTACAGAGAATCGTATAAGCAACTCGCCAGGTTCCGCGACGGACAAGCAGATAAGTTCAACAAATCTGCCTTTGTCCACGAAGCTTTGCGGTGGAGATGGTGCGTACATGACCAACAAGTCTCGTTTCATGATAGCTGACACATGACAGGGATCTCGCAAAGAAAGTGGCAGACGAGCAAAGAGGCGAGCTGATGGAGAGATTGCACGTTTACAAGGCTTGGGTGCTCGATTGACTTTTTACAGTTCATGATGGAGGCTATGTTCTCGTGGTTTTTCCGATCGAAAATGGCCGGCCAAACTCCAGAGGTGTCACTTCTCCACTTTTTGGCTTGCGCAGTGGCTTCTCGCCACTTTGCTTATCGCCAATAGCTGGAACACCTGATGTGACGGTTCCTGCGGGAAAGGCTTCATATCGTTCTCGTGTAAGCGATCAAGAGGAGTCTATGCCAATAAGTGTGTCAGTCGTCTCGTCGCCTGGTGGTTCTCTGCTATACGTACATGGTACAATCAGATAGCTGATGCATATATCAGGAACTGAATTAAATCTCATCGATAAAGTGGCCAGCGCACTGAAGCGGAGGAACAGGCCATTGACAGTATCCACGGACTGCTCAATTTATGCGACCACTCATAGGTTTTAGTCGCCTTGTACACGCTATCGGACAACCTGTCTGTCACTCGAAGCTGCAGATTGAAGCTCCATAGGGAGTTGCGTGCATAAGCATGTCCGTAGTTACCATGAAATAGTTATACTATGGAGTTCACTACCGTGAAGAAGGCCCTCAAGCCACTACTACCTCCTTGAAACATTGACATAAGCAATACGAACCTCACATCCAAGACAATTTCCACACGGAGGAAACTCTTAGTAGTTGCGACGTAACTGCCGGACGTAGAGCCCAGCGATCAGCGCGTTTACCGCACACGAGGCAGATACGATAGAACGATTCCTAGTAGATGATGAGGATATGGAATGAAGATAACGTTTCGCGGTAGAAATCTCGGAATCACACGACCGCACGGTCAGGTAGCAGCCAGTAGCAAGAACGATGGGTCATGCAGATAGGAAAGCATAATCCCTTTTTGCTCATGCGAGGATCTATGACCGGTGAGGCGCATGGTTTGAGTTCATTGGGGCGTGCATGCCGAGTAATTGCCGTTGGTCTTCGCGGCTTTCATAGGGGTCATCGCTACACTTTCTAGGCAGTAACGCAGCTCTAGAGTTAATTTATGTGCAAGGTCGGAATGTAAGTTTCGGCCTTGTCCAGTCACGCGAGTTCGGGAACTATGGAACGACGGAAGATGGCAGATAGAGCCGAAGCTTTCTATCGCATCTTGACAAGGATGTGCTAGTCATGAAAGAGGTATAGCAACCTTGGCGCTACTACTAGTAATATACTTTGTCTACGGATTGCACTCGTTCTATCATGCTTATCTACATTGGAATAGAGCAGGTTTCTTTACGGCTGACGATCAACTTTACCGGGTTTTTGAATGTTTGATAGGCTTATTATCGTATTCAGAATGTGTGCACCCCCTCTCCAGCTTAACCATACAACGAGCAGGACACCTCCGTATGCTCCTATTGGCGGATTTCCTTACAGATGCTAATAAGGGCCTAGATAGCCGTTGACAGATGTCACTTTTAGACTGAACCATATAATTCTAACCTCTAAAAAGGCTGCCTGCTTATGATATCATCAGGTACATCATTGTTCGTCATAGATATTCTTAGAACAGCTGAATCAGGGGGGGTGCGCATCTTCTGAATAGCACCGATATTTATAACATTCTGTTGCTTGCATGTTATGTCACTGATGTGGCATATAATTCAGTTAAGCAAGAAACAGGCCTGAGAACCTTTGACGGATGCACTGATCGATTACTTTGTTCGGCACGAATCGATATGGGAACATCGATGTCTCACAAGGCAGACACAGTAAAGTGAGGCTAGTGGCTGACCTCAGAAGCGTGCAGGGGCCGTTCATGTCTACTACATACCCTCCGACACGAGATCATGGCAAGTACCGTCTTCAAACAAAATTCCGAAATAATGCCGACATGGTACAAGTGGGCACATGAGGTGTGGGACTTCATGGCTAGGCCGGCATGTCACTACCTTCCTAGGTACTTCTAAGAAGCTAGCAGCATGCTTGGACACATGTGTGACATGAACACAAGCTTTCGGCAGATGATACGATATCAGCGGCTACCGTTGTAGATAACGACGCAAGACGAACGGGTCGCGGTGAAGGTGGGGATGCGGGGGGTAGGGCAGAGATCCGAGTCGCAGAGAGGCATGGAAGCATTCTCGATAGTAGCCATAGCGTGGAACTCTCTTTTTCGTTTTTTGAGCTTCGCTGGTCTGCTAGCCAATCGCGGTGACAGTTTGGATGGCTAGCTTGCTTCACCCGATTTTAAGGTTGCGATTGGTATCTAGCTCCCGAGATGGCTTCGAGTAGGTTCAATCCGGCCCTTCTCACCCGCTCGAGCCTCATCTGAGGTAAGAATAGAGCAAGTCAAGAAATCGTACGCGTTGTCTGACTAGGAAGCCTTTGATACCTAAGTATAAAAGCCAACATGTTTTCGATCAAGTTGCTTACAATTCGACATTCTTTGCAACTGCACTGCACGAACACAAGCATCCTACTTAGCCATGTACATCTTCATTATTTACATACTCTTTGTTGCGATAGCAGCAAGTCAAGTTTTCAAGAGGATCAAGGCGTTCAGGTCTCCATTGAGAGAAGTCCCAGGACCATGGTATGCTCCTCTCACGACACTACATTTGCAGTACCTCTTCTCGACTGGCAATATCTGGAAATATGTTGAGAAGGGCCACAAATGCTATGGGCCTATCATGCGCGTTGGACCTCGCCAAGTGTGGATCTCAGACAAGGACGCCATGAAGCAGATTCTGGTCAAACAGGATTTGCCAAAGGTCGCTATGTATGCGGAGATTTCGAGGGACAGGGCGAGCCCAGGGCTGTTTGGTGAGATGTGAGTGACTGTATTCCCCCTAGATTTGACTTTGCCGGAGACTGACTGGATACAAGCCGCCACGAGCCTCACAGACGCCTCAAGCGCTTTTTGTCGCCTGCATTCACTGTAGCGTACGTCGATAACTTGGAGGTGCACTTCCAGAAAATTGTACGTGATCTGCTCAACAAGTACCAAAGCAAGGTCGTGAGCAGCGCGGCTTCTGAACGCGGCTTCGAAACAGACTTCATGGAAGATCTGCACAACGTTGCTCTTGATATGTAAGTTCCTTTGCACTCTGTCTTATATGTACTCACTCTGTCGTTGCAGAATGGGAGAATGCTCGTTCGGCAAAGGGTTCGGCCAAACGAACCCGGAAAGCAAGGGAGAAGACGGTGTAGATGAAAGAATCTGGAAGTCGATTCCACGCTCCATCTTTGACGGCTTGAGCAAACGCTACCAGGTATGTGCGTCCGGTCCACAGTGATCCATCCATTTATTTTCAGTTCTTTGCAGAACTAACGTTTTACAAGACTGTGTATATCAAGAAACTCATCAGGTTTTTCGTAATGGACATCAAGTTCGATTGGCCTGCAGAAATGATCGCAGTGAGTCATCGTACATACGCGTACCCGCTCGATTGCACTAACTTTTCTTAGGCCATCGAAGCCGTCATATACAGGCGACAACAGACCTCGGGCACCGAGCGTCAAGATCTGCTCCAACACTTGCTGGAGCAAGGCAAGCGACCAGATACTGGAGTTACCATGAATACCCGCGACATCACCGACCAAATGGCTGAAATTCTACTCGCCGGATCCGAAACAACCTCCGGAACGCTAGCCTGCTTGTTCCTCGAACTTGCCCGGAACCCAGTCGTGTATAACAAGCTTCTAGAATCCCTGCCCAGCGCCTCACTCGCCGATGACATCGTCTCCAGCAAAACGGTCCGCACCGAGTCGCAATATGAGTACCTGGAGGCATGCATCAAGGAAAACCTGCGCTTGCATCCGATTGCGTCTGAGATGGGGCGCCGGACTGGAACTGAGTGGGTCAATTTGATGGGCTACGATCTCCCTCCGCATACCGTGGTGTCCGCTTCGTATCGTGCTTTGCACCTCAACGAGGAGTACTGGCCCCAAGCGCAGCGGTTCTGGCCCGAAAGGTTCTTGGCGAAGGACAAGAGAGGTGACGCGCCTGCTGCCGAGTAAGTCTCCCCCAAGTTGCTTGGATGAGGTCAACCTGACACTTGCTATCTAGTATGGACGCGTATTACCCCTTCTCAGGAGGCAAGCACTCGTGCATTGGAATCAAGTAAGTCTACCACACCTCGAGACGGCCGGGAATACCATGATTAACACTTCGATAGCTTCGCCTGGTCCGAAATGAGAATTGTCGCAGCCAGCATTCTTTCTAGATTCAGACTGTTCGAAGTGTCTAACCAGGAAGTTGACTTCAGGCAGTATATTACTATGCAATTTGCTACAGGCGAATGGAAGGTTATTCTCGAGCCTAGGCAGGTTGAGATGAGCTGAACAGTGTAGCAAGAATATGTATTGAGAAGAGGCGATGGTATTAAAATTCGCACAGCCTCCGGCTGCTCGTGTGATGACACTGCATCCACAGCATAATACCAAGTATGTACAAGAAGATTATGTAAACGCTCCGAAACCTTGAAACCTTGACCCTATGCTCGCTCACGTGGAGCTACCTGTAGAAAAAGTGTACAAAGGGAAGAGGGTGCATGACATGCCCAGGGGTATCAATACTATGCACAGCACTTTTCGAGATCCCCCTAAGCATCCTATGAGAGAAACTGACATAGGAAAAATGCGTTCTGCATTGTTTACTCCAACACGGGCTTCCCGCCTCTCAAGAAGATCCGCTTTGTACCGCCGACCTTGCCTAGATCACCAAACTCTGGCTTTTTTCCTCCAGCGCGACTATCTGAGCGGGACTCACTCCTGCTGTCGGCTCTCTCTTCGCGTTGTTGGGGCGTGTGATTCACCGGCATTACGCTGCCAGATACGGTGCGTGCTTGCTTCATCATGCCCTCGATCCATTCGAGCTTCTCCCCGCTAAGGTCAAGCTTTTTGGCCTTGGGACCGGCGAGTCCGGCTTCGTTGCCTGTCCAGGAGCGCTGCGAAGAGTTTGTGGAGGGTACGGAAGGCTCCTCTGCAATACCCGGAGTTGAGGCAAAACTGGGCATGGGATGTACTGCATCATCGATTGACACACCAGTAGTCGAAGACTTGGTGGGCGTCGTCAGAGGGCTTGCTGTAGGTCGGCCGCTACTAATACGTCGGTCCTGTCTTCCCGCTGCACTCTCGGGGCGGCTGGGTGAGTTTGTGCTGTCGTTATTCTTGACTTCCAAGCCTAGGATTTCGAATTTACCGTCACTAGCGGTTCGTCGTCCATGATGCTCTGCGTACTGTCTTAGGTATTCACCAAGGTCTGCCCAGCCACCCCCGACACGGACCATGACTCTTTCACCATTCTCTCCAACGCGGCGAATGAACAGCTTAACTGGCTGTTCCTTTCCTGGTTGAGTGAGGTGATATAATTTGATGTCGTTGTCAGTTCGTGAGGCTGCGGCAGATTTGCGGCCAGAGGCGATACTGTCGAATTCGTTCTTCGCGGGCGACAAGGTCAGTTCTGGTGACTTCAGTCCGCTCACAGAGCGGGCAGCGCGGAGGTAATTCCTGCTGCCTCTGTTTGCAAGACCACGCGACGGCTTGACCTCTGGAGAGTCTGCACTAGGACCCGAGGTGAGGCGAATGTGAGCTGGGATGGTAGTGAGAATGTCTGAAATCTTGCGCTCAAGGTCCTCGGCGCTGGACTTTTGACTGAACTGTGTCGGTGGCCACGGTGCGCTATCAATGCTGTTTTCGATGATGTTTCGACCGAGACGCCGCTTTGCCATGGCAGCATTAAGCTCCGGACGAGGTGCTCTGACAGATCGGTTGGTTGCATTGCGGACTGAGGGAGAATCTTCAATGTAACTAGGAGGGCTCGAATCATCAAAGGAAATGTTTGAGGAAACAGAGCCCTGGCTACCCCTTCGTGATCGCGGCGTCTGAGGAGGTTCTGGCATCGGGCCGTCCTGCCCATCGTTGGTGATGATGACGGGGTTTTCGGAGATGCCCGTGGGGTTGCGGCGCAAAGGCACTTCCTCTGGCACTGGCTCGACTACTTGGCCGTGCTCAGCCTGAAGAGCCTCGTGCGGCGATTGTACGGGAATGGCAGCCTCCAGGGTATCCTCCAGGTCGTCCAAATCATTGTGGACCACGGTGTCACCCTCGTCAAATTCTGACTCTTCGTCCTCTTCCACTTGGGCGATGTCATTGCGGGAAATAGGATCTGCCATTCTCTGTTCGACACCGCCTGAGGCGAACAATTCATCTGAACCATTGACATTTATGAAGGATGATCCAGCCCTCACAGCGCCGGCCTCGTTGGTGGGCGAGGCGATGGCATCTGTCATGAACCAAGGCTTCTTGCTCGGCGTTGACCTGTTGGAAGATGACCCCGTAGTGATTTCGCGAACCCGAGGGCTTCCCAGTCCCGGCGAGTTTACGGGTGTGTATGATATCTCACGATGGACAACGTTGGAATCTGAAACGATTCTTCGCGTCACCTTTGCAGGAGTTGTGGTAGGCGCAGCGTTGCCGTTTGGCGAGTTGGTTGCTTTGTCCACGGGCTGAAGAACGACGCCAGTAGGATGGTCTTGAACGACGCTTCCAAACTCGGGCTGTGCTGCAACAGCGGCGGTAGACTGGGGTGCGGGCTCGTTGCTAGCTGCAATGTGCGTCGTGGGGGCCCTCTGTTGTTCATATTTCCTCCGGAGATCAAAGTCCATGACCTTTGTCCTCGAATCGTGTGACCAGCGGCCATAGTCGGTCTCGATAGCCTCAAATGTATCAATCCATCTGTCTGGTATGCAGTCGTCGCGTCCTTCGAGGTTGTCCAACATCCTATCTAGACGCTTTCCAAGGTCACTGACTTTGTTTCCCAGCACAGCAGAGATGGTGTCAACGGCATCCTTCCACTGGGCAAAAGCAGCATCGGAGGTATCGACGGGTGGGTCGATTGCATCCCAGCCTAATCGCATCGCCTTTTGCGCGGTGCTAAGGTCGTCGAGGTAGCGGGGTACTTCGCGGAGGGTCGATATGCGGGCGGTCCACGTGTTCAGGCGGTCTTTTAGCTGGGCGTGGTGTGGCAGTGCGGATAGGAGGGTTTGTGTGATAAGGAAGGAGAAGTCGTCTATGGGCTTGTAGCTCTGGCGGGTCGCTTCGTAGCCGGCAGAGGACGGGCGCGACCTGCCGCTCGGGTGCATATCGAGGACGTGTTCTTTCAGCTCTTCAACATCCAGCTTGAGCATCTCGTCCTCGATGTCGTCCAGGCGGGCCTCATGTGACTCCACCTCGACGGACAGTATAGAGCCCCAGTACTCCAGCGGCGGGAGGGCGTTGGTGAGGTCTGCGTCGCCGACGTGTTCCCTAATACGCAGCTCGAGACTTCTCCGGCGCTTCTCGCGGTACTCGTCGCTCGGCTGCTCGAAGCTGCCGGACCAGCCCCATTGCTCGATTTCGCTGCACCAGCTCTTGAGGCGCTGCGCAGCCTTGGCAACGCGCGCACCCAGATCGCGCTCGGCGGCGGTGAGCGAGTCGATACAGGCGAAGATCTTGTACTCGTCGCACGTGGTGTCGAACGGGACGGGGCGCTGGGTGAAGGCGCGGAGGGTGGTGTCGGGCGACAGATCGCGCAGGCGGCCCTCTTCAGAGCTGCCGTGCATGCGTCCACGTCGTCCTCCAGGCGACATTGTGGGCGAGGGCGCTCGGCGTGGTGTCGCAGCAATGGGCGGGGCCAGACGCAGTGGCGACGATAGGCCGGCCATGGCGATGGGCGTCCAGAGGAAAGAGCGAGTGCGCAAACATGTGCATGTGCAAGTGCAAGTGCAAGTGCAAGTGCAATGGCGGATTGATGTCTGAGACAACGGGGGACGGCGTGTTGGTCGGCGTGCTGATGATGTTGCTGCTGCTGCTGTAGCTCTGTGTATGTTAGTATCCCTTTGTCTACACGCCCCGTGAGTGCCGCGCTGCCTGCAGCTCAATGTTGTGAAGCATCTCGCGCCCAACGCTGTTGCTCAGCAGCATATTGCTCGCATGGATCGCCGCGCGCTAGGCCGCAGTCGCACATGGCGCCAGATCCCGCAGCCATCGATCCATTTCACGGGTCCATGAACACCATGCTCATAAGCAGCCGTCTATACAATCCATATACAAGCCTGCCTCGCTCTGTCCTCGCCTTTACCAAGTAGGTACACCTCCACGTGCGCGTGACTCGTCATGTTCCACAAATGTACACCCCAGCCGGCCATCACCACCCACAGGGACTCCGCTCGTCATCGTGCTCACCACAACACCGCTTATCGGAACTGACACTGATCATAATGGGAGCCTTGTACACTCGTCCCGTCCTCGTCCAAGTGCGGAATGAACACGCGGTATCGCTACCCGAGTCCCTTCACCCAAAGACTTACTCCGGTACCCCGCCTGCACACCCGCGTCATTGTATGCTGCCAAGAGAATACTCGCATGTATTTATCTGCCTGACCTTCCTGCTCGCGTTAGCAGTTTGCTCGCATGCCTCGCCGTCATGCTGTGCCTGTCCACAATAAGCCTCATCTCCAGCATTAGAGCCGGCAAGAGCAGGGAAAATCCGTCAGGCTTCCCAATCATCGCTCGGCCGGCATTTGACCTAGTCGTCGTATTTGGTCCGACTTGAAAAAGTACATAAAGTACCCGTCCACCGTTGCCTATAGAGAAACCCACCATTACCGCCGCTCAACGCGTGCTACCCAACAACATGAAGACTTCTCTGTTCTTGCTAAGCGCGATTGGCGCTCAGGCCTGCCAGCGGGAGCGTGCTTTTGTGCACCACAGCCACCCACATGTCAAGAGGCAAACCTCAAATGCCACCTTCCCACCTGCTCTGGATCCCAATGAACAGATTCTGCTCAACTCATTCGACAACACCTCCATCGCAGAATGGTCCTACTACTACAGTGCGGCATTTGTTACTCCCGATCGGCAATTGCTAACACCCGGCAGCCCATGGCGATCACGTCGCCGGCCGAAATAAGACCATGGCCCAGTGGACCGCCGACAAGTGGGCAGATTACGGCTTCAAGTCTCGCCTAGACGAATACTGTAAGCCCTTGAAACCTATTGTTGCATACTAGAGACTATACAACTTGGAGCTTGAAAATACATATTCTAATCACAGCCTAGTCGTCTTCCTCAACTACCCGGTTTCAAACTCCCTGCTCCTCACATATCCCAATGGCAGCACATACAAGCCAACTTTGAAAGAGGACATTCTTGAAGAGGATCCGACCACCAGCTATCCCAACAGTGTCCCAACCTTCCATGGCTACTCTTTCAGCGGCAACGCATCTGCAGAATACGTCTACGTTGGCCGAGGCCAGCAAGTTGACTTCCAGCGACTACTTGCATTGGGTGTAGATCTGAAAGGCAAGATCGCGCTTGCAAAGTACGGCGGTCCCTTCCGTGGACTCAAGGTTAAGAACGCGCAAGACCATGGCATGATTGGAACTGTCATCTTCTCAGACCCCGGCGACGATGGCAATATGACCGAAGCCAAAGGAGTCGCTGCCTACCCCAACGGACCTGCAAGGAATCCTACGACTGTTCAGCGTGGAAGTGTTCAGTTCTTGTCGACATACCCAGGAGACCCTACTACACCCGGCTATGTTTCCAAACCTGATTCCGAGCGGGCTGATCGCACCAACATCACGCCTCAGATCCCTTCCCTGCCAATCTCATGGATCGAGGCCCAACCTCTCCTGAAGGCACTGAATGGATTTGGCACCAACGGCACGGCGGTAAACAGGACCGGCTGGGTCGGTGCCATCCCGGGCGTAACCTACAGCACCGGAGCCGGCTCAGGCGCCACCCTCTCTATGAGCAATTTGATGAACGACACCTACGGCACCATCTGGAATGCCGTCGGTGTCATCAATGGTACCGCCCAAGACGAAGTCATCATCGTCGGTAATCACCGCGACGCCTGGATCGTTGGCGGCGCCGCAGACCCCAACTCTGGGTCCGCCGTGCTCATCGAGCTCGCGAAAGCCTTCGGCAAGCTCACTGCCACGGGCTGGAAACCAGCTCGCACCATCGTTTTGTGCAGCTGGGACGCAGAGGAGTATGGCCTTGTTGGCAGCACGGAGTGGATGGAAGAATACATTCCTTGGCTCAAAAATGCCGCCGTGTCGTATTTGAACATTGATGTTGCGGTTGCTGGACCAATTCCGGATATTTCTGCAACACCGGATCTGCACAGCATTGGCACGAGCTTAATGAAGAAAATCACCTACCCGTACCGCGGCGCTTCGGATCTGACGCTATACGACGTTTGGATGCATGAGAGTGGCGGTGAGGTTGGTGTCTTGGGCAGCGGAAGCGACTACACCGCTTTTCTACATCGCGGTATCGCTGCTATTGATATGGGAAGTGGCGGAGGCCCCATGGACCCCGTCTATCCATACCATTCCAATTACGACAGCTATGCGTGGATGGAACGGTTTGGTGATCCAGGATTCCATACACACAAGGCCATGGGACAGTACCTGACGCTACTGCTCTACCACATGGTCAACGATGCGGTTGTACCGCTCGAGCCATCAGGCTATGTATCCGAGTTCAAGAAGTACTTTGAGGACTTGGAGACCACTGTCGGATCATCAAACTACACGATCGATCTCTCGCCCCTAACCGCTGCAATTTCGAGCTTCTCAGCATCAGCAAGCGAATTCGAAGCTCTGCGATCCCAGGCTTTGGCTACGAATGACACTGCCCTCCTGACTGTCCAAAACCACAAAGCCCGCGATTTCTCGCGCGGTTTCACGTCGCAGGGCGGTCTGCCGACGAGAGAGTTCTATCGGCATACCATCTTCGCTCCGGGTCGTGACACGGGATATGCCCCGGTAACGTTCCCTGGCATCACAGAGAGCATCACGTTTGATAAGAATCAAACATTGGCGCAGAGTTGGGTGAAGAAGACGGCTGACGCGATCCTAGTCGCGGCGAGCGTGTTGAAGACGTAAGATGTGAACGAAAGCGAACGTGAAAATAGACAGTAGGAGAAAAGGCTGTATGCCGGTAGTAGTGATAATGAATAATGCGTTGATCATGAGTATGAATGGTTCCTGCATCTTGCACCTGTATGCATGTGCTCTCTACCCACCGCCGACCTCCACCAAGATCTTGACCTGATTATCCTTGTCATGTATCAAACTCTTGAACCCCTTCTCCTCCACCTCCGTCAGCTTGATCTTCTGGGTAATCATCGCGTGCGGCTGCATGCTTCCGTTGGACAGCGCATCTAGCACTTCTTGGAAATCGCCCACCGCGTACGTTGCGATGCCCATGTACATCCTCTCCTTGAAGTTGAAATCATTGGTGTTGATTGTGCATGGCTTTTCCCAGATCGCAATGTTGACGATACACCCTCGTGCGCGGGTTGCGTGGACGGCTTGATCGAGCGCAGCCTGTACGCCGGCGCAGTCGAACGTAACGTGTGCGCCTTTATTGTCGGTGAGCTTACGAGTTCGCGCAATCATGTCTTCTTTCGTGGGATCAATAATGTGGTGTGCGCCAAATTTCTTCGCGAATTCCTGGCGTTTCTTGCTGACTTCGGAGACGATGATGTTTTTACATCCGTTGGCCTTCAACGCCAGGATGGTACTGATTCCAATAGGTCCGCCGCCGAGTATTAATGCCGTATCGTCCTTCTTGAATGGACTGACCTTCACTGCATGCCATCCCACCGCCAGTGGCTCGACTAGCGCACCGATCTCCAAGGGTACATTGTCAGGTAGGTGGTAGAGAGTTGACTCAGGAACGACAATGTGGTCCGCGAGGCCGCCTCCCCAGCCTGACAGTCCAACGAAGCCGTTCTGCCAACAGCAATTTTGGAGTCCTTCTTCACAGGCGCCGCATGTGCCGTCGTAGATGATGGGCTGGACGACGACACGATCGCCGGGCTTGTAGGCTGTTACGCCTTGACCGACTGTTTCGACGGTCCCGCTGAATTCATGTCCAAAGGTTAGGGGGACAGACTCCCCAGTAATAGGATGGGGAGTTGTTGGGCAGAGATTGGGGCCGCCTAGATATCTAGATCATGGTGTCAATACACGTCTCGTTCGTGTGTACTTTGTATACTCAAGTTACGTACTCGTGCAGATCTAGGTTGCGGGTTAATACGGTACTCTTTTAGTTGGTACAAATACGGAGCTATGTTTACCTGTTCCACAGATTCCCACCCACGCCGGCTTGACTTTGACTTGTCCTGCTTTCGCTTCTGGGATCGGAATCTTTTCGTATCGAAGATCATTTTTGCCGTGGAATCGGATCGCATTCATCGTTCCATCGCCATCTGGAGGAGGCTGGAAAGTTTCTGAGGAAGTCATGACTGCAATTGTATACTAACTTGGAGAAAAAGACGAAGAGACGAAGAGATCACGGTGACGATTTTCAAGAGAGAAACAGGAGTAATGTTGATGGAAGATGGACGAAAGGGACTGGATTTCAAAAGTGACCATGACGCCAGAGAGTGGAGCTATCTCTTTGCAACGAGGCTGTGCCCACCTTCCCCGGATCAACAGATACGGCTTTTGTCAAGCCATGTTTGTCGACGGGCCTGGATCCGCGTTCTCTATGACTACACTATTCGATGGCACGAGGGACGCGAAGAGTGACGCGACTAGCCGGTATACCCAATTCGGAAACTTCCACAGCTTCACCCCGCATCGTTAACGCGGGGTACCAACTTGGAACTCGTGGAGCGCCTGGCGGTCCACATGTGGCTTCCCGGCAAGCTGTATAAGATACGCGGCCCGAGGCTGGCCGTGGCTCTTGCATACATACAGGGCGACGGCTGCCACAAAATCACCTCGTGCTATATCGCGCAAACTATGCTCCGCGTCCTGGACCTCTCCGACTTTCAGGGGACACTTGCCACTTTTCATGGCTTGTTACCGCGCCATGCAGCGGGAGAAAAGAGCGAGAGAATTCATTGTCACCATCTCCAGGGAGAAAGCCACTCGACGTATGCGGTCAGAGGTTGAGCAGTAGACATGTTGCAGTCGTAAAAAATAGGTGATGACGTCGGCAGCCCTTGACTTCATCGATGCTAGCCTAAGCGACCTGACACAACCTCGTGGGAACAACGCCCCGACCGAGACGAGCGTCGGGAATCTGTCGACCTTTTTCGAGGCGAGGCCTTGATCTTGGCAACCGCCTGTGCGGCTTGCTGCATGCGGTCATTACTCGAGCAGAATTCTACCGGTGCGACAGCGATACAGTAGGCCTGAGGGATGTCGCGGAGGGCAATGATGCAACGCGCGAAAGCATGTCACACTCTGACCAATGCTGCTGCTGCCGCTTCAACGCTTCAACAGCAAAAAAGAGTCTTTGGCGGTCCAGCCCTAGCCGGTGGCCCAAAAAAATGGCAACCTTGCAAGTGGTTAACACGTCGTTGACGCGACAGTGACGAGGGCAGTAATGTCAAAATGTAGCTAACCACTGCTGCACCCAATCAGGCAGTGCAGCCGGGCCGTTACGGCGGGGACAGTACATCTCTCGGTCAACAAAGATGACCTCACTGGTGGATGGCATTGAGCCACTTTTCGAGAGCGCGAACATTTGGGAGCCTTCAAAACGAGAAGCTGCCCCTCAACACCTGCCCCTCCATCTCTCTGCACGTCACAACTTTCCAGACGCATAATTCACAACTATCAATTCACAAACACAAAAAAAAACCTAGCACAATCATACACCATGGGTTACCCCGACACAACTGACGCATTTGCCGTCACTGACATCAAAAACTGGTCTACCTTCACCCGCAAGGAGGTGAGCAGATCCATGCATCGCTGTGCGGACAGCACTGACAGCGCTTCAGCTCCCCCTCAAAAAGTTCGAGGAGCACGATGTCGATATTGCCATTGATGCCTGCGGTGTCTGCGCTTCCGACGTTCACACCATCACCGGAGGATGGGGAGAGGACATACCCCTTCCTCTCTGCGTAGGACACGAGGTCATTGGAAAGGTCATCAAGGTCGGCTCCAAGGTCACCAAGGTCAAGGTTGGCGACCGCGCTGGTGTCGGTGCGCAGATTGGTGCCGATCTGACTTGCGACAACTGCAAGGCGGACCAGGAGAACTACTGCCCTAACCAGGTTGACACGTACGGCGCAAAGTACCCCGACGGCACTGTCTCACAGGGAGGATACTCCAGCCACATTCGCGCGCACGAGTACTTCACCTTCAAGATCCCAGACAGCCTCGACACTGCATTGGCCGCACCTATGCTGTGCGCCGGTCTGACCACATACTCTCCTCTCAAGAGGTTAGGAGCTGGCCCCGGCAAGAAGGTCGCCATTGTTGGACTGTAAGTCAATTGCTCCATGATGTCAAAGAGCTCTACTGACAGCCGCTAGGGGTGGTCTTGGTCACTTCGGTGTCCTCTGGTCCGTTGCCATGGGCGCGGAGACCTATGTCATCTCCCACTCCCCAAGCAAGAAGGAGGATGCGCTTAAGATGGGTGCGAAGGACTTCCTGGTCACCAGCGAGAAGGGCTGGAACGAGAAGTACAAGTACAAGTTTGACTTTATCATCAACACGGCCGACGCTACCGACAAGTTCGATCTGACCGAGTACTTCTCGACCCTCAAGATCAACGGCACCTTCCACATGGTCGGCTTCCCCGACAACCCGCTCCCTGGCTTCAACGCCCAGATCTTCGCTTCCAACGGTAACTACATGGGCGCATCGCACATTGGTAACCGCCCCGAGATGGAGGAGATGCTCGAGCTTGCCAGCAAGCAGAACATCAAGTCGTGGGTGCAGACGATCAAGCTTAGCGAGGCTGGCTGCAAGGAGGCTGTCGAGCGGGTGTACAAGAACGACAACGTCCGCTACAGGCTGACCTTGGTCGACTTCGACGATGTCTTTGGAAAGAGGGCATAAGCGTCGGATGTGTCAGGCCTTTAATGAAACTCAATGATAGCTTTGATGAATTGTTGCATTCTCTGAACATACTGCTCGTCCCTGATGCCGTCATAGTGTCTTTGTCTATACCCCACCATGTGTGCACGAGCCTTGTAACTAGACGCGTCGCATGTGCCCCACCAAACTTGTCACAGCGCGTACCCTCGTTCCCAACCTCAAGCTTGCTACTACATACGACCACCTCGCTTGCAGACCTCGCCCTTAGCTCACGATGCCTACGATTCCTCTTCACATCCGCCCACCCACATCCAGGCCAACAGCAAACCCCCTCCCCAAACTCCTCCACACCCCCTCCGGCCTCGCTATCCTTGAGCTCCAAGGTACATTTCACTTCCCTCCACCCTCGGACCCGTCTGGCAGCACACAGCTCGGCAAACTCGTCTTTCCCTTGTACAATCCCTTGATCAACGACCCCGCAGACACCAAGTGGATGAAGCGCGTGTACCTGTATGTGGGCAAGGGGCAGAGGATGACAGGTGAGGTGAAGAAGCTGGGGAGGCCGTTGGGCGTTGTGCGCAAGGTCGGTGGAGATGGCCATGGAGATCTAGACATGGACCGCGAAGGCAATGAGGAGGGTGAGTTGGAGATGGTGGATGTGGTGAGGTGGAAGCTCGTTTTCTCGAGTAGGCCGGAACCCGTGGGGGCGGGTGTGGAGGAGGAAGGATGAAGAGGCACGGTTCATGCTACACCAGCCCAGCAACGTGCTCACGTGCCATGGCTTGGACGAGCGGCAAGATAACAACTTATCCATTCCCATATGGCATGACGAAAGCAACCTCCCAACGCTGCTCTGCGACACATCGAATCTAGCGTAGGGCCCAGGGCGCACGACACAGCGCGTCTGCCTCAAACCGGGTTACAAAACACCTCTCGATATTGCGACTCCAGGAATAGACAGTAATCCCGCTCAGGCATGCAATTACTGGCCAAGGCTTCTTCTTGCCATCAAGCAATTTACTTTGCCAATCTCGACCCGGTTGTGGGTGCATTCGGCTCGCTTACCCACCCTGAGCACTTTAACCAAATTACACGGTCCACCACGGTCCGTTTACATACATTGCGAAAATGGCACCTAGCATCACATGGTCCACTACGCGGAACAACCATGAGCAACTCAAATATGAACTCTCTCTGGCCCTGACCACGGGTCATCGCAATCACTCATTCTAGTCACTTGACTTTCTTCAAGACCACGTTTCAAGCGGCTACCATTGGCAGAAGTCAAGATGCGTTATGCCGCCGCCGCGCTCTACGCTACATTGGCTGGTATTGTGACAGCACAAGCAGGAGACTGGCAGCAATGTACGTAACTTCAATTGGGATAGAAACTATAACTAATGACAACCAGGTGGTGGCACAAACTGGTCCGGGGCGACGACATGTGGAGCTAACGCTGGCTGTGTGAAGATCAAGTATAAACGATGATCCGCTCGATTCGACAAGCATCTAACGAATGGCAAGTGACTACTACTCTCAATGCCAACCTGGTGCAGCACCAGCAAATCCTCAGCCCGTACCCACAACCATAGTGACGTCGACAGCGCCAGCACAACCCTCAGCCACTGGAGCCCCATCTGGCGGAACACCAGCTGGTACCGGTCCCGGTACAACACTTCAAACCGGCTACTACTGGATCCGCGCCGTCGCCGCACCCAACTTCCACAAATACATGCAAACCAGCCCTCTCTACAGCACCGGCTCAGCTCTTCTAGGCGACTACACAACGGCTGGCCAATTCCAAATTGTGAATGACCAGCTGGTCCAACTTGTGTCTGCGCCTGGCGAGGCGACGAAGCTCCTCTATGGTGTAGTTAGCGAGACACGCTATATCAACGATAACAGCTTGAGCGTGACATTCTCGGAGACGAAGAAATACGTTTGGAAAATTTGTCTGGTCTGGAGATGGCTTGCAGTGGAGTGCTGCTAGTGTCACTAGACCCTAATTCCGGGGCCTGGTATGTATGTTCAGGTCAGCTGTACATCAACCTGGGCAATTATCTATACCAGACGCCAGCTGGTTGTGCGGATCAGACGATCCACTACTACAACGATAGCAAGGCGAACAACTAGATGGCCTACCGCGACGACCCTATCTCCTACGTGACGAAAAGTGAAAGATAGCAGCTTCGAAACCTCATCTGCTAAACCCCGTCATTAGTTAGCCTCTTAGAACCAATTTTACTTATGCTTATCTTGGGGCAATTTCAAAGACTCCCCAAAGTTAGTCGTATCGTTATTCAAGAGTTTTCTGTTTTTCTTGAACTGCTGTAGCAGTCTTACCGCGTCAGTTATTTCTCACTTACTCTGCAACTTAAGACATTATAGCGAGGCAAAGGTAGGTGACGCAACGCTTTAGCTCGTCAAGTAGAATAGTAGAGTGGATACCTCTAAAAGCTGCGTGACTGAAAGCTGAACTCACTCTCAGATTTCCTACGCCTTCCCTCTTCCCTCTTCTTATAAAGACGTTTTCTTCGATCTCCCTACTTGCCTCTCTTCTAATCATCGATACCACCTCAAACACCAAAACCCATACCAGCCCGGCATGTCGATCAAGTCCCCCATGGCAGACTCGAACCTTAAATCGCCGCTCCTTCGCCTGCCTTCTGAGCTACTCCTCGAAATTACCGAATACCGCAACATAGATCAGGCAAGATCGCTTTCCTAATTCTAGCGATGTCTTCATCCTACTAAGCCTCCACCTCACCAGTCGAGTCTTCTATTCTCTCGTGGCAGCTGCGACATGCTCGCATCTTCTTGTCTGTGAACACATTCCCTTCGCTATGGAAAAGGACTTGTATATATGCAAGAATTGAGTGCGTCTTCGTCATGGTTCGTGGTTCAGTCTTCGCTAGATCAAATCGCAGAGATCGCGTCGCGACAAGGATAGTGTAGGTGTATGTGTCTGGACTGTGCTGTGCTGCTGCACAGGTCCTCGAAGCGTGCAGGGCGAGGATGAAGGAGGCTTAGCGCTTGGTCATTAGGTATTCTTCCGAGAGAGATTTTATGGTTTTTCACCAGGCAAATATAACCGCCCTGTTTTCTCTATGCATCCAGCTACATATATTCACTTCATTGTTGGGACACTACATATCTTCTTCATCCGGTCTATTAATTATTTGTCTCTACAATTGCTACCACTTTTGCCATAGCAAAACTACTTCTCTCAACAGCAGATTCTCGTCTGCTACGGAAAGCGACTGGGGCGCAATAGCAGACGGCCCAATCAATAGCCTAAGCTATACACAGTGTCGCCATGCATCAGCTGTGACGGCAAGGCTCTTTGCATATCTTCAGGCAACCTAGTCACTTTCCCTCGTAAGTGATAATATAAAGTACCTGCGGCATGAGCTCCGTATCAAGACATAATTCTTCACGACCATGATAACGCTGTTCTTTCTCACGTCTACGTCTCCGCCTCACTAATAGGATTGATTTACTATCATAGCAGCCCACACTCACTCCACACTCCTCGAACTTGAAAATCTATGTTAGTCTGTCACAATGGGCGTTATACATATGAACATTTTATGTGTCCTCACCCTTGTATGCTTTTCACAGTTAACATAGTCTAGGACGCGAGCAACCATATCAGAACAAGGCAAGCGGATCGTTAGACATTGCATACAGTGGGAAGATATCAAATACGCCTCTTCAATCGCCCTCAAACACCCAGACAGCTTCTCGCGTGGTATATGTGCTGACGTGTCCCAAAACCGAACTCCCAAGCAATGCAATAAGACCCATGGACAATTTCCTCCTAGCTTACAGACTTCCCAAGACCGCACCAACAAACCCCAAGCCCAAAAATACCGTGACACTCCACCTCACCGCGACCCTCTCTCCCCCGCTCTCATAGGCACCCCCGCTCGCACTACGATCCTTCTTGGCACTCCCGACGTTGAAACATTCGAAGTTCAGTGTATCCTTTTCGTACTCCCCAAGTGTGTTCGTTAAGCAGCCAGATACAAAGTCCGGGTCGTCGGTGACGCAGAATTGGAAGCATCCGTTGCCTGACCGGGCGTTGGATGATGAGCCGGGGGCGGAGTAGGTCGCCATGGCGTTGATGTGGCCATTACAACAGGTGTCGAGGATGGAGGAGTTCGAACCGCCAATGGGAACGGCGCAGGAAGTGAGGGTCGTTGGGGGTGCGGGTATGGGAGTGGATGTACAGGACATTTTGGAGACAGTGTGGTATTGTGTTGTGCGTTGGTGTTGTTATTGCTGGTGTCGTGGTTTTCAGCACAGGATGTGTCTGACTTGCACACAGAGCGAAAGCAAGAGTGGTTGAGCCGATTTGAGCGCTGAAAATCGATAGGAAATAACACAAATTCTGAAAGGAGAGACCGAAGCGAAAGACGTTTCCAGAACGTCAAGGCTGAATGAAGGAAAGACTCGAAGATAGGAAACAGCTGCGAATAATGATACATCGGGTACATTCTTCACCTTCATATCTATATCCAAGATTCTAAGTATAGATGTATTAAGCGGGTCTTGCGGCTGCAGTAGTAAGCGCCCGCAGCTCGCTTGTGCCACCACGACGGTTGGCTGAGAGCATCTCACCCCGAATGCCAGCAGAGTCAAAACCGAATGTACCCACGAGTTCGAAACATGATAGAATTTGTTTCGTCAATGCGTTGAGCTCCATGGAGCCAGTCAGGAGCAGAGGCGTGACGTGTAGGATAGGTTACGTGCTCGACCCAGGTGAACATCCTTGGCACTCGGCATGCACGGCAGTAAGGCGTACTACATTGGAATATCCAAATGGCCTCAGTCTTGTTCAGGCGCTTGATGGTGCGCAGGTGTACCTAGTGCGGTGGTTGAACCGTGCGATGCGATGCAAAGTCATTGTTCTTCGTTCTTCGTTCTAGTCTTCGTTTTCATCCTCATGCGCCACAGCCCAAGGGCTTCTCCTCCTCAATGAGCTGCCTTTCTTATCCAGTATGAAAGGTATAGGAACCAGACATACGGCAATCGCCATGAGTACCAGACTTGCATTCCGTGTGCCAACATGCAGAAACAAGCTACGTCCAATGAGAGGGAAGCCTGCGCCGGCCATGTTGCGGACGAGCCCGATGCCTGCGAGCGCAGAGGCTGAAAATGTCTTGTATGCATCCTCGGTGTAGGTCAGAGTCATGAGAACTTCCTAACGTCAGCGTGATAAATTCAGAACGGGAAAGGTCACTTACTCAGTGTGTAGAACGACCACCCCCAAAATGCTGAAGCAAATACTGGAAAGAATGGATGCACATCCGGCGTTGCGAGGAACGCGAAAGCAAGTAGCGACAGAGGTAAAATGATGGATGCCAGTTTCGCATGATGCACTCGAGCCTCTGGTATGTCGCGGCCACCAGCTTGCGCGACGCGTCGTTGATAGTAGCGCTCCTGGTATATGTTCGTGACCAGGCCAAGGGTAATGCCGATGACAATCCCTAGGAAGCATATTCCAACCCCGATGGTATTGAAACCGTAACCATCAGGACCAAAGATAATGTGAAAGGCTCCGTTGAAGAGAAACGATAAACCATATAAGAAGCCATTGTACGCAGCACCAAATTGCACGATAGCCTCACCAGCCAAGAATCGGAATGGTCGCGCAAGTGCAGTGCCGAACAACTGCTTTGGTCCTCTTTGTTTCATCTCATCTGGGACGTCCAGTCTCTCATTTCGACCTGCTCTGCGCATGGCTTCTTCTCTTTTTAACAAAATGACACCATGTCTTGTTTCACCCAACGCATATAACGCGGCCACCAAGATGACCCAAAAAGACAAGCAAATGAAGAACATGACCCGAAACACGTCGTGCCACCCTCTTCCCTGCGCAATGAAGGAGAAAAGCACGAAACCCGTTGGCGACCCTCCAGTAGCTGCCCCACAGGAACCAACTCATCGCCGGACCAGTATCGTGATGGTGAAACAGATCCGCTATTGTTCCGCCAAAGTTTGATATCGTTGTTGACGAAAAGTATCCAGAGAATAAGCGTAAGATGAGGAAAGGCGCCAAAGTCTCAACATACGTCGTTGCTAGCAGCAGTAAGAGGAATATGCCATACGAGACAATATATACGGGTCGGCGGCCGTAGTACTCTGATAGGGGTGCGAGAGTCATGGGCCCGAATGCCAGTCCTAGCACGTAGAGGCTCAAGCCCAAGGTCGCAACATGTGGTGACACGCCCACGTCTCTGGCGAAGTCACCAGCCGCAGGGGAGAAGCCAGAGGCGCCCCACGAAACGCTCAGGTCAATGGGAATGATGACGGCTACCATGAGCCATTTCCGGAGTTGAGGCCAATTCCTAGGATCCTCAGGGTCATTTTGGGAAAAGGTGACGAGATTTGGGCCTGCGTTTGGATGTGATAGAAGAGGCTCTTCTTCTTGGCGACTAGAGCTCATCTCTGGCTTCTTGTTGGCTTGAAATGCCGGGCTGAGGTAGAGTCCTGGTGTTTGTGCTTGTGTTGAAAGGTTGCGATAAGGGCAGCAGATTACGGATGACGTAAGCCGTCACGCGTCTACCCCCTCCTGGTGCATACGACGGAACATTTGAATATGGCAAGGATATCTATGCTAGGCAAAGGGGACAAGCAACTCTTCTTTGCCATTCTTTGTCTTTCGCGAGGCTGATTGCATTGGAACCACTGCTATGCTCCATGATATGCACCACCTTGGGATGATCTGTTAGTACCAGACCAGACAGCCGAATGCACAATAAACTCTAATGTATTGATGGATGAATATATGTCGTCTAAGGCGCGCGTTGATCGCGTCCGAATATTGAATGTCCCAAGCAATCAGCTTGAATGCTGAGTGCGCCATTAAACTCCCTGCTATGCATCCAAAGTGGTATCTGCCTCGTGGCTTGTGTCTATGACACCTCTTCCACCATACGGCCAGTGAAGGGTTTCTGGACCTTGGGTGCAAGGTCTGCAGCGAATAGGGTACCCACTGGGGCTTGCAACCACTCGTCGGGTACACCAAGCTGAGTGCCCTTTGCATTCTGCACATAGCGGACAAAGAGTGGATTTGCTCGCTCGACCTCGGCATCGTCTTCTTGACCCGATTCGTCATGAGCAACACGGCGACCGCGTTTAGGAGGTTGTTTCTTGAGAAGGCGGTTGATAGTGTCCAACTGGTAGTTGTTAGTAGCTGCGCGTAGTGTTGAGCACGTAACATACCTTTTCCTCCTCATTGCGCTTCTCGCTGAGGTTCTTCCTTCTTCGCGCCATCTCTGCGCGTCGCATGGCGTTTTCTTCAGCAGTCAGGTGCTTCTTCTTTTGGGCCTCATTGGAGAGCGCCATGAGGCCCCCGTCGCTGCCTTCTTCTACGAGCGCGCGTTGTCGCTTCGTCATTTTGGTGACGTCGGGTGTTTGGCCGCGGCTGAGGTCCTCGTCGCTGTCCATTTCCTCGTCAAGGTCACCGTTCTGTCCGACCAGCTCGTCGTCTTCTTCGCCTTCTGCGTCCTCGTCCTCGCCCTCGGCGTCTTCCTCGTCAAGGTCGGAGTCGGGATCGCTAAGGTCGTCGTCGTCATCGTCGTCCATGGCCATCTCCTTTGCTTCGACCGAATCCTGGGCTTTGGTGATGTTGATGGTTGGTTTGGCAACAGGTATGCTTTGTTTGGAGGACACGACAATGCGGGATGCCGGGCTACCGTCCTCCATGTCGTCGTCTTCGTCGCCCTCGGCATCCATGTCCTCGTCATCGTCGCCTTCCGCATCTACGTCGTCGTCTTCGTCGCCGTCGTCGTCGTCGTCGTCGTCGTCGTCGTCGTCGACATCCATGGCATCGGCTTCCTCGGCTTCCTCGTCATCGTCGTCTTCATCCTCGCTGTCGATTTCGCGGACTATGCGACTGCTCCGCGACGCGCGCTTGCCGGCGACTATGTTCTGCCTGTTCACTCCAGTCTTGGGGACGGCACCGCTGGTGGCCTGCCTGAGCTTTCCCGGGGAGGATTTGACGGTGAGGTGGATGGACTGGCGCGTCTCTTCGGGCGAGGAGCGCTGGATTACGGCGGCGGCGGGCGACTGGTTTGCGGTGCCCCGTCGCGGGCGGGTCGAAGAGGCCGTGGGGGTAGCACTGGGAGCTGTTAGAGGAGCTGGCGGTGCGCGCGCACGCAGACGAGGCATGGCGCTGGCGGTGCAGGGGAGCTGGAGCTGGAGCGGGAGCTGGAGCTGGAGCTGGCAGCGGCTATGGCGAGGCGGGTGGGGAGTGGATGGGATTATGAGCGTGTCAGACGCGGGTATAGGCGGGCAGGGGTGGTCGGGGCGGTGGCACACGCGTGCGAGTGAAGGCGGAGGGGCAATGGCGTCGTTGATAGGCCTTCCTGCTTGATGCGGGCGTGACTGCTGCTCATCGACGCCTTGTACTCCCGCCCTCCCGCCTGCCCTTGGCGCGAGTTACTCACTTGCTATTCATCCACTCGTCTGCTCCTTCCGACTCTTCATACTCGGTGCTCACCCGGCGCATTCGCTTCGATGCGCGGTCCGCCATGGCAACTTCTCTTGACTGATGTAGCCTCACGGGATAATGTTGGGCGCGATGCGACGAATGAGACCGCGGGTGGTCCTTCTTCACGCGCTGTTGGCCTGCATCACAGCTTCCCCAGAATTCGACTAGCCCTAAATGAGGAAAGCGCGCTTGAGGCTTGGGGCTTGAGGCTTGAGGTCCACCAAAACCACAGCCTTGCAACCTTCTCTGCATAGCACCAACAACATTGTCTTCATCACATGTGCGAGTTCTTTACTACAAAACACATGGCATCCGCGTCAAGCACTCTCATCCTTCAAACACACCACGAAGCGACTTCTCCAAGTCATCCTTCGGCAACCCCAGCTTCTCGTTCCAAGCCGGAGCCTGATCGAACCGTCCAAGCTGATCTTTGGAGAAACTCGTCGCCTGCAGCAACTCCACTATGCCCGAGAAGTCGCCCTTCTGTAGCTTTGCGCGGCCCTGCTCAACATGATCCTTGACTGCCACGTGCTTGACAGTCCACTTCGAGCCCGTAATTTTCTCCGTCAAGGCAAGCAACTCGTTCTGCGACGTGTCGAAACTGCTGATGTACACATACTGATTCTTCGTCTCTTCTGGCTTCTCGAGAGCTTTCACCAATCCCAGACCAACCGTGTGCAGGTTCGTTGTCGAGAAAATGGCTGTGCCATCGTCATAGAGAGTGACAGTCTTGTCAGCCAGGTTGAAGCCGTAATAGCCGACCTTGAAACACCATTCGAAAAACGGTCCGTTGGCCAGAATAGTCCAGCTGATGACGCTCTCTTTGCTCTTGAGATAGTTGGCCGTTGCGAACTTCCCTTCTAAGATGGGCACGAGCTCGCGAACTCGAGCATCGGCAGTATCGCTGCCAAACTCAGAGGGTACGAAGCGCTGGACACCAGCTGCAATGGCTGCGTCAATGAGCTTGTTCTGCTCTCCAAATCCAGTTCCGCCGACGAGAGATACAGCGACGTCTTGTCCTTTGAAAGCATCCTTCAACGCATCAGCCGAGTCGTAGTTGGCCCGTATGACTTTGACGCCGGCTGGAAAGGTCGAAGACGAGCCTTCCCGTGTCAACACAGTCGTGTTAAACGAAGACTCGTTGATGAATGTGTTCAAAATCGCAGTGCCTATATCACTGCTCGCCTATGTATTGTCAGTCACACCATCGACGTCGCACAGCCATGGATGACCGGGTTCCAGCCAATAGTGCTTGGTTGCTGTAGTCGGGGAGCATTCGACAACTTACTCCGATGAGTATGACGTTCTTGTAGCTTGCCATTCTGTCGTGTGATGTCTAAGATTTGCTACTGCGAGTTGCTGAGTCCCTTCGTCGTACTCCATGTTGGTGGGGCTTGTTGTCCGATATATAACCCCACGATTGCGACATCCTACCTCCCACATTGCCATCCGCAATTCATATGTGGATTAGCAATCCACTAGATGCCGAGTGAACGTAACAAGCAGCCAAGAGGAACCTAGTGTACGAAAGACATCGGGAAAGCAGGGCCGACATGAAGGATATCCTAGGCGTGCTCGAATAGACGTTCGCTAGCAAGGTATTCAATAAGTCTTAGGCAAAGTCACGCCATAAGTCCCGCCGAGTGCAGTCTCTCATTGCGCCGAACGACATGGTGTTGTCCAAGGACCATGCAGCGGAAGCTTGGTGTCGTTTATTGGCTTACTCAGAGCGCGGAAAAAGCCCGTGACGCTTGGGCGTCTTCCTTTCCGTAAATCGGCCGCTCTCCAATCACACAAGAACGGCAGTTACACACTTCCGCCGCAAAGGCCCAAGACTGATGGAGAATGATCCATGGGGAAGCGAAATCTTTCTTGTTATCAATTTTCATCGGAAAAGCCGGTCGTGAGGTTGGGAGCTTTCGAGCGTCCGATGGTACCCATGTCCAAGTCATTGTCCAGCACGGCTATTAGGAATGCTCCATCAATCGTTGAGCTCGATATTCAAGCGCTACTCTATGGTTTCCCGATTTTTCAACTCAATGGGCAGCTCCAACGGCTTTTCGCCATCACAGGTGCTGATCTCCTGTTCCGTCATAGGCAGTGTCCCGATGATAGCTCTACATAGTCGTTCTCTGCTAATGTATGCGAATCAAGATAAAAAAACTACTTCAACATGTCCCAAGGTCGCTGGTTATTGTGACTGGTAAACAAGCGAGAGCTATTCATCAACCTTGTGAGGTTGTTAGCTCACAACGTATGTCATGCAATCACACATGGTAAAATTCAATGCTACTTGGCTACATAAGGTCGCTTCACAATGATTATACCTCGAGTTTGACCTTAATGTATGTCAATAGATCAAGGTAATTGATACCATAGGCAGCGTTCAGAGGCCTTCCAAAGCTCATAAATGCACATAAATTAAGGGCAGCATTGACATCGGGTATAGCCAGCTACTTAATACGACCCCGTAGTGTAGAGAGTTTTCTATGGTATTGCACTCCACACTGTGCCTTCACCAGGGGAGTCGTAAATTACCCTACAAGTAAACCTCCACTATGCAGCTCAGTCCTACATAATCCCTTGCGGAACTCCCAGTCTAGCTCGACATACTCTGTAGACTGCCAGACGAGCTCAATCACAACAAACTGTGAATCGCACCAGCGATCATATAGCATTGTTTAGTTCCAGCTCTCTCGACACAGCACAGCCTCCACCATGAGCAATTTCCGCCCCTTCGAAACTGCCTATAAAAAGGCCATCTCCAACAATCGTCGCCCACGAGATGCCGTGCAATATGCGCTCAACAAGTACGTTGTGCATATGACCGAAGAGCTTAATCTCCACGCTGACGCAGAAATGCGAGAATGCTTCGTAGACGAAGCGTTTGAGATTTATTGCGATGGGCGCAATGCTCATGACACTCATGATGATGCGGCCAGCGCAGCTACCAAGTACATCGAGCGAGAACTCAAAGACGCAGATTCAGGACGTGAGTCTTGTAGTAGTGGTAGTAGCTATTGGTCCCAGGATGAGTCTCGTAGTGGTGGGAGTAGCTCCCGATGGTCTTCGTCTCAGGGTGAGTCTTGTGGTAGTGGAAGTAGCTCTTCGTCTCAGGATGAGGGGTCCTCTGGCACTAGAGGAAAGCCTGTATACAACTACAATGATCCTAGGAACAACAACTCTGGTTCTAGTGCTCGTAGTAAGCCAGCCTACAACTATGACGATCCTAGAAACTTTCAACCTTCTAGTAGCACGCGCGCTAAAACTGCGTACAACTCCGAGGATTCGTATGAGTCGTATTCAGAGCCTCGTCGTGGCTCTGAGCACGGTTCCTGTGGATGTAGGAAAGATTCTGCATCCCGATCGCGAGGCGAACCTCTGTTCGATTGCGAAGACATGTTTGACACGTTGCCTAGGGCCGGTCGCGGATTTTGTCATTGTAGGAAAGATAGAGGACATTCTCGTCACGAATCATATACTTCGAGCTATGAAGAGACTCGCTCATCCATGCCCCATGCCCAGGGAGTTAGATCTGAGCGTGATAGTTTTCACAATCATTCAAACTCGCACGACGGACGTTCAAACGGACAATGGCTACCTATGCCCGCTGGTTTCGGGCGCTTCGAATTTCCTTCGCCAATCTTTACAAAAGGACGCAGTAACGGATTTTCGTTCTTTTCAACGCATGAATTCCGCCCTACTGATCATGGTAGCCATAACACACGCGAGAGCCGCCCTTCTCACCACGGCGAGCATGATACACGCAAGTCCCGACCCACTGAGGGCGGACACAACACCCGTGAGTTCAAACCCAGCTGGTATGGTAGCGACAACCCACATTCATCTCGCCCCTCCCAGTCCCATGCACAACCCCGCCATTCCCACAAATCACCTCGATCCTCTGAGTATGGTCATGAGTATACATCGACCCGCGCACCACCTCCCCGCCCCTCCTCTCACAACACACGCAGCAATCCTCCGCACGACTCCGAGCCTATCGGTATCAAGTCCCTCACGTGCTTTTACGCCATTCTCGGCATTTCCCGCACCTCCACGCCTAACGAGATCAAAGCCGCGTATCGCAAGATGAGCATGAAGCACCATCCAGATCGTGTTACTGGCGCGGACAAGGAGAAAGCTACGGCAAAGATGGCGGAGATCAATCAGGCTAACGATGTCCTGAGTGATGTGGTAAACCGACAGTTTTACGATAGAACGGGGTGTTTGCCTGGATTAGGCTAGCAGGGTAGGGGATGAAGCAGGTGCCGCTGGAAAGTGGGAGTTGGGTGGTTGAGTCGTGTTCGTAGAAATTGACTTGCAGAAGATTTAAATAAAAGCAATTTTCATTTTCAAACACTTCTGTCGCATTCAGTGACGGTGAATAAGACAGCTTTACGCGATACAGCCTGTAGTTGGCAATATGTAGTTGTCATCCGATACCGAGAAGCTTCGTGTAATTTTCTCACTTGACGAATTTGTTGATCGGTAGTCGATACACGTCAATCGTCCAGTATGGCCTCCTGGTTCCCTCCCAATTCTTTTTGTCATGCAGACCTTTGGGGACGTCAATGTCTTCCCACACAGTGTCCAATCCGGCTTCATAGAGGTCGATTTCGGCAACCTAGATACAATGTTAGTGATCAATCCCCTTGTACCGTTCATATATTCAACGCACCTTTGTGTACACGTCATAACAAATCTGGCGATCGGCTCCCAGACCATTGTACCAGCCAAATACGCCATCAGGCGCGAGCAGCTGGATAACATACTCAGAGAAGAATTCTTTCAACGCAGCATAGTCTTCAGCGAAAGTGTCGTAGTATATTCCATCTAGAACGACCCCCTGCTCAATGAGCTTAGGCAAGATGTCTTGCCACCTTCCCTCATGGATATGCACATTGGGCTTGTCGTACCAACCCGTCTCCCTGAGGCGCTTGTGGACCTGAGGATGGGCCTCAATGATGTGATGCTCAGCTGGGTTATGGGTCTGAATAGCTGTGTCAACCAGACCGAGACCATGCCCGACATTCATGACTTTGAGACCGGGCTTGGGGTTAATTGTCTCGGCGTGTCGGCGCATGATTTGGTCTTCCCAGTCCATCATGACTGCGTTGTCGGATTCGTCTAGTAAGATACCTTCTTTGTAGCGCAACTCGCTCTTCAAATAGGCATGGTTGTCCAGTGAGACGTCATCGAGCTTCGGCTCTTCGGCGACCTCCTGAATTTCTTTCACTTCTCCCTCCGACACCTTCTGCTTCTTAACGGCGGGTCGGTCCTCGGCGATCTCGTCTGTCGCCTCCTCACCGTCGTGCTCTTCCGCTGTGTTGGTACCCAAGCCGAGAGCCTCCATTTTCGCAAAGAGGATCTCAGCACGGACACCGGCTTCGACCATGATGTCGTAGATCTTCTTTTGGCCAAGTTTGAGGGCGATACATCCAGGTGTCTCATCCTCGCTGCTTAAGTCGTTCCAGATAGCACCGTTCTGTAGCAGCAACTCGACCGTTTGAACCGCTTCATCACCCGCCTCTTTCCCATCCTCTGCTTTTCCACAAGATGCAATGGCGGCGTGGAGCGGTGATTTTGATACTGTTGCCGTATCATAAGTTGTGGTGTCTTGCACATTGGCCGAGCCCTCTTTGAGCAAAACCTTCAGCGCAGGAACATCGTGACGCTCAGCAGCACCGATGATGCGCTTCGCTAGGAGGATATCTTCTTCTGTCGCTTGTTCAGCCATTCTGTGTTACTCCGACCCGTGCAGACTTTGTGCATCTGCGTTCTGTGGGGTTGGAACCTTTTTGGGGCTTTTTCTAGGTCGGGATAAGATAAGCGAGCACTAGTCTCCCCACTATTGCCCTTCTCGGATAGGTACATGTAGACAAAGTGATGCATACACAGCTCTCGAGCTATCGAAAGATTCCATGTTCCCAATACCGTCAATAATGCCCAACGAATGCTTCCGTCTCTGCCCAAAAAAAAGATCCATAAAACCTTATTCTAAGAGCTTGAATCCGCACAATGTACCTACATTTGGAAGGCTGTACTTGCAATTCCTTCGTTCCAACTCCGTGATGGTGCGCGCAGTGTACATCTGTATGTCTTCCAAATTTGATAGTGGTTCTGATGGCGTGACGAGGTGGACCTGAAACCAGTATCCATTTTCTCTCCTCCCAAGCCAAGGGAACTCAATCAACTGTGACGCTACTCTGTCGTTCTCATCGCTGAGGAGAGGACCGGTCCAATCTGATCCGGCATCGTGTATCCTGTTCCATGTGTGTGGATTGCTTTGGCAGAGTTCTGCGCTTTCTTCGACCCAAAGCTGAGCACACTATCTCTCACACTTGGCTCGCAGTGTAGCCATGCGATCGGAAAAACCATCATTCGACTCGATCTGGTGAAAGTGGCCTCTTGCCGACTGAATCTGCCTGTTGATCATGTTTTGCCATGTTTTCAGACTCGCACAAAAAGTGCTCAGATGCTGCCGTTGCTCCTCTTGTTCTGCTTCCACGAAGTCTTGGCTAGCATGGACAAGAATCTGGTAGACATCGTCACGAATGAGTTGCAGCATCCGATGAATCATCCAGAGTTTCTCTTCCTCGCTGGCGTCTCTGCCAACCAAGTCAGAGTCAGTTCTCCGCGCCGAAAATAGGCATCTCGCTAGGGAGGAGAGTGTGACAACGTGTGTAGAATGGTGGCGCCCTCGAAAGGAGAAGTTAAGCAAGACAGTAGCACGTGCGTTCAGGATGACAAGCATGTCGTTGCTTTCCAGAATATTGAGTGGGACGTCGGCAACAGGCTCTCGCGCTTCGCGAGCTGAACGCGAGGATTCTGCTTTGAGTTGCGAGAAGCTCTGCTTTAGATGACGGGCACTGCGTGCAATCTTGGCCCATGGGCTGGCTTTATCCTTGGGGGGAGCGGTTGTGATTCTGGCATTCATGAGCGGACATTTTTCCTTCTTAGGGAAGACAACATACATGTTCTCCACACGTGAAATAAGCGTATCAACACCATAGACATCGATTAGTATGTGCCTGAGTCCGATCGCTTGCTCGTCATTGTCGATACGCCCCAAGATTGCAAAATCATGTCTGATGTCTCCATTCGCCGAAAGGAGAGGATTGAGTATGTCCTCGATGCGTGCAGGAGTGAAGATATGTTGTTCGTTATAATTCTGCAGTATAAGTCCACGCGAAACCAGGTAAGCCGTGCGCTGAGCCTCAATGTCTTGGGCCTTTTGACGGGATTTCTGATGTCGCAGTTCGCTCATTGACCTGATTCCTCGCAGGTGAGCTGTAGCAGGACTGGGCTTGACGAAGCCTGCGATGCTTGCCATAGCCACCTTGTCCATGATGTGCTTCTCCATGGTGGCGTGTTCGGATTGTAGTGATGGTTGATCGTAAACGAGATGATGTGCTGAGCAAGAATAGCGATAGCGATGGAATCCTGTGTGCGCGTCCTGGCGGGGTACTTGCTGTCAACTGGGAAGTGGAACGCAGGCTTAGGTTTGTGACGGTCTGTTGCAGTAAGATCGGGGCAATAGGGCGGTGCCTGTGGAAGTCAGGCAGTGTCGAAGGTCGTGGCGGTTTCGGCTAGAGCATGTTGAAGAGAAGGCAAGAGCGTCAGCGTCCATCCATGGCGAGAAAAGAGTGATTCATTGATCAATACTGTAATAACTGTTGATCCACATCAATCGATGTGCTTAAACGCCCGCATGCGTAGATCCCTAAGCATCCCGTAAGACAATAGTGAATATGGCACAGTACCTGTAATATGTAGTGATCCTCCAAGCCAAGAATGTGAAGTCCCCATAAGGACAAAATCGACAAGAAGCAACAAAGAGAAGCGCCGCCTGCGTGTGCAGGAAATAAATCTTGGACTCTTACTGATACACATATGTACATTACCGCGTCTACGACACCATCCACCAAGCGCCCACAAGAATAGAAACCAAGACCAGCAAGGTCAGGATGCTAGCGCCGGCCTTGTCGCCAGTGGTCACTGAATTGAAAGTAATGGGAGTCTTGGGAACGTTGGCACCAGCTTCAGGGTTGCTGGTGGAGATACCGCCCTTGTCGGCGGTCGCGGGACCACCGACTGTCGGGTAGAGCAAAGCTTGCACAACCTCCAGCGCGGCCATCTGCTCGCCGACACCAAAGCTGCCATCGTTCTTGCCGTTGTCAACCCAACGAAGACCGCAAGAGACCTGGTCTGCGCCAGCATTGCACTGCTTGGCTGCAGCTTGGGCGGAGGTCTTGAGAAGGGGATCGATCATGTCACGCGTCCAGGGTGCAACGATGGCGGTGTATCCCATCCAGCGAGCAAGATAGGCCTTGAAAGACCGCTGGTCGACGTCGCATTTACCATTGTTCTCACAGGCAACCTCAATCATGACGTTGTTGTTGAAGAAGACACCAGCGCCCTTGATGATGCCCTCAAGTCTGCCCCTCCATAGGTCGTTCTGAGTCTATTCAAGGTTAGCACCGAGCTGGGGGAAAAGATCTTTGCAAAGCAACTCACCATATTCCACATGGCAGCAGCACCGGCCATGTGCACGCCGGCGTTGTAAGTCCACTGGATGGCCTGGATGTTTGTGCAGTTGTTCTGACTGTCGGTTCCGTCAAAGTAATGGTAGTCCTTGCTCATGAGGCCCACGGAAAGCTCCCATTCCCACGCCTTCTCAGCCCAGTCGGAGTAGGTGTCGTTTCCGAGGTACTTGTACAGACGCGCGGCGATGTTGAAGAAGCAGCCGTTGGAAATAGTATTTTTGTAGTTGTAGCCATTGTTGAAGGTAAATATCTGCCACCTCAGGCCTCCTGCACAGGTGGCGTTGTCCCAGCGGTCCTTTTGGGTGTTGAAGACGGCTTGCGCCAGCGAGAGCCACGACGGCTTTCCGCTACCGAGATCTGGCAGCTTGTTCTCGGCGGCAGACATGGCGGCCATGCCCCAGAAGGCCTGGTCGTCGTTGCCGAGCGTCTTCGTCTGGTTGGGTGGCATGAATGCATTGAAGTCTCCGATCTGATGCTCCATAGCTTGTGCGGTGATCTTGTTATACTGGTCGTCCCCGGTGTAGTACCAGTAGTCGATCAGGGCATTGAACATGGCGCCACATTCCCACCAGTAGTATGGATCAGGCAGGTTGCCTGGCGTGTCGCCGGGGCGATCGCCTGTGTAGTAGTTGCGCAAGTTCGCAGAGAGCGACTTGGCGGCCTGCTTGATTGAATCTGTGCATGTTAGCAGGCTTTGGGGCACAGAGGCGAGGAGGCGAGGGGCACATACCCGGCGATTGAATGTCCAGCTCGATTGCGCCTGTGCCAGACAGCAGCATACTCGAGGCGCCTAAGGCCCCGACAACGGATGTGAACTTCATGGTGCGGGTGGCGTATCCGGACTTTGTGTGATTACGGGTGAGTAGCAACGTGTGCTCCGGGTCAAGCACCGGGCTGAGTGACGTCGCGCTGCGTTGCGCGGTGAAGGATATCAGTCCACTCTACTCGAGCGTGACGACGCTGAAGGCGGGGGGCAGCGAAGGGGCAGCGAAGGGGCAGCGAAGGGGCAGCGCCGTGGTTTACGCAGGGTGCAGTTTGGGTGAAACGAGGGACAGGTCCGGGAAGGAGCGTCGACGGTGGAGGCGGGCAATTAAGAGGTGGTGTCGGCCTCAACGAGCGTGGGCAAAGGCGTCAGGGTCACGGTCGGTCACGGTGGGAAGTGCAGGTGGAGGAGGAGAGGTTGCCAGGCCATTTCAGGCTCAGGAGAGGCGCTCCGTCACGGAAGCCGGCTGTGGAGACTGGCCGTGGCCGTGAGCAGATCCCAAGTCACAGGCTAGAGCAGCCCCTTGGCGCGCATCAACCACGCGCTGCAAACGGGCCCTGGTTGTGTTACATACGCCACATGAAGCAGCAGCTAGGCCTGCCACGGCCAGACAGTGTATTGTAACCCCCATGGCCGACAGTTGTTTGCGCAGCGACTGTTGCGTGAAGCGTCGCAGAGCGGCCGTGTGCCACTTGAATTTGCTGGCCACGCTGCGAGGAGGCGCCGGACATGGATACGGGTGCGCCATTACGAGGCCCTTCCCAGCCAGCCAACGCTCCAAGTCACGCCGTCTTTGTTGCGCTACCAAAGGCTGTCGTAATCGTTTCGGCTGGGGGCGCAGAGTCCGGGTCACGTGCACCATCGTGGCGCAGTCGCTGGCCGCCGCCGCTCTTCACAGCGCCGCATCGACGTCAATAAAGAATGCGACGGCCTCAATAAGACACTACTATCACATAATACTGTACCTCCATACTGCGCCTCTCAGTGCACGCTGCTCTACCCACGGCCCGACTCAGTAGATTGGTGCGCTGGTTTCACGCGGGCATCAGCCTCACAACCCAAAACGAAAGCTGACACATCTGCCCAGCTTGGAAGCTCGATCGCACTTTCCCTCGGCGCCTTGTCAACGAACACCACTCATCCACACCACACCAAACGACCCCCACGACACGCACGACACGCACGACACCCGCGCCTCTCTTCCCTACTGCGCTCTTCGCACAAATCCACTCCACGTCTACATCGCGACATCATCCGCCATGGCCGACCGCGAGCAGCCCTACGACCCCTACATTCCCGCCAGCGGCGGCGGTGCAAACGCCCAGCAGCCCGGGAACCACCGCAATGAAGCCATCCAAGCTGTATGTCTGCTCCCATTCTCCGCAGATGCTGCCACCCCCTAGCCGCAGCCACGGCGTCGCGCATCGTCCCTGCGCAGCGTGAGGACACTTATACTGACCCGCCCCCCAGGAAATCAACGGCGCCATCCAGGAGATGGACAGGAATGTGCGGCAGCTGAAAGCCCGAGAAGAGCGCCTAGACTCTCTCCAGAACAAGACAGACAATCTCGCCCAGTCTGCACAGGGCTTCCGACGGGGCGCCAACAAAGTGCGCAAGCAGATGTGGTGGAAGGACATGAAGATGCGCATGTGCCTCATTGTCGGCATCATCATCCTGCTTGTCATCATCATTGTGCCTTCTGGTGAGTCGCTGCGTGTGTCAAATCCTTGCTCACCGCTAACATGGCGTAGTCGTTGCGACGAAGAAGAACTAGGCGCTCCATGTCCACTACAACGAAACATAGTCTATAATAATTGCAAAGGGTGCGGGAGCTGTAAGCCACACTGGGAGGGGAGGTGGCCACGATTTGTGCTGTACACAGCGAGAGACATGAGTTCGTGTAGGACTCATGACTACGGCGAAATGGGAGCGACCACTTGGATCTATTCTTGTCTTTCTTTGCATACCGCCGGGCAGCTGGCTCCTGTGCAATGGAACGACTCTACCCTATCACGATACCTCAAGAGCCTCGTTCCAGGCACGGCCGTTATACGAACAATGGAGTTTATTTGATCATCATCGTGGAGGGCCATGCCCTCTATTCTTCACTTGTACGCAGCCCTTGCCATTGAGTCTTTGCCTTGGGAACATGACGTATATGGCACATGCATCTGACTGGAGCGGAGACGCCTGTCTCTTCCCGCATGCGTGCCAGGCTGCAGTAGATAGTAGTGGGTCTACATGCACGTCTAAGCTGCATGTTCAGACGTGCAAAAACCACAAGCAGCGTCGACGTTTGCGCCGAGGTGCAGCCGCAGCGATTGTCCTTGAGCAAATGACATGTCTTGCATCCCCATCACACGAGTCCAGTGACGACTCCTCCAAGACGAACTTGGACCATATGGGGAAGGGAACAGTAGCTCGATCTGATAACAGGCAAAAGCGCAGCCATGCGGCAAGAGTTTTTTTGCGAATGCAGTGCCTGCGCCCAATCAGGCAGCAGTTCCCCAGACGAAGCGTAGGGATTATGGCGCCACTTGCGGGACCGAAGCTGCCCAGGTGGAGGGCAGCGTTATCGGCGAAGCGAATTTTGTAGCTTCATCGTCATTCCATGTTTATCGCGCCGTGACTGTGTTCTCTGACTCTTGCCTGCTGTTCCCTTGACTCTCACCAAGTCCCCAATCCAACCCAATTTGACGGCTGCATCCCCTCGAGCAGCAATTGCAAGTGCCCCGCCGGCGAGAGTTCCACCATGCAGAGCGTCGTACGCGCTGGTGCTCGTGTGGCAGCACGCTCGTCCCGCCAGATCCTCGCGGCGTCCCCCACCGCGCGATCCCTTCCCCGAGCCCTCGTGGGCAGCGCGGTGCCCAGCCGTCTATATGCGTCGTCCAGCGATGGCAAGAAGTCGTCCATATACGCTGCCTTCCTCAACCTCCTGGCCAGTGCCAGCTCGCGCAGAGAGGTCGACCAGTACCTCGGCCAGTTCCGCTCCGTGTCACCGCACCAATTCGCCGTCGTGAAGGTTGGAGGCGCAATCCTTACTGACCATCTGCAAGAGCTATGCTTCGCCCTGCAGCAGCTCCACGCGATCGGCCTGTACCCCATCATTGTTCACGGCGCCGGCCCCCAGATGAACCAGCTACTCCTGGACTCTGGCGTGGAGCCCGACTTCATTGATGGCATCCGGGTTACAGACAAGAAGACGCTGGGCATTGCTCGCAAGCTGTTTCTCGAAGCAAACATGGATCTGGTCATGACGTTGAAGAGGGACTGGGGTGTGCCTGCCCGCCCCATTACTGCCGGCGCGCTGCAGGCCGACTACCTGGACAAGGAGAAGTGGAAGTACGTGGGCAAGATCAACAAGATCAATCCCAGGCCCATCATGGATGCGCTCGAAAACAACGAACTGCCCATTCTGTGCTCCATGGCCGAGACCGAGGACGGCCAGATCCTGAACGTCAACGCCGACAGTAGTTGCGGCAGCTTTGGCTCGTGAATTCGAGCCGCTGAAGGTCATTTACCTGTCCGAAAAGGGTGGGCTGTTCAACGCCGAGACTGGCAAGCTGATCTCGCACATCAACTTGGAGGGCGAGTACGACACATACATGAACCAGGCTTGGGTGAGATACGGCACCAAGCTCAAGATTGTAGAAGCAAAGAACCTGCTCGATGGCCTGCCACGAACATCGAGCGTCGCCATCACCCACCCCTCAAACCTCGGAAAGGAGCTGTTCACGCACACTGGAGGTGGTACATTGATTCGCAATGGCGGCAGCGTCAAAGAGGTCTCCAAGTTTGAGGAGCTGGACATCAAGGCCCTGTCGGAAGCGCTTGCCAAAGAACGAGGAGGCGCCGAAGCTTCTGATGCCGTCAACAAATACCTCGACAACCTCAAGAGCCGTTCGTTCGAGGTCTTCTCTGACGACTCCATGGGCGTCGTAGCTGTTGTGTACCCGTCAGCTCAGGATGGCGAGTTTGCTCAGCTTTCAACCTTCTCTACCACCAAGGAAGCGTTCCGAACCAACGTGACCGACCTGGTCTTCGAGCGCATCAAGCAGAAATACCCAAAGCTCTATTGGGTCGTGGATAGCCAGGAGCAGAACCTGGTCAAGTGGCACTTGGAAAAGACTGACGGCTTCCTCCGACGCGACCAAGAAATCTTCTGCTGGTGGGGAACTGCAGAGTCGAAGGAAATCTTCTCGTTGCTTGAGGACTACTCAAAGCAGGGGCGTGGAATGCTAAAGGACAGCTTAGACCATCAATTCAGGAGGGCAGCCGACTTTGTCGCCAGTCTGAAACAGGGCCAGCAGGTCCGGACTTACTCGACGGCAACAGCCCCGCGACCTATGGGACGTTCATCAAGGCCAACTGCGAGGCAGATTTACAGTCCTGCCGCAAGCCGGGGCTTCGCAACTACCGTCCCCAGATCAGAAGAGACCACTAACCCCAATCCTCCATATGGCATCAAGTTCAAGAGCAGAGACTGGCCGGCAAAGGTGGCCTTGATCGGTGCCCGAGGTTACACTGGACAGGCTCTCATCGAGCTCCTCAACAAGCACCCGAACATGGATTTACGCCATGTCTCTTCGCGTGAGCTCAAAGGCAAGAAGCTTGAAGGATACACCAAGCGCAACATTGTCTACGAGAACCTTTCGCCAGAGGACGTCAAGCGCATGGCTGAGAAAGGCGAAGTTGATTGCTGGGTTATGGCTCTGCCCAACGGTGTATGCAAGCCTTTTGTTGACGCGATTAATGAGTCCGGAAAATCTGATGCTGTCATCGTCGATCTGAGCGCTGATTACCGATTTGATGACACTTGGACATATGGTCTGCCCGAGACAGTCGACCGCCGGAAGCTTGCTGATGCCAAGAGAATAGCAAATCCTGGATGCTACGCCACCGCCGCACAGCTTGGTATTGCGCCTCTGCTTGAGTTCATCGGTGGCCAGCCCACGGTATTCGGTGTTTCTGGTTACTCGGGGGCTGGCACCAAGCCCAGTCCTAAGAATGACGTCAAACACCTCGAGAACAACCTTATCCCGTACAGCTTGACGGACCATATTCACGAGAAGGAAATTTCAAGGCAACTGGGTACCGAGGTGGCCTTCATCCCTCATGTAGCGGTCTGGTTCCAAGGAATTCACGTAAGTAATCTCCACTGATTATGCAGCCTGCGTATTTTATGTGTATCGTTGCGATATCATCAGGCGGAAAGAATGCTTCTAGCTATGCAGCCTTGCCTAGATTATGACTGACAAGGTTTTAGCACACCATTTCTATTCCACTCAACCGCACAATGACATCCCGAGACATTCGCAATCTCTACCAGGATCGCTATGCAGGTGAAAAGCTCGTCAAAGTTGTTGGCGAGTCACCTCTGGTGAAGAACATCTCGGGCAAGCACGGTGTCGAAATTGGTGGATTTGCCGTTCACAGCTCTGGGAAGCGTGTTGTTGTTAACGCGACAATCGACAATCTGCTCAAGGGTGCTGCGACGCAATGTTTGCAGAACATGAATCTAGCCCTCGGATACGGGGAATATGAGGGTATCCCTTACTGAGCAAACTAGGACAGAGCGATGTGGAACATTTCCAAGTGCAAAAATTATTGTGTCGGGCTAGCGTTTTTGAATGTATATATCATATCCCATGTCTTTTAGTAGACAACCGAGTGAGAATTGCGTTGGTTTCTGATTTGCATCAGTATAAGTGGACGTAGGTAGGGCACTTGACGGAGCTAATTACTGGAGTATGCCCCTTAGTTCCTCAAATATCGAGCGATAGGACAGAGTGTGTCACTTTGACCATGATCAGGTGCTATATGCTCACATCCCAGCTCTCGAACCCTACTCACCCTGGTCTTGGAAACGGAGCAGAGGAGGTACAAGGCCTCCCTTCTTGGCTTACATCACCCCGTCAGACGGAAGCGAAAGGTAGACATGCTCGACGTGCGTAAGAGGTGCGATCTGAGGACCTCTGACATTATCTGCCGTTAGAAAAGGCGTTCTTTGAGATGTTCGATGCGGGTCTGCGGCGCTCGCGTGCAACATTACATTCAAAACTTTGTGCAGCCTGCCTACGTACGTACCTGTACACTGTTTCCATCAAGTTGGTGAATATGACACATTTGGCTGCGATGCGTCCGTTACGCCTTTGCCACAAAGTTTGCCTGCCATCGTTGTACCGTGCCATGACCACGACACGGCAAGCCTGCAAGCGAACTTTCTCGCTGGCCCCAAAGATAGGTGCGAGGTGAGGTGGTATGTTTCAGGTCTACTTAAGGCGGGTGTGGCGGAGTTCGGCGACCTAAACTCTCGGGCTTTCACCACACGGCATCACCCGCCAAGTTGCAACATGTCTCATTCGACTTGCGATGGTGGAGCACAGGAAAAGGTTTTGGTGGATTGAATGACGTCGGCACGTTGGTTGTGATGCAAACCATGGGGGCCTGACCCATCTCGAGAACTACGATTCATGGTTTGCCCAGCTTCAGGTTGCTGGATGCGATGCACTTCGCAGAACTTACCTGCTCAAAGTGGGGCCCGTGTTGGTTTAGGGTACACATGTCTGTTGGTTGGAGCTGTGCGCCTGTCAGCCTTTTACTTGAGCACCGTTGGGGACTTCCTGGACAACACGTGTACTACTAGGTTACTCTCCGAGACTTTGAAGCCACAAGATGAGTATGACACACCGGATGCAGTATTTCCGCCCTCCCTTCCTAGATTTCCATGGGGTGTTTGTGTACCTGGTGTAACTTGGGCACAGCCAGAATGCATAGTCTTGAATTGTATTGAAAATTGGCGAGCGAGGCATCCTAGCGAGTCCGATGAGGCTGTCCATAGGGCGCCTGAGCAAACGCCATAGCCTCGCCGGCGGCTAGCGGATATAGACGAAAAGATGGATTTTCCCTGATGCGATCGGTCTAACACGGGGCCCGAGACATCTCAAGGCTTCATCGAGGCGTGCAGGACCACCAGGCGCCGGCAGAAATCGTGCCCGCCTTGCCCAACGAGAAGAGGTGAGGAGGTAGCCTGTATATACTCCAAGATCACTGTAGAGCTATACAGAGCATCTTGCATCTGTGCATATATTCAGGCTTCACTAAAACTTTTCATATGTACATCTCGAAGGTCTATCAGCTCAAGCCGCAGGTGCAGAGCGGGCACGAATACTGCCGCTGCCTGGTAGGACCAGCAGACAACGGCGAAGGTCGCCTTGGAAGGTATCAAACGACCAGCAGTGTTGTTTCGAACGGCTGCCGCCAGAAGAGAGGTACTCAGGCGTCCTACCGCTAATGACAAACCAAGGAAAATGGATACACGTTGGCAAGCACTTCGGTCTATCACGAAGTTGTGCAGCGGCGTCCTCACGACCATTTCGAAGGCGCAAGGCGCGTTCGAAAGGGCGTTCGGCTACTTCTCCAGGGCGAAGTATGAGCTCTGACTGTGCCTTTTGTGTTCGCCGCAAACTGGCGCACATATAGCATGTTCGAAACATGTCAGCCTCAGGGCAATCGTGAGCATACGCAAGAAATAGTGCCGAAGCGTTGTTGGTGTGGATGCGCGGACCCCAGCGATTTCGCGTGGCGGAGCCGTGCAGCTGTGCACACCCATCCGAAAATAGCGTTGGTAGGCGTTGGTTTGTGGTTCATCGCTCCTCCTTTCGGATTGGGGGCGGGGTCCGACACACCAACCCCAGGCGTGCGATGAACACATGTACAGAACGCTAACTCTTGCGGCGTGTTGGAACGACGCTCACGTCGAAAGACATGACGGCGCTGATCAAGATGGTTGCGATATTTGAACGCGTTCCCGTAATGGTCGCCTTGTCAGCTTGTCACCACTGCTCGCGCATGTTATGCAATTGTACAACAACTGACCCTATTTCCAATCTCATCTCAGCCGCATTTGGATACAGGCCCCATCTACACTGCCATTCGCCGACCTCGACAGCTGCAGGCCTGACACTACTACCACCGATGCTATTTTGGCTTCGGACTTTGTATAACACTCTGCGCGGCCGCCATGAGCGAGACGTGTCAGATGTTCGAGTCCGAAAATGCAGCTCCAACAAAATCCCCCCCTCTCCAACACCTGATACTACTGCAATCCTCCGACCGTCCTTACAGCTTGGCTAGTTTGAAGGTTCAAGCAACGGAGACCAAGTCATCCAGGATACGTACATCGTGGCAGAGCCCCAAGGAGAATGTGCTGATTAGTACATGCAAGAGAAGGATGTCCTCGCTAAAGAAAAGAGGCTATAGGCGGTCGGGTACTATATTGCATGCTGTCCCAGGAACCACAGCATGTGCCACTGCTCTTATCTGTGATGAGCAAGACATGACAGCCCTCCAACACCAGGATGTTGGCAGCAGGTCCAAAGCCACATCAGCCAATACGTCGCCAACATTGACTTCTAGCAATACATCTGCAACTGGTACGTCGAGGGGAAATGGAAGTCCTGCGACCTCGAATCAACCTTTTCAACCCAAGGAACTGAAAGCGTACTTGAGTAATAAGTCGCTCAAGGATTCGATAGGAATTTACAAGTATGGAAAGATACAGTGGCAGCAAACAAATCCCAGGCAGTTGGGAAATAATACCAGAAATTACGGTGTTGAAGACAAGACGACGAAGCCAAGGATACAGGTCGTGATTCCCGCCTGGATACGTGAGCGACCACTGCCTGCCCTTCCCTTCTTTGAAACCGCCAGCGAGCACCACAGTGCAGCAGCATCCTTTGATAACGTCCAAGACGTGTCGCCCCCCTCTTCCGGTTCCAAGTTCTTTATGAGGAATTCCGTCGTTTCTCCGCTGAACCAGACTCAGCCGCTATCATTCGGTCAATTTCAGCGCTCAATGAGCCGCGTTGTTCGCAGTACACCAGTCCGCGCTCCTCGACAAAATTATCCAACATCCAAGCACAGTGGCTCCTCTGTCGACTCTCACGATAGCGACACTACCTCTGTGTATACCGATGACTCATCGGAGACCAGTATAGAGCCAGACAGTCCCCGCCCTAACCCGATTGAGATGCATCGTTATAGCATCCAGAATCCTGTTGCGGCAGGAGTTTTCGACTCACCGCGAGCTTCTGTCAGGCAACACATACCACCACCAACAACTTCACGAATCAGTAAATATCCTCATCATCCACCTATCGAACAGGATCTGGCATTTCAACCTACGTGTTCTCTTCGACGAAGCCGTAATACCCCGGGTTCACTCAGCCGCCAATCAACCAAGAATGAAAGGTCTTCCAAACGAAGTAATAGTAGACGCTGCCTCATCACCCCAAATGGAGCTATCGATCGCGCGATCAGTCGTTCTACGTCCAGGCAGAGGTCCAATTCCATTCGTAGCGCCAGTCCAACCTTGAGTGAGGCAGAGAACGAGCTAGAAGAAGAGCTTGTCTTCCTCGGGGCCAACACACAGGTATCTGTCACACTTCAAGATAGCCGGGGGCTGGAAGGATCAGCTATGCAAGAACCGAGAATTGTGAGCGGAAAGGAGACTCAAGAGACTGCCACCAAATTCGTAGATTCGGATCCCACGAACTCACTTGATGTGGAGACGTCTGCAACGCCACCGCCAGTGGTGCCCAGAAAGTCCAGTAAACGCAATGCCTCCTGTGAAGGAATGTATCGATTGTCTCATTTACCACGCAGCCATATTGCATCACAGATGGAGAAAGGCCGTTCTGCTGCGAAAACCCAACGACTCCGAATTACGATCCCGGAGTACAAGCGCATAGATGACGCTATTCGCCTATCCCCAGTACCAGTTCCTGCGAAGAGCATCAAGCGGATCATTACACCATCATGCGCAGAGAGCGTGATCCTGAATATTTATCGTAGTCTGGACAATCTCGAAGACCTCTTTGCAACCGCTGTCGTCAACAAAGGCTTTTTCAGGGTGTTTGAGCGCCATGAACTTGATCTAATCAGAGCGACACTGAAGAAGATGTCGCCACCCGCTTGGGAGTACCGCGAAATAGCATTCCCAGGTCATGACCTACTTCATGATGAGGATCTCGAAATGACTCGTCCGCAGGAGGAGTATACGCCGCGCTCCTATCTACAACCTACAAAAGCACGACATGCATACCATGCGCTCGATCAAGTTTTTCATCAGGGAGAAGTGCCAGTCTTACATCCGACCCGAAATGGCGACTGCACTCATCAGCAGTGATCGGCTTGAGGCTGCGAGGGTCGACGACGCTCTCTGGCGGATATGGACCTTTTGCAAGATATTTGGTTCTGGGAAAGGGCGCGAAGATGACATTGTCGCTCAACAAGATTGGCTTAAGGGAGGCCCAATGGTTCATCAGCAAGCATGCACCTTCAGCATCACGAGTTCTGATTACATGAACAGTACCTTGATCAGTGCTCCAGAATCATTTGCCAAGGGCAATGGGGGTGGTCTAACTGCTGAACAGCTCTTCGACATGATTGAGTTGTGGAATTGCCTAAAGGCGTTATTGCATGATTTCTCGAACCATACTGCTCAAGCGCGAGAGTGTGGAGTCTATGAAAAGACAGACATTCGAGGTGGTGATATCGGCGGTGAAGAATCAATGCTTGGTAAGTTCTTGGACTGCACCTCGAGCTACTACTAACAAATACAGAGGAGTGGTGCTCCTATGTGCTCACATTTGGTCTCTCTGCCGTGTTGGGCCTCGCTAGCTCTAGCCATCAAGAGCCGGAAAGCCCTTTCAAAAGTGCCGCGCAGCAAGGGTGGATGGAATGGAACCCTCCAGTCGCAGGTAACACTCGCCGATATTTCCTCCAGGAAGCTGCTTCTCGCGTCTATGAGGAGAAAATAGCTCGTACCTTTGCAGCACACTCTACGCGCAAGTTTCAACGCGAATGTCAGATGTCGAAAGCGCGGTGCCAAAACTTTCCTGCAGAGCTTCGACAACGCAGAGTCGATACAACAGATATGCCTAGGTTGAGCTTTTCACAAGAGCGTCCCATGTCCGAGTGGTCGACAACTATTGGCGGCGCCACAGTTCCTCATCCCGACGCGTCCAGAGAGGCTGTTTCCTATGTCCCAAGGGTTCGGTCAGCTCTGGCCCAGGAGCTAACTGCCTCAATCGCGGAACTACCCCCGGGGAGGATGCCTTCACCACCTATCACACGATCCGTTGCGCAGCCTCTTTTACCCACACCACCTCCCTCAGTCGTGCCTAGTATCTGTGACCGCAATAGTACGGCTATGAGCATGCCCTCTATTGATGAGTACCCGGCTCATCACAGGCCCGAACCACTCAACCAAAACACTCCTTCACTTATAGATCACCCAGTATTTCGACACAATCACACGATAACACCATCAAATCTTGGGCCAAGTCAGTACTCCGAAAAAGAGCAATATGAATACCAAGGACATTCTCGCCAGTCTAGCTGTGGCTCTCACGATTCTGGGGACCATCCTGCCTTCCAACAACACCCGAAGCAACACTCCATCTTGGCAAGTGCAGCACATGAAAACACGGCGGAAAAGGCGATATATCGAATTGTTGACATGGGATTTACGGCAGATGAGGCGAGAGAAGCTCTAAGAATAACAGATCTAGGAGACGGATTGAAGGTTAATAGAGCAGTAGGGTTATTGCTAAGCAGAAAGAGATAGAGTTAAAGGTGTATTATTATATTTGGATTCAGATGCGTATTCAATATTAATATAGATATAACGTAATTACCTACTAAGTAACCTACTCTACTAAGAAACCTAAAATTCCTTAGCATAAAGAACTTTAGTTACGCATCTTTAATTTTATTGCTATCTATAAAGAAGCTTATATCTATTACGCTTATATCTAATTTAGAAAATACTTTTATATCTTTTTTATATAGTTATATTATACTTAGTTCTACTATAGTTCTTATAGCGCTATATAGCTAGTTAAGCTCTTTCTTAATTATTTTTATTATAACTCTTCTTTAACTATCTAGTAGCTATAGATATATCTATAGCTACTTATATTACTATCTTACTATACTCTATAGTACTACTCTGCTAGATTTGCTTATACTTATATAATTTATACTTAGTTATCTTTGCTAATTACTCTTTAAGCTTATAAATCTAAGTATATTAAAGTAGATTTTTATATAGTATTAGCTTATTAATTTTTATAAGCTAAGAGAAGCTAGCCTAGACTATAATAGATAACTAAAGTAAGAAATTGCATATAAGCTATAACTAGAATCTAAACTTATAAGTATTACTTAGAGTCTTTAACTACTATAGAGTTACTAAAAGAAGAGATTCTAGTAGAATATATAAGAGCACTTTTAGATAATCTAATACTACTTATATATTAATAGAAATAAGTTCTAAAGCTTTAAAGGCCTTTTAATTATCTTCTTTTATAAATATATTAAAAGATATATCTTTAAAGATAGAAAGAAAGCCTTCTTTATTAATATAGAAGATATATTAAGAGTACTTGCATTTTAATAGCTAAAAATATACTATATTAAGTAGCTAGAGAATATATAATAAATAAGCTAGTATATAGAGAGTTAGAATCTTATTCTTAATATAATAGTTCTTAAAATTCTAGTTAAGATAGCTGTTAGGATAATACTAGAGAGTTATAGCTAGAAGTAAGTAATAATAAGAATAACTAATAGAATTATTATAAAAGATAGACGAATTCAGGCTAGCAAATGAGTATAGATAACTTATATATAGGTATAAGTTAAGGTATAGTTAAGTATAGGTTAACTAAGGTTAAGTTAATGCCAAGACTATATAAGTTAAAGTTAAGTATTATATAAGAAAGTTAAGTCAAGGTTAACCTAGGTTAATTTTATTATATAATACTTAACTATATAAT